TTAGTATTTTATTACACTTATAAGAACTGCAATTTTACACTTGACCAAAGTGTAAACCACTCACATTACACTGATTGGTGTGTAAACATAACCTCTAGTTGTGTGTTAAATTACACTATTATAAAATGTGTAATAATACACAGAAAAAAAAGGCTGCCGGGGCTGGCAAAGATTTTACACTTTTTTTTGGAGTAATGTTACACTTTAATTTTAAGTGTGTGAGCCGTGTTTTAAACTTCACGGGCCAGTAAAAAGGAGGTGCGATTTCTTTTAATCTTTAGTTTACTTACTCGAGTCACTGCCAACTGGAAATCTGCCTTTATAAATCGATTGGTTTCGTATAACTCTGCCCGGAAAGTTAAGCAATTACTTAACAGCATCTTTGGGCTGTTAGAGAAGCGTGTAATTTTTACTTGAAGCCGGAGCAGAAAATTTTATAATTAAGTGTCTTCTGTGTCTTGTTTAATTTCGCGGCACAATAGGGAGGTGCGACTTTTTCAGTCTTTTATTTTCATATTCCTTTCAGTGTATTCATCGCCGACGGAGAAGAAACTTTTATAGATCGATTTGTTTCGTTTAACCCTGTCCGAAAAGTTGCACATTCAAGTATACAGCGCGTGCAAATTAGAGATGTTCAGCACCAAGCACGTGTACTTTTCACTCGCAGAGAGCAACATAATGTCAGTGTCGGGGCTTTGAGACGTGTCTTAGACTTGGTTGGTTTATTAGTAAACCTATGTAAACGGCGAAAACATTTAATTTTCAACAGTGACTACGCCCCGGTCATACGTACAATCAGTATTTAGTCGATTCAGAAAAGGGCTAACTGACATTGCAAAACATCCGTCGCTGGGGTCCGATGCTAGGAGATTCCTTTTGTGTCGCCGACAATAGACATCTTTTTCTCCGCTTAAATATCTGGGCAGCTGAGTATCTCATAAAATTGGTCAGTTTGCCCTCCAAAAACAAACATTAGGCAGGGCAAATTTAAGCAAAAAAAAAAATTGCTAGCCAGAGAGCTTTCTGGATGATATGCAACTTCGAGGTATTACGTTCATCATTGGACGGGTAGGAAGTGTTCGCAGGGGGGGGGGGGGAAGGTGGAGCCGGAGCAGGGGGGCTTTTTTTTAGGCCCGGAAGGTTTGTCTTTCAACCGAAATATTGGGCAAATTTGTTTAAATGTGTATTTTTTGTTTTATTCTTTTGTTTACTTTTCTTCGCCTTGCCGTGAGGATCAGTTGGCCGTTTTTTTTTTTTTTTAATTTTTTTTAAACGGGCTTTTAGTCCCCTACCTTTTTCCCGGAAACTTTTAAAAAAGTTTCTTAGAGGAGATTTTCCTCAGCCCCTGCACTTCAAAAAATGTTCCGCGGTTCCAGAAAAGCAACTGATCTTTAATTATCGTAAACTGTCTCCTGAAGGGGCTGTGTCACGACAGTCCAGTTCATTTTGTCAGGAGCCTATCAGAGCAACTTTTGAGCAACTTTCGTTACAAAAAGCAGCTTTTGATGTCTTTTTGAGCAAGATTGAGCAACATTTTGATAAATTACGAGAAACTTTTTGAAAAATCTCGAGCAACTTGAGGAAAGCCCTAAGCATGGTTGTACACGCTTCTACAGTAGTAAACGCTAACGTGAGCTCCATATGACTGGGTATTTGCCAAATTCTCTTTTTTTCTCTCTTATATTACACCGAAACGTTGTCGAGTTTAATATACAAAACACGGTCGAATACCGTAAACTTCCGCTTATGTGCCCTCCCCCCTCCCTCCCTTATACGCCCCCCACCAGTTATAGGCCCATCTAAGGGGAAACAAAGAAATGCATCCGCTTATAAGCCCCCCCCCTAGATATAAGCCTCCCTCTAGCTTGAGTTGAAAGAAATTTGATTTTTTACGACAATTTTAGTAAGCTTAAATAGTGAGTTAAATTAAAAGGTACTTTGATCAGCACTACCGGCTTTGTAGCTAAGGCCCCTCCAAAAACTACCGCTTATCCGCCTCCCCCCACACTTATACGCCACCAACCCAAGTTTTAGGCCCATATCTACCAGTAAACAACAACAAAAAACATCAGATCAAAAGCTCCCCCCCAGATATAAGCCCTCCTCGAGCTTATATAGAGGATATTACACGGTGGCGCGAAGATATGAATTTTATTTTCGAGTGGCAAAACAATATTTTACGAACGAGCGCAACGAGTGAGTAAAATATTGTTTTTGCCACGAGAAAATAAAATTCATTTCTTCAAGCCGCCGTGTAATGTTCTTTTTATTATATAGACAAAAAAACATCGATAAAATAATAGATTTTTATTCGCCAAAAAGTAATTTCAAATTTATAGTACAGCAATATAAGACATTGTTACAATAATCTTGAGAAATAACACTGAGCTGAATAAAGCTCTACAATGACAAAATATAAGCAAAGCTTTGAAAAATGTGTAATTAAAATTCAAAGGACGCAAGACGCCTACAAATTTTGGAGGGAAATTACCGAAATTACTTCATCAATAAACTCACGTGTGAGATTATGGAAAATAAACCACTGGGGTCCCGGATGTAGTTTTTATGAATTTTACGAGTGATATATTTTCCAGTAAAACACTCGTGTCTATATAATAAATTGAAATAAATTTGACGTTTTGAAGCCTAACGGAAAACTTGTAATTGAAATGCAAAAAGCGGCTTGTTTCGAACCGCTTTTTCTAGTCCGGATATAAGTCCCTCCAATGTAAGTCCCCCCGCTTATAAGCCTTCGTTAAACTCCTTACGAAGATGTATTAGCCCCGGGCTTATATAAAGTACCCTGGGTACCATAGTTTTTTTTTTCTCGCGTGCGGCTGGTTGCTTAATTATTAGCACCAAGCTCTAATCCTGGGAAAAACTGAGCACAATTTTAGTTTCCCAGTAAATAACTCAATAGATATATTTGGGATGAAAATAGATAATAGACTCTCTTTTGATAACCATGTGTCAGTTATATCTGTAAGAAATAAATAATCAATTTAACGTAATGCTTAGATTTCGGAAACTTATTAATAAGGAGACGCTATTGAAGCTTTATAAAGCCTTTATTTTGCCACATTTTTACTACTGTTCTTCTGTTTGGCATTTCTGTGGTGCGCGTAATGCCGACAAAGTGGATAACCTTAATAAGCGCATTGTTAGGTTTATACTAGAGGACTACAGCTCTCCATTAGCCTGCAGTGCAGGCGTTTTCTTTGAGCGCGCAATTTGCTCGCGGAAACGCCATGTTGAAACTTCACGAAGAGAGGAGGAAATGGGGCGAGTCAAAGGGAGCGGGGAGGGGGCGGGGAGAGAGAGTATTTTTTTTCTCCCCTCCCCCTCCCTCCTTTCCTTCTTTCGCCCTCGCACCTACCGAAAGGGTTACTATTTCTACTCTCCCCTATCTTCCACTGTCAACGAACACGAACAAGGTTTCGCCCACCCAAAATACGCCTGCACTGCAGGCTAGCTCTCCATATGACATTTTACTAAGCAAAGTTAACATGAAATCTCCATTCCGTAAGACGCCTACAGAACTTCTTAATCTGTTATATAAGAGTCTGTTCTTTACGAATTATCCAGTTTATTTAAAAGATATGTTCACCGTACGGTCAGTCTTCATCCTACAATTTGCGCGGGAATCATATCCTGGCCCTCCCCAACCAAAAAACAACAACTTACGGTCTGCACTCTTCAAGTTTTCATACTTAGCTAGCAAAATATGGAACTCTCTCCCAGACACTTATAAAACATTGAATTTTCTAGAATTCAAGCAGGAGATCCTCAGATATGAAGCTTTTCCGTAGTAGATTTACAAGTTATATTCCCCTTTGCATGCATAATGTTGTATATAGTTTATAAATAATACACTCTTTTTTTTTTATAAGAATTTGTAATATAGTATATTTTGTTTTTCTTTTAACTTATTTTCTCGAATACATTAGCTCTACAGCCAGCTACTTATGTTTTGTTAAATATAGTTAGCTAGTTTTGCCGTTTAAAGAGCATAAATTGAAAACGTATATTTGTATATATTTTCATGTACGTCCTTTTCAAAATATCAGTGGATTTTTCTTAAAGTATTCTTAAGATTTCCCACCTGGACTTGGCCGAAGTCATTTTAACTTATTTTCGCGAATACATTAGACAGGCAAAAAGCATAAATAAAGCTCGGGTCCCAAAAACACTTGACCGAAATCAGAAAGAGCGCATAAAAAGTGTCTGGAAGCCAGGATCGCTCGCTAAAGGAGCTGTGGCACTCAGTTCAGCCAAATTAGGAAATTACAAAAAGCCAGCTAAATTAAGAGAAAGATAAAAATAGCCGCTTAAAAACTTTAAAGGTAGGTTAAAATAACATAACAGAAACAACAGATGCCACAGATGGGCACAACTGAAGAAGATTGAATTAAACGGATTGAAATTAGGGTTTTTGAAAACTGTTCAGCCTAACAGTTTTTCACAGTTTATCCCTGCTGCTTGCAACTTAAAAAATACTGCTCAGGAGACATATTTGTTTGTCTCGGATCTCTGATTTTGTCATTTACCTGTAATTTCTCTGCTTACTTTAAGTTCCATAGCGATTGAGGGCGAGTAATTGGCAAAATTAAACAAAATCAGGAGCCTATTTGGTGGGCTCCTGTGCGTGCCCCAAGTTTAGATTTTCATCCAGTCATCTCAGCCTGAACTGTTAATTTTTGTTTGATTTTTTGCTTGAGGGAAACAGCTTCCCTAACAGGTGTCTCGAAACAACCAGCTTAGTGTTTTAGTTTTTGTATACTTTGACATATACGAATGACATGTTCCTACTAATGGACAATTGCCAAAAACGCTTATTTTTTATGGACGTTGATTGTTGATTTTAATCAAATTTCAACGACATCAATTAGCCAGACGTCTGCTCCCAAATTAAATTTAAAGTGTTTCGTGACATGTTGGGTGATATGTTATGTTTACGAGTCGGTGTGAAAACAAAGGGTATATTGATTTTAATTTGTTACAGATTACACAACCGAGCAACAAGGGATATCGCGGCCGAGGCAGGATTAGGAACGCCCACCATTAATTGCCGTAGACGGATCCACAGTCGCAACTTGCTGCAATCTTACCGTGAAAATGCGCTGGAAAATTCCCTTTACTCTCCTTCTATACGCTGTATTGATACCCTTTCTTTGCTCTGCCGCCGTTGATAAAGGGGAGGAGGCAAAAGCTCTGGTATTTCTCAAGAAATACAACAATGAGACTCGCCATGCAGATTACAAGTCTACTGTGCGTTCGTGGAATTACGCTACAAACATCACAGATTACAATAGTAAACTGAAGACAAACGCAAGCCTTGCTTTCTCAGAATTTTACAAGGGGATGCGAGAGAACGCGTCAAAATTCGACGTGAGCAAACTGTCCGACGACACCAAAAGACAAATCCAGTTTATCACTTCCTCAGCGACACCCAAAGATGAAGCCGTGTTGCGCAGAGTCACCGAGCTCGAATCAAAAATGGAAGGTATCTACAGCACTGGCAAAGTTAAAGACAGTGACGGTAAAATGCTTGCACTGAACCCAGACTTGTACCGCATATTGGCGACAACACGCGATTATGATAGACTTCAGTTTGCATGGAAAGGCTGGCGGGATGCGGTTGGCCCGAAACTGCGACCTCTCTACAAGGAATTTGTGAAACTGAAAAACCAAGGCGCCAGAGACAATGGCTGGAAAAACATTGGAGAGTACTGGCGATCGTGGTACGAGGTTGATGACTTGCAGAGCATGGTTGAAGGCTTTTGGAACAAATTGAAGCCTCTATATGAAGAACTCCACGCCTATGTGAGGTACCGGCTTAGCCAGAAGTACAGCAAGATGAAAAAGACCGGTCCAATCCCAGCGCACTTGCTAGGAAACATGTGGGCGCAATCGTGGGTAAATATTTACGATCTGGTCGAACCATACAAAGGCAAACCCAGCCTAGATGTTACAGCTAACATGGTAAAGCAAAACTACACTGCGCTGAAAATGGTGCAACTCGCCGAGTCATTCTTCACTTCAATTGGTTTGGAACCTCTCCCCAAGTCATTCTATAACTTATCCTTGATCAGTAAACCTGATGACAGAGACGTCATTTGTCACGCCTCCGCTTGGGATTTCAGCATCAACAAAGACGTCAGGTAAGGCATCACAATTTCTCCTTGCATTCGAGGTTTTCATTCGAGTAGTGGGAGAAGAAACGCACGAGACTAGGAACAGGCTACTCGAATGATGGCCTCCATCGCAGCCGTTTTTAGTGTGGTCACGCAACGCTTCTCCCCAACGTTGCGTGACGACACTAAAGACGGCTAAGAGGGGCGACAATCATTTGTGAAGTGAACAGGAAAAGTGTAAAGGGCAAGGAAACAAATACCAACCCTCCCTGCCTTCCACTTTTTTCTCTCCTCGCGCCGTTTTTTCAACCTTTCTTCATCTAAACACTTGGAACAGGATGTTTTTCGTCAAGCCAGCATATTGCCTGCGTGCAGACGTCTCCTATTTCCTTTGTTGCACGCGGAAAAAGGGACGACGTCCCTTTTCCGCGTGCAACAAAGGAAATAGGAGACGTCTGCACGCAGGCAAGCCAGCATACAAAGCATTTCCTACTATCTACACATGTATACATGTACATGTTAGACTGTTTACAGTCCTCTATTTTTCCGTAAGATCATCGAGATCGAGCGCTTTGTGTTACGGGCTGCCATCTTGCATGAGTGTCAAAACTACTTAGGGGGCAGGGGCGGTTTATAATCCCCGACGCCCGCCCCCTCGGTACATTTGAAAATCAAGTTACCCGTGACAGTAAGACGCGGCATATCTAAACGATCCCACGAAAAAATAGGGGACTGTGAACAGTCTATATACATGTAGACCAATGGTTTTGACGATGCCCGAAGCTAGGCTAAGTACATGGCTTCCTTAGGGGAGAGGGCAGGGGAGATTCTAGAGGGCGGAGGGGGGAGGTGTTCTCACCTCTTTTCGCTTCTCTCGTCCCCACTTTCCCCAGAAGCGCCTGATACTCAGGCTACCCCGACGCAGACTTGATTTGCGGCTAGGGGTTTCCTTTTCTTTCCTCTCCTCCCTCCCCTCCCCTCCCCCTTCAAGCTTTCCTTTTTTGCTCCTGTTCCAACTTTCTCAACGACCTCGTGCGGAAACACTTGCTACACAGGCAGTTTTTGGTCGAGTTCCATTTATGTTTTGTTAATTCGTTTTTTCGTATTTTTCCTTTGTTATTGTTCATGGCCTGTGTTGATGTTGATGGCCTTTTCCCCAAAGCTTCACGAGGTTCTACGATACACGCATTTCCAGTAAATTTCTGTATATTTCTAGTATTTGATGTGTCATCTTTTCAGAGTAAAGCAATGTACCACGGTCACACATAACTACTTGGTCACCACTCACCACGAGTTGGGCCACATTCAGTATTACCTACAGTACTGGGACCTACCAGTCGAGTACCGCACCGGCGCTAACCCAGGATTCCATGAGGCCGTCGGCGATACCATGTCACTTTCAGTCGACACACCACAACACTTGACGAAAATTGGTTTGTTAGAGAACTACAGCGATGATGAAGGTACAGATAGAATACATGACATTATTACCCGGCCCTTGCTCAGAACGATCTTCCCTCTGTGAAATGTAGTAACTTCTTGGGCGATCTAACCTCCATAACAGGCGCTTTATGAGCAAAGCGAGGCGAACGCGGCATTTATACAGGCTAGGGCTTTCCAGCGGAAAAACGTTTTCTCTTGTGATAAAAAGTATTGGAAGCAATGCATATTCGCACTTTATTTTATTTTTTTAATTATTTTTTTTCCATATTCGCTACTTTAGAAAAGAGAGGAAAACTGGTCCGAGTTAACTTTCGAAAAGACTCCTGGGACTGTTCCGAAGGACAGGGACAAAAATTAACCAATAGCTGACAGGCGCGTCCACGATCCCAGAAACAATTGCGCAACGAATTTCAGCTCCAGTTCCCTTCTCGTACCTAAAGTGGCGAATACTCTTGTGTTTGTCGCCGATGTGACCGTTTTGCAGCCTGCGAGCAAGCTCTCCGGGGCGCTCTGACGGCGGGGTGGAAAAAGGAAGGAGAGCTTGCAACTACGTCTCTGAAAATTAAATTCTACCTCCCCTTGTGGCTGCCCGTCGACTGAGCTGTCAGATTTCCGCCAATCAGCGCGAAGCGGAAACGAGCGCGAATGTAAACAAGCACTAAAAAACACGTGCCAAGGGTAACAACGTCATTACTAATGTCATCTCTGCCAATCAGCATTTCGCACCGACTTTTTCGATGCAGATATTCAAAATCCAGGGACGTACGTAGTTGCAAGCTTTCCGCCAGAGCGCCTCGAAGAGCTTGCTCGCAGGCTACCGTTTTGTTGTTGCCATTTTATATCTTTCCGCAGGCTCTCTCTTTTTGTGTTTTATGTTTTGCCTTCCAAATTCAGACCACGTGATGTTCTCCAGGAAATCTTCCTTTTTTTCTTTTCATATACATATGAACGTGCATCCACGTGAATAGGACGATATTTGAAAAAAAAAAAAAAACAGTTCTCTGGGTTACCATCACGTGGTCTGAAATGGGAAAGCAAAACATACAAGTTAAAATGTTCTATTGTTTTTGACGATTGGAAAAAAAGAAACAGCTTTCTCCTTGCCCCACCCTTGCCCCCTTTCTAAAGGGCTAAGCAAGCAGTAATCGCGAGATTGCGATCACTTACAGAAGTGATGGGTTAACAGCTATCAGGTTTCCAGTTATTAAGGAAAGCAATTATCGGGTTTTTTTTGCAAGCTTTTGCCTTACAGGGGGCTCGCTTAACACTGGTTTGATTATATGTCTGTTTAGAATCTGATATAAACGCCTTAATGAAGATGGCATTGCGTAAAGTGGCGTTCCTACCGTTCGGTTTTATGATCGACCAATGGCGTTGGAGGGTTTTCAGTGGAGATATTACTGAAGAGAACTACAACGCCGAGTGGTGGAAGCTGAGGACTAAGTACCAGGGAATCAAGCCTCCAGTGGATCGTTCAGAAGATAATTTTGATCCCGGATGCAAGTATCACATTCCTGCAAACACTCCATACATAAGGTAAGCTACTTTAGAATGAGCTGTGCCGCGATATTCAGTCGTTTTTTCTTTCGACCTGCAAAATTTTCACTTAAAAAAAAGAAAAAGTTATCGAATGATCCCTGCATCTTGAAATCCCTGAAGCTTTTCTGATGAGTCACTAAAGTTCTGTTCAGACGTATCCTTATTCGCTAAGAGTAGAGGCGTTGACTCGGGTGTGGTGGTCTGTCTCAAATCCACTCTCATATTAGATGAAAGGCCATCATTACTCATTACTTTTAAACTTAAAAACTGCACTATGAGCAGTCTGGCAAGAGTCCCCAAAGCCGTGTTCTGAGAGTAGTAGGTAGGTGGAGTAGTAGGCAATGTGATAATTACAATTTACAATGCCACTGTCCGACAGGAAAGAAACGACACACATCTACATCCATACATCTTTGTATTGGGTTAAAATCGATGGGGCAAAAGCCATGTCACGTGGTTTCGAAGGGGCCAAACAAGTGATGAAATCTGCCGATGTAAGAAATCGCAGTGGAGTATGTTAATTCATAATTCTAGACAACAGAAAATGAAGAACCTTTTATCTTGAACACGAGAATGGCAAATTTATGGGTGTAACTGATAACATTTTTTAGGGAATGTAGTTGCGATCGCAGTTGTCCTCACATTGTATAATAAAGCGGTAGAAGTTGTTGAAACTCGAACTATACATTTTGCACGACTAATATCGTTGTCTCATTTTGAGAGAATAAACAGACTCGACGGCGATTGCACGTATTGGCAAATTTTATCACTTGTTGCCCCCTGAATTATCACGTGACATCTCTCTTATCCCGTCAATTGCTAAAGCGCGTGCAGAGATGAATACACATTTCTTGCGAAAAATGTTCATATCAATGGCTTTTCACTTAACCTCGCTTTGAAACAGAGGCTTGGGACAACTCAGGAATGGTTTATTACCCTATGTAACTGAGATAAAATAACTGAATCTTGCAGTTAAAGTTATATTATTTTTCCTTTCAGATATTTTATGAGCTACGTTTTGCAGTTCCAGTTCCACAAGGCGGCTTGTAAAGAAGCAGGTCACAAAGGACCCCTTCATACCTGCTCCATCTTTAATTCCACAAAAGCAGGAACAAAAATTGGGTAATGTTATCAATACGTTCAGCGATGCACTTTCTTACAACCAAGTTGAGGATCTTAAACGGCCAGTGGCTTTTACGGTATTAAAAAAGGGGGCTTTAACTGACGGTTTAAATTATCCCAAATTTCAGTTGTCAGCTTTCACAATTCAGTTTACATTTCATCTTTATCACTGCGCATAAGCTCATATCGATGTTTCACTCCTAAGAGTATACAGGATGTTTGTCAGTCACGAACCTTGTTTAGTGGCCTTAGATTCCCATGAGTCTCCTGTGGCTCAGTGGTAGAGCATCTGGGCTAGCAACCAGGCCCCAGTTGTTCAAAAGTTGGATAGCGCTATCCAACGGATAAATCACTATCCCACGGATAAGTGTTAGGGAAACCAATTGCGCTATCTAGTGGATAGTGATTTATCCGATGGATAGCGTTATCCACCTTTTAAACAACTGGGGCCAGAAGGTAATAGGTTTGACTCCTTTTGAAAGTTCTCGGGTTTTTTCTTCCGACCCGCTTATGTCTCTGACTGAAAAAACATCTTTCTCAGTTTGCAATTTTTACAAAACATTTTTTTACGGTGTTGCGTAGTTATCTTAATACCTTTTCGGGTCGAAGCAAAAAGTTGTAGTAGGATCTGACAGACACGAGATAGTGCAAGATATAAAAAATAGAAAAGAAGCCGCCTTGACATCGTGACTTTAGAAATTACAAATTGTACCTTGACAATTTTTAAGGATGCTTCTCAGGACTTAACTAGTTAAGGCTCATCCTCGGAAACCCAGGGGCAGTCAGTCGGATCGGGAGAAAGGGCGTGACGAAAGTTTTCAAGCGCTGGCGGAAAAGCCCTTGGGTACCAACTTCCACCAGACAATTTCCAAACGGTTAAGCGAATTCCGGCTCCTGATTGGGCCCAAAACATGCTTTGTATTATTACTTTTTGTGCGCAATCGTCGAACAGCATACCCTGTCTCCTTTTCGTGTGTTCGTAAACGATGGCTATTGTCCCGCCACACTTTTTCGGTTCTTTAGTTTGGCTCTATTAAATCCCATAGCAGTCGAATGCTGATCGGCAAGCCGGCCAGCCCACCTTGTATTTTTAAACAAAGACAGATTTTACCAAAGTCATTAAGGAGTATAAGCCCCCACCCCCACAACCCGGCTGATGCACCTCACATACACACACGTACGCCCAATGGCCATTTCAAGCTTTAATGATTTAACTAATTTGTATAATTATTTGGGTGCCTTTGATGGCTCAATTTAGGTTTCTGAGACACTGCCCACCTACCCCTCCCCTAAGCCAACATTTTGCCTAAGTGAGTTAATGTTAGCTTAGGGGAGGGGTAGGTGGGCAGTTTACAAAAAAACTAAATTGATCCCATTTGATTTCTTTCAACAGTGAGATGTTGAAGATGGGCAAGAGCAAACCTTGGCCACAAGCCCTTGAAAAACTTACCGGAAGTCAGACGCTTGATGTTGAAGCGCTCACTGAATATTTCCAGCCCCTTCGTGATTGGTTGGTGAAGCAACGAGAGGAAATCGGTTACCCCGCGCCGGGATGGAAAGAGGAACCAACATCTGGAATACCTGAGCTCACTCCAGTCCGGTTTTACTTGTTTGCCTTGTTATTCGCATTAGTTGCGTTCTTTTAGATGAAGCGCTAGCGTTTTGATCCGGAAGCGACTCTCGCTCTCTACATTAACCATGTTAGGGTAGAGTAGGGCAACATTCCGCTTATTATATACTCTGATTGTTTGGTTATAACTTTTCCTGATTCTTTCAATTCATAGCCTAAGTAGCGACCCGTTGAGAAACACAGGGCGTAAGGAAAAGTGGGTGGATGTTTATTTGTATCCGGAAAACCAAGTCCCCAAATTTCTCCAAGTCAGATCCTAATTTTTAACTGTTATTGGGACCCGATCGCCCTAGATCGAGCCCAAAAGGATATCGGGCCCAAATTGTTTAAATCGGGTTTGATTACTAATCAGGTCGGTTTCCAGGGGCCTCTTTAACCTTAAAAACTGGTTCGGGAGGAGGACGCGCGTAAAGGGTGCTTCCTCTTCCCTCGTGCGTGCCCTTCCCACTCGCGCGCGCCTCTTCAATTTGCGCCCCCCCTGCCCTGTACTTAGGGAGCTTTAGCATCGACGAAGGCAATGGCAGCGAAAACGTCAGTGTTAAAATGAATTCCCGTTTTTTCAATCTTTGTGGGGCTTATTCCAATTTGCTGAAAATGGCAAGTATAGGCGAATTTCGCTAGAGTTGATTTCTTGAGGACCGCACTCAAGTTTAGAGAGGGAAAAAGAGATGAGTCGTCGCTTGTTTACGTCCTCTATAAAACTTGCAATTAAGCATTTTCACGTCGTAGTCTTGCAAGGACGGTAGAGAAATGTACACAAAAGCGTGATGCTCATGCAAAGTTGTTGTTTTGCGTAATAAACCTATTGCTTTTTTGACGTCCTCGTTGCCGTCGCCGTCGTCGTTGCTAAAGCTCCCTATTGTCGTGCGACCACCCCGCAGGCTATTTTCTCCAGCCTGACGTCTTTGTAAAGTAGGACTTCGTAGATAGAGAGTGTATATTTAGACATTAATTTGTTCACCCCGTATCATTATTATCAATACTTTTTTGTGATTTCATCTAGTGGACATCGGAAAAAATGTAGAATAGAATATGTTTCTAAGTTTGAATGATTGTCTACAATGTGAAAATGAATAAAGAAGAGTCGGACAGAATTTGTGCCCCCAGTAACTATGAACCTTAACAACATTACAGAAAACCCCTTCTTTCCTCACATGTTTCCAGTCCTAGAGGCCGTGAAATTAGTGTGTTACCCCTGCGTAGCAGACACTCGGAAGGGAGAGGTTGTCAGAGAGAGATCGGGCTCGCAAGAACACTAACGGCTCGCCCTTCGTGCTGTCGCGGTTCCGTTTTTCTCGTAACCTGCGTAGGAAAAATTATCTCGAGGAAGTGCGCGTTCTCCTCGCGCGCCGTATGAAAAGTACCGACCGCGGAGGACACCTGCTTCACAGGCTACTTATCTCCTTTGCCATTCCTTTGGACCCCCTGCCAAACTGAGGCCCTATAATTTCGGTCCAAAATCTATAAGTGCAAAATTCTACACCACCCAAAATCATTGCTTTGAATTGGTTTGAGCCTCGTGCAAAATCGAAATGTGAGAAACAGAAATAAAGGCAAATATTTTTCACAAGTCTTCCTTGACCCGAACGCAGGTTACTTCAGACTAGTAAGCTGGGAGCCGAGTTACTCCAGAGGAAAACCGTCGAGCGAGGGCGTATTGAAGACCGAGAAGAAAAGATAATTCTCGTCCCACCCTAATCCGTTATTATAACGTCGTTGTTTGCAGGGCATGAGAACTAGACGGATTTTAAGAAAAAAGACGGACTGCAATTCGAGACTTTTGTGATCTGGGTGAATGGACGGACGGGTGAGTGTCCAGTCACTTTCGACTGAGATCAGACGACATTTGGAGGTCAGCGGTACGTACCACGAAATCAATGCGCACGCTGTTTCACGTGCGCCTGGGGAAATTCACCAAATATCGTAAAAATCGTAGTTTAAGAGTTGCCTACCATGATATTTTAACGCAAACAAAAAAAATGGGTTTCACAACACTTCTCGTCCAACGATGTGGACGTTGTCTTCTTCATCGTCAAGTAAGGTTCCTCTTTTCTTCTGATCATGTCTTTATTTACAGTGACACTCTTCGTCTCTTGATGTGCAGGGTTAACTTTATAAACCTTGCCGGCGTTATGCAATGCTGTTTTGTTGTTTATGGGGTTTGAACTGTTGTCGGCGTAAATGAAATCCTGTGGTACAACCATTTCGTGTTAATGTAATGTTGTCTTACTTTAATTGACCGGGATCAAAGAAAGCGTTAAAATGGACTCTTCCATGTTTTTTCCAATACTTTGACAGGGAACGGTAACCTAATATTCATCCACACTTTAACTTGATGTCAGACAACGCAGAGGTATTTTGCAGAACGATGAACGGCTGCCGAACGCCAAGTGACGCCGAAATTTACTGATTAGGGGCAAGGAAACTAAGTGAATAAATAAGGATCATTTTATGCAGGTCGAACTGAACTTTACCTTGATTCACTCAGTTTCCTAACCCTAATCACTAAACTTAAGAAACATTCAAAAGGCTTTTGGTAGCCATGCAGTGTCCTGAAAAGTAAGCTGCTGGTCAGACATATAGTGAAGATATTGCTGGTTTGCTGGTCCCATGCAACAGCTATTTAATGGTTGACTTGGACAAAAGCGTTTCCCTCCACTGGGAACTGAACTCGAGTGGTTCCAAACGCAAAGTATCTTCGCAAATTCGCAAAAATGTTTTTACAGCTTTGGATGGTGATAGGGTGAGAGAGGATGAACTTGTCCTTCCCTAAAAATGTCTAAGGTTATAAATTTGCCATTTTGTGGAGCCATTTTCTTCTTAATTTTTTTACATATATAGTCCCTTAACTCATGCAGTCTAAACTATAGTCTTGAATGATGATTTCTTACCAAAACTCTATGAGTTCAACTGACTGCCTGGTATCAAGAACCCTTCCTGGATACCCAGCTACTTAATTTTAAAAGAATTCTTTAACAGAAAGGGCCTTTAAAAGTGTGTATCCTTAATTTCATCAGGCACATGTTGTGACAAGACGTCTGTTATCATCAGGAGCTTCTGTAAGTTTCTCTGAGATTTTTTACAAATAACCAGTAGGTTGGTAATAATGCTAGATGTAGGATGCTTTCAACACTGCTGATCCTAGAATGTGAGACCAGAATAAAAAATGGTGTTAATCTTCATTAGTCTTTCCCTACACAGTTTTCAGACTCTGTGGTGACAGAGTCTGAAAACTAATGTACTCGCTACTTCATGAAAAAAAAAATGTCCCACGATAAGGGATGAGGGGAATGCAATTATTGCACATTGTGGAGCTGAAGATTTACAAGTTTGGTGAAAATCTGTGGTACATGTACATGTAGATGGTCCTGACTGCATTATGGCAATAAATTAATTATTTGACAGTTTGATGTGACTTCATGATACCACAAAGTAAAGACTTCTTACCCATGTTTGTCTTCTGTTTTTATAACTTTGTTAAGAAAGCATTGAAACAACATCTAGTAGGGTAAAGGTAGTGTTTTTTTTTTCATCCCTCCATCCTTCTTTTAGCATTCATTTTTATAGAAAAATGTACCAGTCCTGTGTAACTTATGGCTCTAAGTTTTTACTACAGTGTAGTTTAGGAATAAGTATTTTCTACTACAGATGTAGTTCAGGTGTAGTAGGCTACTTCTGAGGTTGAGCGCCTACTGTGTATATTAATTAAATGTGTAAATAAATTTTTGAGAGTGTTGTCTCCCTTGACTTTCTTCTGTTAAACAGAAGGATGTCTCATCTATCAGGAATATTGGTGTATCTGCTCATATAGACTCAGGAAAAACCACTCTCACAGAACGTTTGTTGTTTTATACTGGTCGTATAAGTCATATGCATGAGGTAAGATACCTCGTCTATAGCTTTGTTTATTTTGTACTCTAACAGTGCATTTTGTATGTGGGAAGTACATATACATGTAAGGCCGCATTCATTGACATGGAGGCCCTGTTTGGGGGGAGGGGTGGTATATGTTGAAGAGTAGGCCATGTCCCTCTCAGTATTCAACCCATCTTTATGTTGTTTGTCGCCATTTCGTCTCGTCTTGTGTCACTGTTTCAAGGCCATGTTGCATGTCAGAATTTTACCCAGGCCTCCCTCACAAATGCATGTTATAATACACTGTATCATATATGTTGTAGTTAATTTTTTATTTCAGTTAATTTTTATTTTTCCATGATTGTTTTTGGGTATGGTGATGTATGCTAATGAGTTTAAAACAAAGGAAAAACAAAAATTAACTGAAATAAAAAATAAACTGCAACATATACAAGTACGTGTAAGTCCTAAACAATAGTGAATTCCATTGAAATACTGAATCTTTGACTTTCAAAATTTCCATGTCATTTTTTATCTATATTATTGCTACTAAAGCTACAACAACTATAAGTCACCTTTGTTATCCAGAATTTCAATGACAATTTTTATTAATATTATTGCTACTAAAGCAACAACTACAGAAGTCACCTTTGTTATTCAAAATGTTTATCGAAGTAAGGAGAGCAAGAAATTGTGGGATGGCCTTCTGTATTGGAAGGTTGGGAATTTGATTCTTTCCTAAGTGTTCAAGAAGTCAGAATGCCCTTCCTGGGAATCCAAAAAGTTCTTTGCCTACAATGATGTATTCTTTCATCTAACGTATTTAATATGGATTGGTGTATTGTTACTGACTTACCTGACCCCTGACCTTGTTTTCCTGATGTGACTAGGTGCGTGGCAAAGACAATGTGGGAGCCACAATGGATTTTATGGAACTTGAACGGCAGAGAGGGATCACTATTCAGGTGGGAAATTAATTTAAATTACTGTAATGCTATGTATATGGTTCAGATGTTAACATGCAGACTGTTTGTACATTCATTTGATAGGTAGATGATTAGACAAAAATGGCATTGAAGTGTGTATCATCTTAATATTATTAGTCTTAAGCAATAGTCAATAATAGTCAATAGTCATTAAAAGTACACTGCATCTTACACTCTAAATCAATGTTTAACTTTAGTCAGCAGCTACATATGTAACCTGGAAAGACATGAATGTCAACATCATTGACACTCCTGGTAAGTTGTACAAGTCGCATTACACATACAATATTGTACATAGTTCCCACGTAAAGGGGATGGGCAGTACTCTCTTTATTGAGCTGTTATACTTACCAGTTTTGGGGGCACCAAAGGGTATAATCTGTCCAACAAAGTTTTTTAAACCATTTGGGTCTGAAATTGGTCCTAAAGGTTTATTTGTTCTCCCTTAATTTTACTGGAGTCTGAGTATGTTTCTGTATCAATTTATTTTAGTTCCTTGAGAATGGCAGCATAGGTCTGAAATGGGGTAGCACTAAATATTCACTCATTTGAATGGCTACACCACAGAATTACATCTCCATAACAGATGCAAGAGTTAAAATGACAAATTTATCATCTCATCTTAACTCTATAGTCTTGGGTTGAAAGGATATAACTGCAAAAGAGGAAGTTGTCCTCTTTTGATATCCCTGCGTAACACTGGATAATCCTACAGACAGCAAAACTGCATAGTGTGCGAAATTTTGTAGGCTGTAACAATGGCAAATTAACAGCATACATGTTAATGGACTTGGGCATTACCTTTGAAATTCTAGGGCATGTGGATTTTACTGTAGAGGTTGAGCGATCGCTCAGAGTTCTTGATGGAGCTATTTTAGTGTTATGTGCAGTTGGTGGAGTACAGGTTTGTTCATCATTTAAAGCTCTACTAACCATTAATGTACATGAAACATGTATACACACACTGCAGATAGTGCCTTAATTAATGAATGTTGCCAGCTTTATTAAATTTTTTAATGGCATGCCTTTGCTGAGTTGCATATATGTTACAGGACATGATCCAATTTGATTTTCAGGTTAATTTTGAATTAACCTAGGTTGATTCTCCATTTTCTTTGTTTCCTAGCCCCAATTCATGAATAATTAGGGCTAGGACACAAACGAAATTGAAGTAAAAAAAATTTAACCTGAAATCAAATTTGATCTGTAACATTTATACATTGTATTGTGCAATTCATGCACTTCTGGGGCAGATCAATATTAATTTGAAATCTCGGCCACATTTTGTGAAATTTCCGTATACAGTGTAGATGAATATTTCCAGAAAAGTATCTCATTCCCCTTCTGGAATTTGCCATGCAACTTGAATCAAGACTCAACTCTGCTCATGTGGATTAATTATGTTGAGGGTTTTTTTTGTGTGTTTTTTATCTTTGGTGTAAATTTTCTTTTCTTTTGTCTTTGGGTATAATAATTTATAATAATGAGTTTAAAATAAATGAAGTCAAATTTAAGCCAAGTATAATACATGGCGATTGTGTAATTATAACAAAACAAATGTACTCTATAAATTTTCAACATTAACTTTATCTTCTTCTTTCCTTTTGAAGATACCCTTTCCCTCAAAATACATTTATGTTATATTAGAACTGTGATCTTTGCTAAACTGATAGGGATTCTATATAATTTTTGTGGACATTTCCTGGAGCCATTTATTTCACAATTTTTTTGCTTACATTATTTTTTGTATCCAACAGAGTCAGACATTAACTGTAAATCGTCAAATGAAGCGTTACAATGTACCTTGTATTGCCTTCATCAATAAACTGGACAGGTAAGAAAGCATGAAGGATGTAGCGTTAGGCTAACTAAATATTTTTGCCTTTTATTTCTCCCGTATTCTTTATTGAAATTAGGATTTAAAAGATTCGCTACGGAGACTGAGGTACTCTTACCATGACATGAGGTCAAAGTCACTTCTTGTGATGTCACCACCTGGGTTGCAGTATGGCTTTCCCGCTTGCTCTCACCTTGTTGTTTGGTAGAGGAAAGTGCCTTGATTGCTGTACCCTTCACTATGTGACTATTAACTGTTATTTTGTGGTACCACAGAAAACAAGGTTATGGCCGGTGGGAAAGCTGCGCTTCAACTCGGGTGGTGAAGTCACTAGATGTGATTTTGACCTCATGTTACCATAGTAGCACCTCTCCGTAGCGAATCATATAGTCCTTATTATTTTCTCCCAATACTCATAAAAATTTTACATGTACTGTATGTGGCATAAATCTGTATTTTCGGTCACAGTCATTTTAAAGCGGTGTGCGACAAACGCAGACTGCACACTGCAGACTTGCAGACTTAGCAGGTAAACGAGGTAAAAATTTGTGCGAAATGCGCTAACAGATTCCCTATCCCTAAACTAGACTTTTAAAAGACTTAAAGGTTAGGGATAGAAAATCTGTTAAAGCATTCCACAACAATGTTTACCTCGATTACCTGCCAGTCTGCAAGTCTGCAGTCTGCGTTTGTCCCACACCGATTTTAAAGTACCAGATTCATACATTGTAGGTTAAACAATATGGGACCATGTACATATTTATTATAAGGTTTAAATTGTATCATTAAATGTATTTTGTCCTCTTTTTCTTCTTGTGCTAGAATGGGAGCAAACCCATCTCGTGTCCTCAGTCAGATCAGGTAAACCAGTGCCTATTAGTAATGTATATGGACATAAACAGTGCTTGAAAAAAGCCTGAATTCCAGCTTGCCTAAAGGACAAGCCTGTCTCACATTTTGCTTGCTCAGAGTCAATGCTCTATTGTCTTTAAGTTGATGACAAGGTGTAGCAAAATATCCTGATTTTTCAGTGGTGAGCAAATCTTTCGGCTTTGGCAAATAATTGTTCTGCGTGACACTGACAAATCACGATATTTTGCGATAACCATGTTCAATAATATTATTGTTTTATCATTTGATCACCAAGTTTGTCTTTTAATGAATATCTTCGGGAAGTGAAGCAGTCTGCCATTTTTCACGCAAGAGTGATCGCAAGGAGGAGAAAAGTGTGGGTTCATTTGCGCATGAGCATAATATTATTTGCAGCCAAACACAGTTAGATGACATTGCACATGAGCAGACCATTATTATTTTGTATGCAGTTATTTGCACGTCACTTGGTGGGCTTTTGGCCAATGAAAAGGAAGAACAATTTGTATTGAATGATAATGATATTTAGTGACAAGATAACATGCTGGGTAGCCTGAGACAAGCAGCCGACATTTCACAATGGTGAGGTGTCACCACCCAGTTCTGTGTATTGCTTCTGATTGGTTGTGTCATAATAAGAAAAATTTGATTCAACCAATCACAAGCACTTCCTAGATCTGGGTAGTGACACGTCATCAGCATGGAGTTTTTCAGGTGTCATTTTGCAGGAAAGCAAGTGTGGTGTGCGTGGTGAAAATTAATGCAGGTGCGGATCTAGGGGGAGGGTGCAGGGGGTGCGCACCCCCCTGAGATGACCTGCGGTTTTCCAATATAACTGGTACTCTGCAAAAAAACTATGTGGTTTATTGGTGTTGAAGTAGAGCAAGAGACGAGTGCACCCCCTCCAAAAAAAAATCCTGGATCTGCCCCTGTAGTGTTAGCTGTTTTATCAGGCTAAATGCCAGGACTCTTTATCACTTTGTACAATTAACTAAAAAGGATAGAATGCTGTGACTTTGCAGGTGCACCATCCCTTTGCTTTCAAACTTGGCGAGTTTACAAATATTATTATTCAAGGCATTCTTTCAAGCAGTGTCGATGCAATTTTTCTTAAACTACGTAGTCCATAATAAAAGTCGATGAAAGCCATGGAAAAGTCTATAGACAATTAATCAACTTTTTTGTAAATTGAAAACATCGGTGGGTTTATCAATTTTAGTTATGAACTATTGTTTTCTTTTACTCTGACAAAATTGGTCTCCAATCTTCTACATTGTAACATCTGAGCTTCAATTTATTTAGAGCAAAGTTACAACACACGGCCGCCTTTGCTCAGTTGCCAATTGGTGTAGAATCAGAACTGAAAGGTGTTATTGATCTAGTGCGATGGAAAGCTTATTACTTTGTTGGACATCAGGGGTGAGTTCATGTAAAGCCAGCAAGACAAGGATTATTGTTTAGTTTTTTAATCAAGCGTGATTGTTGCAGCTTTTCCTTTTATTAGTAGATACTGTCTGCTAATCCTTTTTAGTTGTCATAATTCCCACTAAAAACGGCTGTTTTATTTTATAGATACCCATAATTCCCTTAGGGGGGCTTTTAAGCAATAGAGAGGGGGGGGTTTATTTTAGAGAGGGGGGGTATTTTTGGAAGCAAATAATTTTGGAAGGGAAAATACTTATCAAAAGGTTTGAACTTCAAGATAGAGTGAAGGAAAACCTCGAAAAAGACTCGTAGTAGCATCATTTGTATGACGTATCGCAAAGATGCAGGATGCTTGTTTCAAACACATCTTCAGGTAATGGCCGCCATTGGTTTTTAGCTCACAAGTTCTACGTAAGGGGTATTCAATCAATGAGTATAGACTGGTCAGTAGGTTGTCCTACCTCTGAATTTAGATGTGCTTGATAGTCCCTAAGAATGTCTGCACAGGAGGGCTATGTACCTAATTCATGTCAACCACCAATGTTGTACATCTTCATGTAGGTCCCAGGTAGAGGAAGGATTTATTCCTGAAGATATGATTGAAGAGTGCACAAAGAGAAGACAGGAACTAATCGGTAAAACTAAATGATAACAATAATGTTATACCTTGCCTTATGGATAGTGTGATTGATTCTTGAATTTGAACGTTCACATGTGTAGCCGTGCTACAACTTAGCAGGAGAAACCCTTCAAATTTAATTAATTTGATAGTGAGGTTCCAAACTTGTCAGGGTGTTCATCAGGCAATGGAAATAGGAGACTTCTCCATTTACTATCCAGAATTCTTTGGCTAATGTTTGGTAGCCTGTGACTAGTTTTTAATCAGACCTGGAGCCTTTTTCAAAATATTCTCCTGTAACGTTACACCTTTTTCCTGCTACTAGAATTGAAAATGAAAACCCTGTTTGTCCCAGGTTGAAACTCAGGTTTGCTTAGGTACATGTGCTGGTAGTAGCTTCCACCTTTTCAGTCCGTCTCACGTTTTCTCTCAGTAGAAAAAGTCAGTGTGTGAACGAAAAAATAGATAATGGTAATGATTAAATTAATAATGGTGTATTTTTATAGTTTTGCAGCTGAAGTTCAATCCTAATCATAAATGATTAAGCTACCCAATGAATGTTGATGCTTTTGCTGAGTAGTAACAATTATTTCAGTTTGAAGGTGTCTTACCCATAATTATGATAAAAGTACTCTTTGAATTGATAGGAGCATCTAGGGAAAACTCTACCCCCCCCCCACTGAAGCCTCGCCCTCGTCCCTGGATCTGCCACCACTTTGATCAAAATAACTCTTTTTTATTTCCCTAGAAACTGTCGCCGATGTTGATGATGTTCTTGGTGAAATGTTTTTGGAAGAGATCCAGCCAACAGAAGAACAACTAATTGTAAGTGTACATGTACATGTATGTACAATGCAATAACAATATAATTATTTGCTTTCAAGCAGGTTGAGCCCAATTTGTACAGAGATGAGCAAATTGGCCTGCTCCCAATTCATTAGTCTTCATTGCTCAGTTGATAGAGAACTGCAGCGCTACTGCAGAGGAGAAAGATTTTCAAGAAATTCTAATTTTACTTTGACTAAATCTTTATTTTCCTTTCATTTCCTACTATTTAAGAAAGTGAGGGAGGCGCTTATTCGAGTGGGGCGCTTTTTTGATATTACGGCCCACGAGGTGGGCGCTTATTACGACGTGGGTGCTTATTCGAGGAAATACAGTATGCATTATAGAGAGGAGAAGTCGTTATGTCGAGTTGCCATGGTAGCAAAATTTCTGGATGACAACAAACCAAAACGTCGCTTAAAAAAAGAATTCGCACTGTTTCAAACTTCATCGATCCTATCTAATTTCATTTAATTTGTCCAATGTTAGTCAATTTTCTGTGTTAAATCCGAAGGGACCGTATCTAAGTTTAGAAAAAGAACATTTTTGTGTTCTGCTCACCTACTCCATAAAGCAGGCGCGTGAAATTAGGAAGTTTCCTGTCGCAGTCGTGCAACAACGGCTAAGAAATATACAAAAAAGCGTGATGCACGTGCAAAGTTGTTTTTTGCCAATCTAAACCTATTGTTTTCTTTTGCTGTTCGCCGTTGCCATTGCAAAAACTCCCCATTGTTGTGATCCAGAAATTTTGCTACCATGGTAACATGACGTCACACTTCTCCTCTCTATTTAAGAAAAGACAAAGGGCGATTTATCTTGAGAACATCACATGACCTAATGCCTTAGGACAAAGAAGCCTTCGAGCTAAAAGAGTCTTTTTAACAGCTCTGTGGTGAATTGATTTTGATTAGGTTGCCAATTGCCTGTATTAGCTTGTCCAGGGTATTCTCTTTTTTAATGTTGTGTATGATTGACGTCATTGATGCATTAACACTTAGGTGCAAACATTGTAATTATGTGGATTTTTTAAAACAGCTCTTTTGGTGTTTTGATTGATAGGCTGCCATTCGTCGAGCCACTATTAAGAGAGCGTTCACACCAGTGTTTGTTGGATCAGCTCTGAAGAACAAGGGAGTACAGGTCTGTTGCGCATGTATTAATTTTGTTTTCTTTCCACTCTTGACTTCAGTATCAAAAGTAATAATAGAAACTATTAGGAAGAGATTTGCGTAGAGTTTTTTTCCCGTATTCGAAAACAATAGACACCCGGGAAAGCCTCATTTAACTATGTTTCACCATAAAAGTTAACATGGTTATTTTTATTGAAGGAGATTAAGCCCTATCCCGATTGCAAAATGGTAAAACTTCTAACATTTGATAACTTGCTGTCGCCACTACGACATTCTCGCTAAAACACGTCGTAGGATGGCGACGGCTATCATGTTTTCCCGCCAAAATGAAGTTGGTTCACGTGCGAGCACCACTCAGTATTGAGAAAATCTGGTACTCGTACTCGTCCTCGTCTCAGAATCTAAAGCTCTCTATTCTGCTACTCCCACAGCCTCTTTTAGATGGTGTCGTCGACTACTTACCAGACCCTAGTGAGGTGAAAAATTTTGCCCTCGATGCTGAAAAGTAAGTTCTTAACTAAGAAACATTCTCCCTAATGAAATCTCAATAATACAAGATAAGAAGGATGGAAAATACATTGTACACCTTATTATTTATTGCAAAATAGTGGCAAATTTAGTTATAGTTTTGTCTTCGAGATAATTGGCTCTCAATACGTCGTTTAAGACATAGTTCTCTTAAATTAAACAGATGCTTTAATGAATTCCATGTCCATTTTGCTGTGCGTCTGTTCTCTAATACCCAGTATGTATTCATGGGGTGAATGAGTGGGAGCTGTAATAAGACGCAACCAGCGTTATAATCAAGTAAATACAGCGTTCCGATTCCGCTTACGACCTAGTGAAAACTAGATCGTCGAAGTCGAAAGTAGCCTGAGAAAACAGCCGACATTTGGCGACGCTACCACTGGTTTCCCCGCCAAATGACGTCTAACGAAACGAGTGCAGAAATTCCATACTGATGACGCGTCACTACCCAGCTCTGGGTGTTGCTTCTGATTGGTTGAATCAAATTTCCCACGCAGCATGATCACTGATGACGCGTCATCAGTATGGAATTTCTGCGCTCGTTTCTCAGACGTCATTTGGCGGGGAAATCAGTGGTAGCGTCGCCAAATGTCGGCTGTTTTCTCAAGCTCAGTCAAAAGAGAAAGCCGAAGAGCTAACGCAATCACTGCTAGTAGGGACAAGCGTTGTGATTTCTATATTTGGGGCTTCCTTTATGATTAGATCTTAACTGACGGATTCAATTGATGGAAACGTCAGGGGCACCCAAGGACTGTTTTCTGTGAAATATCTGTTCGAAGAAGCAAATATTGCCTAGACTCTTCTATTACTTGAGGACCGCAAAAAATTGCCAGATGACCGTTCTTTTCATGTACAATTTTGATTGAAGCTCATGATGAGATGACATCGAATAAATTCCCCTCGATTTTCTGAAGTTTAATTTTTCACATTTCACTCCCCAAGTTAAGCTATTCTTCGAAGGGCAAAGGAAACCTAAAATTTTCGGATTCAAAAGTGTGATGGAGAGAGGAATCAGAAAAATTCACACCTTCGTAATACGTTAAATTGCATCTAAAATCCTCGGGAAAATAATGCTGAAGCCCTTGTAATTTCGAAAGGAATCACGTGCCCCTAGGATGACCTGCACTGTAACAGATACAAATTTTATAGCCCCGCTCGCAGTGCATTTTTAGAGATCTAAAAGTACTCAGAATAGCCTCTTGAAGAAATTCATCAGGCTAGTGAAGTTATTAAGTCGATTTAAATGTTCTTAAAACAGTCATCGAAACTGTCAGCATCATTAAGACGTTAAGACTGGCTATGTCTTAAGAACATTTAATTCGACTCAGAATAGCCTGAAAAGTGTTTTCAATGTATGTAGGAGGAAACCGTCGTTGGGTGCCCCTGAAACGTTCTGATTCTTGCCACTCCGATTCCCTTGCGCGTGTGACAGTACTCCTCTTGCGACTTCGTCGCTAGTGAAACCCAGCCTTTTCATTTTTATATTAGGGACTTTAAGATCCAACGACGCGGTTTAATAAGCAAAACAACAACTTTTCACGTGCATCACGCTTTTTTGTACATTTCTTTCTTGTTTTTGCACAACTACGAAGTGAAAATCCCTCATTTAGCGTTTTATGGAGGACGTAAACAAGCAACGACGAAATTTTATTTCTCTCTCTAAACTAGGCTATGGTCCCTTCAAATTCCGCTTCAGGAGGGTCCGCCTACATTTGACGAAGTAAGTGGGTAGGAATAGTCGCTATTGAGACTAAAGGAACGGAAATTCACATTTTAAGCGACGTTCTCGTTGCCGTCGGGTCGTTGGATCTTAAAGTCCCTATTGGTTAGTATTCACAACAGCGCTCCCTGTACGTACAACTAATTTATTTTGATTTATAGTGCCAACGAAAAAGTTGAGCTTAACAGCAAAATAAGTTCTGATCACCCATTTGTGGGTCTGGCTTTCAAACTTGAGGTGAGATTTTTTTCGTATTCATCCTGTTTCATTTAAGAGATCAACTACTTGAGATCGTGAGAAATGGCTTCAAAATTAATACTGTGGCTACTAGCGTTCCTGTGATAAAGGACATGCCTTTTGATCTGAAGAATATAGAATAAGTTATCTATACTGAGAAGTGTAAATGAGAAGCTGAAACCAAACTTAGATGAAATGTCTTGAACTAAGGATCACAGCAAGAACTGGATGGCTGAAACAACCCGCTTCACAAAGGCGTTACCTACAACTTCCAGAATTTAGTGTTCAAATTTAAAGAATTTAGTGTTCAAATTTAAGTAATGCGAGCGAAATTTAAGCGATATAGTCTTTACTTGTACAAGAAAACAAAATCCTTTATCATTGCGGTAGTCCACGTTTTAAAGTGAGAAGCCTGTATCCTTCTTCAAGGCTTCACTCCTTTAGATATGCATCTGAACAACTTTGTGGAACGGAGTCACTGAGGACCTGAGGTCAATGACATTCTTTAAGGAGTTTAATTTTCAGTGTGCGTCAAATTTCGTTTTAGCAAGTATAATAATAGGTGTACATAATGATTAGTTAATTTCTAATTTTAATTTCTCTCTTTCGTTTCCTCTTATGTTTATGTTCTATTCTCTTTTTCCTTTCTTTTACAATTATTATTATTATTATTGTCATTATTATTATTATTATTATTATTATTATTATTATTTGCTCTTTCTAGGAGATATTAGCTTTTACAGCTACGCTGTAAATCCGAGGTTTAAATAAAGGTGATGTTACGTTATGTTGCTATCACAGAACGCATGGCCTCATGTGAAGGATCGGTTGCAGTGCATCCGTCCCATAACACCCCTCGTCCCGTGTCAGAGCAAAGAGAGACGCCTGGGAACGAGACACTGAGCTGTGGCGCTCGCTACCATGGCTAAACGTGTCAGAGACTTTCCTTTTGATTGAGTGGGATTTCTTTTTCCTTGAATAATTAGTTTATGTTTAAAATTCTTCATTCCCGAACAAAGATGTTTTGGCAAATGGTGGCGATACGTTCATAGTCAGAGCTCCGTTTTTTAAGCACGTTTTTTTTTCGTTCTTGTTTGACGTATCCTTATCTTGGTTACAGGCAGGACGATTTGGTCAGCTAACTTACCTGAGAGTTTACCAAGGCTCTCTGAAGCGAGGAGGTTATATTGTGAACACAAGGACTGGAAAACGTGTCAAGGTCCCAAGAATAGTGCGCATGCACTCTGATACCATGGAGGTGTGTTAAAATCTGTGATACTTGTTTACAAATTATTGAGTGTTCCATCGTGAAAATAAACCAAATTTGTGAAAACGAGGTGCTGTCCTATCGGGATCTAGGATTTGAGCTGTTGTCGTCCTCAAGTCTTTTATGTCATGTAACTCCCCGCATATTGCTCACGTGTTCCTCACGTATCCAAAAAAGAGATGATCACATGACAATGACATGTAGTTATTTGTCTTTTATCATGAAAATGTTTGAGCTTCCGTCGCCCTCATATTGTCTATGTCTAGTGACTGCTCACACATTGCTCACGTGTTTCTCACGTGTCCAAAAGAGATGATCACATGACAATGAGTCCTTGAAATTAGTTTTGCCTCTGACAAATGTCTTTGTTCTTGTTTTTAAGGATGTACAAGAGGCTAATGCGGGCGATATTTGTGCCCTGTTTGGTGTCGAATGTGCGTCTGGTGACACGTTTACTTTTGAAGGAGCTAAGCCAGTGTCCATGGTAAGCAATTTATTTGTAAATGTTGGAAACAGTTAAAATTGAACTGAAAGCCAACGGCGATGATACGCCACTTGCACATCTCCCATAATGCACCTTTTTTGCATAAGCATAGTTTTCATTTTCTCTTGGGACGGCTGTAATACCCAGGAGAAATGAAAAACAAAGGTTATGCAAAATTTTGGGGCGCAAATAAGGTGCATTATGGCAGATGTGCAAGTGGCGTATTGAAAACCTTACATGAAATGTGAAAGCTTACGCATGACGTATGAAAAGTCTGCGCGGGGCGTGACAAATGTGCGAGAAGCGTGAAAATGAGTGCATGAACTGTGCATGAAGCGTGGAAACAATTTACGCATCACGAGTTTCATGTCACTAATAATACCAACCACCTGAACCGATACACTTGTGCATATAACTTATGTCAATGTTGTTTTATTTCTTTTAGGAGCCGATTTTTGTTCCAGATCCAGTTATTTCATTAGCGGTGGAACCCAAAAACAAGGTGACAACTTCTTTTGTTTTATATACAAGACGCTCTATGAGCGTGGACTCGGGCTGCCATGATTGAGTCGAGTTTAGTGGTTAATTAACGCTTTAATACTAACAATGTTCGGGGAAACAGCCTTCCGTTTCTTTAAACCGCTCTGCGTTTTCACATTTTCCTAATTTTGCGCATTCGTATTATAAAAGTTAGACTTAACAAAACAACTCTCTAAGACCGACACGTTAGTCCCTGCCGTTTTGAGACCTAAGTTTCCCGTAACTACACTCTATCAGTAAGACTAACACCTCTCTAAGACGGACAACAGACACTTTTGAAACCGTCAACGGACACTTGGGAAGTGCTTTATGTAGTGAAAAGTACCTCAAAGCCGAATACATTACGCTTCTCCTACAGATCGTATCTCGTATCTTGTCGACTTAATACAGTATCGTCATTTCTAAACGCAGCGTGGAGAAACAAAACTACTGTCCTTTTAGCCTGTAAAACTGATTGAGACCATGTAGTCAACTGAGTCAGCGCTTTCATGTGTCTGCTTTTTAGCTCATGGATGACGTAGCCATTCCATGAACTTTGAGAGGCAGTCGAATGGCACTCGATCACTCACTCACTCCTTAGAAGAAAGGAAGTGTTTTTGAGGATCGCCCCGTCAAATAGAAACGTATTCACATGGATAGTCAGAGGGGCTTTTCATGCAATATCAGGCACAAAACTAAAACTTAATTTGCTTTGCGAGTTTTAAGAAACAGAAAATTACTGCTATTTAACAGCATGTTGAACGCCAAAAGTTGACCCTGTCACGTTTTGTAAGCGCACGACGACAATACGCAGGGTTCGCAAATACGCCAAAATTGTTCAGATGACTCCACAGAGGTTACGGAGGGAGTCACTTCAACTCCAGAAATTTTCGGTAACAAACAGTGAGCCACTTCGACTCCAGAAATTTTCGGTAACAGTTTTGCCCTTACCTTTTTCGCAACAAATAGAATTTACGTTAATTGTAAACGTTGTAAACCTTAATTAAATCATCAAAATTAAAGAATTATACTGCAAGACAAAACAGGAATAGGGTAAATTACGATCAAAGTTTACTCGATGACCGCCATCATGGATTTGAGCTTTCCAGGTCAGCGGACCGCCACAGCTACTTCGTGTATCCATCACGATAGTGTATACATGCCAAGACCACTTGTTGGAAAGTCTGAAAATGGCTTTTTTCGTTGTGATACTTGACTCCAAATATTCCAAAATGACTCCAAAATTTGTGAAGCAGAAGTCACAGTGACTCCACTCATCAATAAAATTTGCAAACCGTGATACGTTTTGGAATTTCCGGTTAGATCAAACTACAGTATGACCCCAATAACTCGAACTCCCCGTTAACTCGAACTAACTCCAATTTCCCTTGGATTTTACCACACTTTTCAGTCATTTTTACCCGGTTAATTCGAACTCGGATAACTCGAATTCCCCGCTACCTCGAACTAATTTTAATCGGTGTAACAAACGGATCACGTTTTATCATAAACAAAATGCCTCATCATATTACCGTTTCTTATGAAATACGGTATTTTTTACTGTATAATACACTGAAGTGCTGAAAAATCAGTAACTATCAATTTTTAACCTGTTACATTGAACTTTGCAATCGACCGCGATAACTTGAACCCTCGCTAACTCAAATGCAGTTTAGTTTCCCTTCAGAGTTCGAGTTACCAGGGTTCTACTGGTTGCGTTATCCTTTATTGTTGAAAAACTAATTTGTTCACATACAGCCCCGACAAACAAATTGTCACGGCGAATGTGTTCCCATTTTGGGGGTTTTGTTAGCTATTGAACTGTCTCAGCCAATTCATCCGTGAGCTGGCTCACAGGAGCCTTTGATCTTTTTCTCAATCGCCACCTTAGAAACGACGAGGGGACTGGGTCGAGTTATCTTTCGCAAAGAGTTATGGGACTGTTACTCGGGTCGGAGGAAAAATTGGCCAATAACTGACCGGCGTGTCTCTTGTAACGATCACAGAAACAATAGACCTTTTTACCTCGTATGTTTTGTTTTCCCATTTCAGACCACGTGATGGTACCCCAGAGAACTGAAATTCCCTGGAGAACATCACGTGGTCTGAATTGGGAAAACGAAACATAAAACGATAGAAACTTGATCAGTCACAAATTTTCTTGATTGCCTTTCCTAAAAGTTCCTTTACGACACCTGGGGGAATCGTGGTTGATCTTGTCCTTTGGTTGTACGCCTTGGCATCGGTGCTTACCCAAACAACATGTGAATGTCCCGAAAGCGCAGCTATTTTCCCCATATGCCAGTTATTAGAGTTAAAATTAAACATTTCAACAACTGCTCCGCCCGGAGGCATGAAGATAGGGAAGGCATGGGCCGCTCCATGCATTCCAAAGAAAATGTCTGCTGATGAAACCAGTTCTAACTGGGTTTTCAAATTCAGCGAGTCCAGTTGAGTTGCGACAATGGTGATGTTAGGAAAGTTTTCTTCCATTTCTTTTAAAACGTCTTTTTCATTAGCAATTTTGCGGTCGACCGTTCCGTCCAAATTCCTGGGGTGACTGTGGTAATCTCTTCTAAAGTTGAGCAGGACCTTTATTTTGTGCTCGCTGCAGTTGCGAGGCCTCGCATGCACAGGGATGCCAAACCGCTGCAGTACGTACTCCCTAAATGGCTGAACGTACTTCAAAGCGTTCACGTTTCGATCTAGCAGAGGACAGTAAGCCCGTGGGTAACGCCATAATAGGTTTTCGAACACAACACGGCTGGAATTTGTAAACAGGCTATCGTTACCGAGTTTGATAAGCTTGGAAAAGACCACACTCCAAAAGGGGTCGAGTGAAGTGGGAGGGTGCGCGTCCATGAGAACGATGTTGAGGCTCTCTGGTGCTATCCCCACAACTTGTGTCGTGATAAAAATATCCATAAGGTCAATGACTGTCCAGTAAACATTGGCATATTCGACCCTTTGAATAGCCAAGTAATGACCAGTGTTGAATGAGTGAGTTGTTCCTATTAACTGCGGTGTCCAAGGAATGATAACTTCCACTGCCAGCCCCCAAGAAGATAACACGTTATTGATGGTCGCCTGATAAAGCTTCTCCTTTACCTGGTTAATATCTCGATCGCAATACAATGTAAAGAAACCTCTTTGTAGTTGGAAAAATTCGTCTTCTTCTTGCGGGTGCTGTAGCTTGACTTGAAGAACTTTTGCATGTCCAAGCGGTGGTCGAATGGTAATATTCTTGAAATGCAGAATTCCCCTATTCACTTCAGTCATTTTCTGCAGACACGATTCATTCAGACCGCCCACGGAGACACGTTTTCTGGTTGTCACTGGCATTGTTTGCTTTATATTTGTGCCCTGAGGTTCTTGAACATCTCTTTCTTGCGTCCTTGACCAAGAGAGAGTTTGAAGGACATTTGTGCCCTGAGGTTCTTGAACATCTCTTTCTTGCGTCCTTGACCAAGAGAGAGTTTGAAGGAGATAAAGATTGGCTGATAAAATTATGAAACCCAAAACAAGCACGACGGATTTAGTGCGACTGAAGAGTTTTGTTGAAATTATAGTTGATGTCAAACGAGCCATATGGCGACTTCTATTTTTCCCTTGTGGCTTGAGCTTAAGAAGGAGAGAAAAAAAAAAGCCTCAGTAACATGTAAGTATGATGAAAGAAGTTATTCATTATGGTTACTGGTTTATAGTCAGTACGAATCATGTCAACCGAGGTCTGTGTAAAACTACCTGCAAACGGACGCAACAACTTCCAGTATCGTTGGGCCAACAATGTTGGGAGTTGTGCCGTCCTTGTTGGCAGTGTTGTGCCAACGGATGCAACAACTCCCAACAATGTTGGGACCTGCAGTAGGGATCCATATTCATGTTTTCTTAGAGTCGTCAGCCGGGCAAGTAAGCCTGATGGCATACTTGCCTGTTGAAAATTGTGTGCAACTTGAACATTTCTGATTAGCATTTATGTCCGTTATAGTTTCTAGGAAAGGGTTGTAACTAAACTGTCAAGTACAACATGCTACCGGCCAAGGCTAAACACAGTTTATTTACATTTCACAAGTTTCCATGATCGGTCAGTTTGCCATGAAGGCAAGACGGTGCGCTTGCGTTTTCCGCGGTATATTTGCGTCACCTTTTTGGAAACGTCTTCTAAAAAACTTCACATCTTAAAGCGTATAAGGCACCGGCTTCTGCTTCACCCTTTTTTTTTTCGCCAAAGGCGACGAAACGCCTTCTAAAAAACGCCAGGCCTTGATGACTGCTGTCACGATTTCTGCGAATGGCCCCTGAATGCAGTACTTCACAAAATACTGAGCCTGCGATCATTTCGTAGAAAATGCTACGCCATCAAAGATGGCGCCCAGACTTATTTCATTGCAGACAAAAGCTGCTTGCTATTCTCCATTATTCTCAAAGTTTTAAGTGGATTAGAGAAGTAATCAGAACACAGGGAAAATGTATAAAATCATATAAGAATTTTTGAATAGATTTTGTGGTTGAGCAAAACCTCACTCGTCTGAAGAAGTTATGAAGTTATGAAGTTATCTTAATCGTCCGTACGAGATTGTAGTCGTCTGGGACGACTGGACGACTGGAATCCCTGTGCAGTACACCGTGGGAAAGATACAACCCATAAACTCCAAGAATACCATGTGTAGTGCGCGTGCGTGGCCCAACAATGTTAAAAGAGAAGCACAAACGAATCCAACATTGTTACGCTTGTATCACATGCTTCGTTGCACCAACATGTTATTACCATATTATTGCACGGACCTTTGTATACTTTACACCTTTGCACACCTTCTACATATTTAGTGATTGCAACGCATTAAATATTCAGTTTAGGACATGTAACAGAGACGTTAACATGGTGTCAGCGGTGGGATTTTTTTCTCCTCCCTCACAGCATTTAGATGGCTTAACGATTTAAATCTATTGGCAACCATGGCTTTAAACACTCCTTTATTCAGATTTTATAACAACGGGAGATTACAAACACGACATTGAGGTATTCATCGAAGATCTGACGGAACACTGCACCATGCAAAACTGGTTCGATCCGTCGAAGGAGTCAGAGGCTGCAAAATGGAAAAACCAGAGAAAGCGATGGCATGTCTTCGGGCGTCACTATCCCCTGCGAGCAGAGCGGTCTACAAATACAGTTTAGGGCTTTTAGCAGAAGATCTGGCGAAACCACACTTGGTTATTAATGCCCTAAGAGAATATTATGGCGCAAGCATCGGGGTCTCCGGTGAAAGATAGAAGTTTCTTCGCCTGCTGCAAAATGAAGACGAATCGATCGGTTCTTAGGAAACCCGTATACGAAATCAAGCTTCACAGTGCGAATATGAAAATTTCGCGGACGAGTTTATGCGAGACTCAGTTTATCGCCGGCTTAACGTCTGAAACCTTACGTGTAAAACTAATCGGTAAAGGCCACAGATACCGAGGTGCCGCACAAACCAAGGTCAAGTTGCGGGAAGTTGTTGAAATCGCAAAAAGCTTTGAGGCGACTACTTCTGCGAATCAGTTAACGAGAACCGCTTGAAGCACCCAGAAGGAGCAAGTAAATGTCACGAACAAATCCACACGTGAGAATCAGACTTCTGCTCCACCAACGCCACTGTGTTTTTGGTGTCGCGGCAGCCATGCAAGTCCTCGTCAACATCATTGCCCTGCGTTTGGCAAGAGATGCAATAAGTGTGGAATCGTTGGTCATTTCGCTCGTGCATGTAAAGGAGGAACAGGAAAGCAAGTAGGCGACAGGCAACAGTCAAATTTCGTTGATGATGACGCAGATGAGGAGGCAGAATGCAAAGTAGCAGAATGCAAAGCAACACGTAGGCCTGCAAAGAAGTTCTTCGCTCATTTACACCTTGTTCACGACGGGAAATCGAAAATTGTGAGAGCACAAATCGACTCAGCTTCAACTTGCAACACCATGCCCAGAGATTTATTAAGCCAGTTACAGTTGACTGTATTCCCTAATTTAAAGGTGTCAAAGACCAAAAGCAGAATCAGCCCATGTGGAAGCCAAACAATGCGACCAAAAGGTCAAGTGACCCTTGTTTGCTACAGAAAAGGCAGACTAGGCAGACTACAGACAATAGATTTTCTTGTGGTGGATGTCCCGGGCAACAAACCACCACTTCTTAGCGGAAAGGATGCGCAGGCTCTGGACTATTCGAAGATTTATGCAGACGAAACAAACGCAGTTGACGACGAGATTCTGCAAACTCCGCAAACACTTCTGTTACACCTGTATATGCCCCAAAACGCCGAGTGCCCGTGGAAAATTTAGACCGGTTAAATGAAGAGTCGAAAAGGCTTTCTGAAGAAGGGATTATTAGGCCTGTTACCCAACCTACAGATTGGCTGTTTAACATGCTGCTTAAAGAAAAACCAAACGACAAACTTCGCATCTGTTTTGACCCAAGCCAGAGCATAAACAAGACCATTAAGAGACCCAAATACACGATACCAACCATCGAAGAGAAGCCTCCTTTACTAACAAAAGCCAAAGTCTTCCCCATTGTTGATGTATCTCAAGCATTCCACACCATTGTACTGGATGAAAAGTCCTCTCCACTCACGACGTTTCAGGGGCCAAACGGTCGCCATTGCTATAACCGCATGCCGTTCGGTATTGCTTCTGGTCCGGAGGAATACCAGCGGCGACAGCGTGAATTCTTTAACGGTCTACGCGGTGTAATTAACATCGCCGATGATATTTGCGTGTATGGGTGTGGCGAAACAAATGAAGACGCTGACATCGACCACCACCGAAACTTGGCGCAGCTCTTGGAGAAGTGTGCTGAACACGATCTATGGCTCTCTGCAAATAAAACTTCAATTCAAATCCCCATCTATCACATTCATGGGGCACAAAGCTTACCCATAAAAGGATGGAGCCCGATCCTGCTAAAGTAGCCGCCATCAGAGAAATGCCAGTTCCAGCCGACAAAGCTGAAGTGCAACGCTTCCTAGGAATGTGCCAATACCTGTCCAAATTCTGTCACAACCTGTGCGAACAGTCTTGCCATTGAGGAGCCTTACCAAAGATGACTCTGTATTTCTATGGTCTGAAAGTCACGAAACAGCGTTTAACTCAGCTAAACGTCTTATAGCCTCAACAACCGCGCTGCGCTATTATGACCCACACTTCCCAGTGACACTTCAGGTAGATTCATCTAACTATGCAATAGGTAGGGTTTTACTACAAGAGGGGCACCCTGTCTGTTTCACTTCACACACCCTCAGCAACACAGAAAGAAACTATGATGAAATCGAGAAAGAGTGTCTTGCGATCGTATCCTGCATGGATAAATGGCATTACTACTTGCACGGCAAACATGACATCACAGTCCACTGAGACCACCAACCCCACGAGACAATCTTTGAGAAACCCTTGAGTAGACCCCCCCGCAGATTGCAAAGAATGATGTTGAAGTTGTAGAAATATTAGTTCACTGTTCGTTATAAGAAAGGGAAAGAGCTTTTTATAGCAGATACACTGTCTCGCTCAGCCACCAGTGTTCATAATGACACAACCCCGACAGTCATGCAAGAGTGCGAAGTGTTTCGTGTAGAACTGGCACAAATGGAGCTGGGGGCAAATAGAGTAACATATGAAACAATGAACCAGATCAGAGAGGAGAGTTCAAAAGATCCTGTTCTAGCAGTATTACATAAAGTTGTGCTAAGTGGATGGCCTTCAGAAAGGAAGGAAGTGCCCGAGCAAATCAGAGTTTACTAGGATTCAAGAGACGAGATCACAGTGTATGATGGAATCCTTTACACGTCTCATCAAGTTATCGTACCCACATCCTTGCGACCTGAAATGTTACGGAAGATACATAAAGCTCACCAAGGCGCACATAGTCATACGAGCCATGAAAAGAAATTTTGCCCGATACGGAATTCCAGACGAATAACTGATAACGACCATGAATACTCGCGTTTCGCTCGCGAGTACGGGTTTACCAGTACAAAATCGACACCCAACCACAGCCAAGGAAATGGGAACGCAGAATCGATAGTTAAGATTGCCAAGAATATCTTGAAGAAATCCCGTAACGAGGTCCTGTACTTAGCTCTCTTAGCGTACCGAAACACACCCCAACAAGGATACAACTATTCCCCTGCTGAGCGCTTGATGTCACGAAAACTTCGGGACATTATCCCTACATGAAGCTACCAGTCAGCTCTTCCCAAAACTAGTATGTCCCAGGGTTGTACAAGAAAACATTGCAGAAACAGGTCAAAGGTGCAGTACGACAAGAAGGCACTAACTCCGCTTAGAGAGTTCACAGAAGGGGAAAAAGTGTACCTCAAACCCCGCCCCACAAACAGGTCTCAACCATGGATCCATGCCCACACCAAGATCCTGCGTGGTCAAAACAGCAATGGAACCAGTTCGCCGTAATCATTGCTAAATCAGGAGAGCGAAAGCAGAGCCAGCTGATGGAGACAGCGCAGTGATGTACCAGCTTAAAATCGCGTCTACGCATTCAGAACAAGAACGGGAGAGACAACCACCAAACGCTGACTCAACAGGAGCAACAATGCCGAGAACACCCGGAATCGAATCAGAAGATACGTTGGCTGCAACAATAGGATGTGGACCTCGCCGATCACGACGTGAGCGCAGACTGCCTTCAAGATTCAGGGACTAAAATCTTACTCGACTACTATTCAATACCGCCAGCTACGCAGGCTAACCACGAGCTGAAGGCCGATAAACGGCTTATTTTTTCATCGGCTAGGATTCTCAAGGGATGCAAAAATACATTGAGGAAAAGTGCCACTATTGTTTATCTATCTTTTGCTTTTTCACTCCATGCTGGCGCTGGTGGCATTCACTAGTTTCTCGTCTTTTTAATTATGTTAGTTTCCTAAAGTCGCATTTCGAATTCGTATTCATTTGCGGGTGCAGACAACGAGCAAGCAGTTGACAATTTCAATTTTCGTACCGAGGATCTTTCGCCAATGTAAAAAACACAAAGTGGTTAACCACATGTCTTCATGGAGTAAACTAGTTTGGGATGACTGGGTTAAAGAACGGAACGCCTTACCATGACAGCGACACTTTCGTTGTAGCTCCAAACCGTGGAATTTTAATGACGCTGTTCAATTTCGAACTGCAGTCCTGGCGGTTGAAGTCGATGAACCGTCAACTACGAAAATCCGCGAATGTGGCGCAAAAGAAACGTAGCTCAGTTTAATTTTAGTAATTGTAACGTCGTGTTTAATATTTCCAATAAACATTTGTAAATTTGTTCTTCTTGAAAAGCTAATTAAAATGCGAGGGGATTATGTATTAATATGCGAGGAAAATAAGTCACTTAAAAAAAGAAAGGTTCAAAGGTTTGTTTATAGTGGAAAGTGCTCTTAGCTTATCCAGCTAGTTCACAGGCACTCCACTGAAATACTTAGAAACAAATAATTTAAATACAACATAACAGGATTAAAGACCTTAACTGGCAGGAGGCAACCAGTTGGCTATTTACTTATCCCTCTTGCATATTAATACATAATCTCCTCGCATTTTAGTTAGCTTTTCGTTAGCCCCGCTCTTCCCTTTAAACAATCAAAGCCGCACCTAGCTTTTCAGACAGTTGATTCGGGGATGATGTAAGGGGTTATTTTTACATTGGCGAGGATTCTTCATGGGATACATTGAACAAAAATGCCTCTATTGTTCATCTTTCTTTTGTTTTTTCAACACTCCACGCTGGCACTGGTGGCATTGACAAGTTTGTGGGCTTTTTAATTATGTTAGTTTTTCAAAGTCGCGTTTCGAATTAGTTGTTCGTAGTGAATGCTAGAAACAGCCTAATGAGCCTAGCAGTGTCGAGCGATTCAGAGTCAGAAGTAGAACCGTTTATTAGTCAAACTTAAGCAGTTTGAGTGGCTGTACTGCAATTGAGCTTTCGGAAAACAATTTTGAATCCTCATTCAAAAAAACACAAAGAGGTCAACTGCATGGAGTACACGAGTTTGAGATGACTGGTTAAAGAACGGAGCGCCTAAACATGACAGCGACACTTTCGTGGAACCGTGGAATTTTAAAAACGCTGTTTATTTTCGAACTGTCGTTCTGGCTGCGGAAATCGATGAACCACCAACTAAGAAAATTCGTGATTGTGGTGCAAAAGAAACGCAGCTCAGTTTAATTTTAGTAATTGTAACGTCATGTTAACATTTCCAATGAACATTTGTAAATTTGTTCTTTATGAAAAGCTAATTAAAATGCGAGGGGATTATGTATTATTATGCAAGGGGAAAAGTCACTTATCCCCCTTGCATATTAATACATAATCCCGTCGCATTTCAAATAGCTGTTCATTAGCCCCGCTCTTCCCTTTAAACTATCAAAGCCGCACTCAGCTTTTCAGACAGTTGATTCGGGGGTTATGTAATATGTTCCCCCCGAAAAGAACAAAGGAATCCTAGCTCATGTAAAAATAAGACAGGGTCAATCACCATTTACCTCGCAACAGTCTCTCTTTATTGATTTTTGAGGCCCTGCCTACACTTATCGGAATATATTTGAATCCGCAACTTTTTCTTCCCGGATTCAAAAATTTCCACTTCCAAACGTAACCGTATTCTGTATTGAATGGTTTCGATTTCTATTTTCGATAGCGTGATAGTGGAAACAGAGAAGTAGTAAATAAACGATGCAATACAAAGCGGTAATGGCCTGCTGTAAACTCTAACTGAAAGCAGCAAGACTTCATGTAGCGTCCCACGCCTTCGTGGGAGGCTAGACTTCTTGCCGTGTCTTGGAGGTGATGTTTCACGAGGCCTGTAATATTTTAATTTACCAGGAACGACTCAGCTCTTCTTGCTGCCAGGCTAGGCGAAAAATTTTCACGTAAGAAAAGATTTTTGAGCTTTGTATGAGTTGAAACTTATGCATAAATTTTGTATGGCGGCGAGAAAAGGCAGCAAGGCAAACAGACCAGCTGCTTAATATTTGACAAGTTGTGCTGCAATCTGTGTTTTTGCCGTGAAACAGGTGAAACGTTGCAAATTCTCTTTGCATCAAAGCTATTTTAACGGAAAGTTGTTGCTGTTCTTGTCGTTGGTTTTCGTTTGAGCCGGGAAAATTGCCGATTGTCCCGGTAGCCTGAGTTACCAGATTCGAGAGAGCTTGTACTGAAGTACTGAACGGCAAGAAATGTTGGAAGTGTCATGCAACTGGATGATTACGATGCGTTATGGAAAGAAGACCAGGTTTTGCCCGTGTGATTTCTAGATGCAGACGTTCTTTGTTGTTGATTGTTGTTTTCGCGGCCATCGTCAACTAGTACTAATAATAATCCCTTGGATTTCACCCCACTTTTCTGTCATTTTTACTCCGTTAACTCGAACTCCCCTCTAACTCGAGCTAAATGCCTTTCCCTTTATCAAAAATTCACTGAAACTCGAATTCAGGTTCTTTTAACTTCACTCGGATGCCATCCCATTAGCTTTTCTTGTTGTATTTTTCTTTTTTGTTGTATTTTTCTTGTTGTAATTGGTGCAACAAACGGATCTCGTTTTATCATAAAAATTGCCTTTCATATTACAGGTTCTTTTTGAAATAAGTTAAATTTTCACTGTACTATACACTGAAGTGCTGAAAAATCAGTAACTTTCAATGTTTAACATGGCAAAGTGAATTTTTCAATCGACCCCGATAACTCGAACTGTTTTTCGTTTCCATTCGGAGTTCGAGTACCGGGTTTCTACTGTACTACTGAGTCTCAAAAGTCAAACGAACATATATAAGTGAAAAAAAGGAAGAAACAATTTAAAAAATTAATCTAATCGGGATTCGGCCTTCGTTTTAAATTATTTCAAAACTTTTCTCTCTTATGTTTTAGCTTTACCATCTAGTTTGATGCCATTTGGCAGGCTGTTGAATAACTTGGAGGCTGAATCTTGAAAAGTTTCTGTTTCAAAAGGACGACCAGTTGCGGTACAGTACTTGAGCGTAGATTCCTAGAGATATCACTAGCTAGAACATAGCGCGAAAATTGTTATCTCACCCGCTTCGGTCCGGTTTGCTGGGAAACACTGCAGTTTCCAAACAGAAAACTCGGTGTTCCGCAGCGACTCCTGATCCACTCCAAAGGCAAATACACAGAAGAAGCCAACAGATCGTTGAGAAAAAACCGTCTGATATTAGAACGGGATACTACCGTAGGTGTTAATTTGTGGAGTGCTTTTCGATCAACACAGGGAAGAATTTAATTAATCAAGCGGTTGTCAATAACAACCATATTGCGACTATATTCACCTGCCCTCCGGCAATAAGGCGTTTGGGAAATACAACATGGAATCACATATGGGATTTCAGTCAGCTAATCGGGAGACCTTACCTCAATGATAATTACATTTCAGCGATTTTATCAGATGTAAAGACATTTTTTTGCATACAATTTTCCCCTGACAAGAATAGTTACCTTAAAGCCACGTCTAATCGAATCCGGATATTTCTTAACTGAAGCCTCTTATTATTCGTGCACGACTGAGTCGACGTTCCGTCCCTATGAAACCAGTGAATCCGCTCGCAGAAACCGCATCTTTTTGAGACCCCTCTCCAAAGTGGTTTCGAATCCAGGTGACAAAATATAAGATTTTAAAAATTTCCGGATTCATGTGGAGGGGCCTAAGCTCCAGCAACAGGAACGGCAAACAGAAAATAAAACTGTTGTGCATTTTGTGACGTCACTGCACGACTGCTACGTGCCTAATTTTCACATACGTGTATTAGCCTGCGAAAACATCCGTTTCTCCTCGTTCTTCTTCGATGAGGACGTTTCGCGAAACGTGCTCGGCGGCGAAGACCGAGGAGAAACGGATGTTTTCGCAGGCTAATACATGTATTATGGAGGAAGCAAACAAGCGAGGACGAAACTTTCTTTCTTTCTCAACTTGAATATGGTTCTTGGGAACTCAGCTCCAGGAGAGATCGCTTACATTTGACAAAGTAAGCTGGAATAATCGCGATGAAGATTGAAAGATCGTGAATTTACTTTTAAAGGGAAATTTTCAACGCCTTCGCTTCGCTGTTCTTAGCACAAAGGCTACCAAAGGTCTTTTGTCTTCGTTAAAATACAACAACAATAGAAGTGGTCCTCTTTCAATTAGCAAGTGTGAGAGGGAATTTAAAGCAGTGTTGTCGCTAAAACATCATGCCACTTCGTTATCTTTTATAATCATTTTAAAATGTTTATAGAAATCGATCCTTTTTAGAAATTTCAGCTTTTCAAAATGTCGTCGCTTATGCGAGGAAACACTTTCAGTTCAGTTAATTTCAAATTTCAAAAACTGATACCGTAAGGTTGACTGGTATTCACGCTTTGGGTGGATTACAGTGTGTGCTTCTATAAACTTCAATCTGTTATCAGTGATGATTGCGTTTTCATTGGAGTTTTGCAACGCTGGCTTCAATTTAATAAGTAAAGCCGCGTGCAAACGGACGCAACATTTTTGGCCACACAACTCCCAAAATTGTCGGATGTTACATGTTGCGTCCATTTCACACGCTGTTGAATGTTCTTGCGTGTTGTTTGGAGCTGTGAAACGCACCAGTGACGTAAAGCAATGAATACAAAGAAGCCACTGAGAAGTCAACACAATAGAGCCAAAGAATATGATAGCTAGAAAACAGAAAAACTTCGCAGGTTTTTACACCGAGGTAACCCGCAAAGTTTGAAACCAGTCAATCTTTTAGCCCCGTGCATACGGGCTTAACATTGTTGAGAGTTTGCACGTAGCTTAAGACTTTCACTGCTAGAATTACAGTAGAATATAATTATTTCTGTATGCTAAATTACCTTCTGTAGAGTGTTGAGTACAGTGACTTACGGGAGACCTTTTTTGAACAATAATCGCTACATCCTGGTAATAAAATGTGAAAAACATAACCTCCGAAGAAACCTCCTAGGTAATAAGTCAAAAAAAAAAAAAACTCGGCCACCTTAGACGAGTGGAACGGTTATGCAGGAATTTTTAGCCTTTCTCGAGCTTTGTAAATAATTTATAGGCAATATTTGCTCCTTCGAACAGTTATTTTATAGAGAAAAGTCGTTGGGGGTCCCGGTTTATATGCGTTTGGCCCTTGGGCCGCTAGGTCACTAGCACAGCAATATCCTTGTGACATTCTAATCCTGACCGTCAGGATTAGAATGTCACAAGGATACTGCTGTTTTAGGTCAAATCATTGGTGAAGTCATCACTTAGTACCTTCACCGATGCACAAAATGCTCGAGTAACCGGTTATTGAGACGATATGAAACAAATTTCGTCATGCAGGGAGCACTCAGCACAATAAATGGTTTGGTCATTTTTGTAGACGTATCATTAAAACTTGAAACGGTTGGCCCAACTTTTTCATTCGCCATCCGTTGCTAGAGACGATAGGAAACAGTTTCAATGCCTAGTCTTAAATAACAAAACTGGATCATCAGTTTTTGGAATTCAGTTTTTTGGGAAGACAAGTTTTAGCTTTCTAAAAAGATAGCAAATATCGTGACTATAGCTCCTTTAACATAAGCTAAAATACCTTCTGTCTTTTGTTGATTACGATGAGTAAATAAGGGTACCTGTACAACGCTAGTCTCAAGGACGCTTGATATTTCAGCAGTAGGAAGCTTTCAACTGCTTCTAGCCTGCGTAGCAAGCGTTTCTGTGCGGTTCAGGAGCAAAGAGGCAAAGACCGACCATGCGAAAAAATGGTGCAAGTAAAAGAGCGGGGAGGGGAAGAAAGGAAGGAAACGCTTGCAGACACTTTATAGAATAAATAAAACGACCTGAAACCCTTATATAGTGGCAAGAAGAGCTTTGAGTTGCAAAAGAAGTTAAAGAAAATGCTCTTGCATTGGAAGGTAAATCTTGCCAACCGGAATAAACAACAACCGCAGGAAGATGCTTGTCACGTACCATACATGACCTCTCAATATTAAACATATATTGTTCGACTAGCCGAGCCAGTCAGGCGCTGCGTTCGCTAGCCTGCGAAAACATCCGTTGCTCCTCGCTCTTCGCCACACCCAGCGGCGAAGAGCGAGGAGAAACGGGTGTTTTCGCACGCTATGCGTTCGCTGGCGAACGCAGGTTTTCAAAATCGAGGGGTTTGTCTCCAAGCGTTTCCTTCCTTCCCCTCCCCCTCTCCCCTTTTTCATTTTTTGGCTCTCGCTTCATTTCTCGCGGTGTCAAAACCGAAAATCCCGCTCCTCGGTTTTTTTTTTTTTGCTAAACGGAAACGCTTGCTACGCAGGCTAAAGCTGCTTCTCACAGTCAGTGCTAGTGCAACTCACTGGAAACTGTGAGATATAGTCGAAATCTTAATGCTTTCATATTGGCAGGATCTCAGTGGTTACACTCCAATGGCAAAATCAGCCATAGTATTAAACAACGTATTGATCAAGAGCTTTGATCAAGGCAGTATAGATACTCTACAGCATCAATATGAGTAACTATTTGTTTAGGCTAGATTTTCAAGATTTCACTTACCCCCAAGAAGCTAACACGTAAGCAAGTCTTGGGTTTTTTATCTCCCAATTATCATACTAACATTGATTTTCATACCGCCCGGCGGAGGTATTGCGGCTTTCTTTGTTGGTCGTAGTCACCCAGGTGATTTAATACCGTGTTCGACAGGCACGTCATGTACGGGCCACTTCGTTTTCCCATTTACTTCATATGTTTGCTCGTTCTTTCTTTCGGCATTTATCCACACCAGTAAACGGAGAGAAATGCTTAGTTTTCAAAAGAAACTGTTCACAAGACGAACAAATACATAGTACATTGTTGAGAATATGCGGACGATCCCAGTCGAATCCTATGAGCCACTCGTAAATCAGTTCGCTTAATAATTAACAATTAGTTTATGCGTCAGGGGCAAACAGCATTTTTAAACGTATTTTAGTATTTAAACGGTAGATAAAGGCATATTTTTATTCCCTAAAAATTTTGCATTTGTTCGGATTTCCTAGCTGAAAGTTTAGTGATCCGAAAATTATAGGGATCAAAACTTACCTTTTCGAAAATTTCATCCAGAAAATAGGCTCCCGAAAATTCTAGGTGACCTTTTTAAGGTAAAATCCGTTAAAAATAGGCAATTATACCATTTTTTAAGATGTTCGAAAATCCTAGGAGAGGCAGGCAAGCAAGAAGTTTTACAACAAATGTTTCGAAAATTCTAGATCTCAAATCGTCTTCCGAACAGATATTTTTCCGAAAATTGTCGTTGGGTGCCCCTGATGCGTCAGTGTGCGTATGTCGAGATATTGAGCACTTGGGAAGTTTGGAGAGCACTCCAAAGGCTAGAGTTACTCTCGGCAGCGCGTCGAGCTACTCCTACGCCTCTTTCGTGCTCTCCAAACTTCCCGCGTGCTCAATATCTGGACATACGCACTGCTGAAGCATGAACTAATTGTTTTATAACATTATGAAACCGATCAATGCAGCAGTTAACTTAAAATTTTATTATTGTAGGGCGCGCTCAAAGCAGTACGCGTAAATGTCTACGTGACTATATTTTTTTTCCTCACAGTTAAGCTTATGTTTTTATCCTGAAACTGAGAAAAAGTGTACTCTAAAATGACTGCAAAATCCATATTTAAGTGCCGGAAAACTATTAATTCACCGAAAAATTGTTATTTAGAGAAAACAACTTTTCAAAGAATGATTTGCACACGCCATAGCCCGCAAAGTTCGCGGAGATGACAACAACAACAACCCTCACCTCTTTTCCTTACTATCGCTTAACAAATTCAAACGTTTCCTCTTAAATTTCCTTATATAACACTTGGGGCGCTTTCCATTTACTCAAAATTTCCGGAATTTCCGGTTCGTCGGTAAATGGAACACGTTTCGTCGGTTCGTCCCACTGGAAAATTCCCAGAAAAAGTGGAAAATCTAAAAAGGTAGTCCCGTTTTCCCGGTTGGAATTTCCGAACGGAATCTCGTGTTCCATTTACGTTTCTCGTAGTTTGTACCAGTTCCAGGTCCACGGTTGGGCACCGCGACGTACCGGGGTTTACGACCAAATGGAACAACTTTTTACCAATCGGAAATTCCACTTTTGCTACCACCGAAATTTCCGGGTTTTTTTGCAAAATGGAAAGCGCCCTTGGTAAACGCTTCATCGTGTACTGCTGAGTTAAGGATGCACTCAGGAGACTCAGGATTGCCAAACTCACAACAACTCGAGGAATTACGAATAATTTATTGACGTCATCAGCGTGCTCAATAGGAATATGAACCAGGGGTCCATGGACCCCCACTTTGGACCGGGTCCATGGACCGCTTTCATGGACCGGGTCCGTGGACCCCTCTGTCATGGACCCTCTGTCATGGACCGGGTCCATGGACAGTTTGTTTTAGTGCAAAAGTAAGGTTAAAAAACAACAACGACAACAACAAACAATGCTTGATTGATCAGTAATGTTTAATTGTGCTTACATAGTGTAAAAAAAGGGGGGGTCGGTACCTCATGCCAAAATGCTGCTTGTTACAATGAATTGTTTTCTCTGATGGGTGGATTATGCTTCGGAGGAAAACCTTTTGACTGAGCAAATGTGAATTTTTGCCGCTTATTTCATACTGAGAGGTCGTGACACACAGATTGATTTTCTACCTCTTTTATAATGTAAAGCTGTTCATTGCGGCTGATTAAAAGGGTAGAAGAAGTGGCATGGATTGTAGCTTAAACTGAAGCTACATCAACTATGGAGAATTGCGATGTGACTCAGTCATGATTGCTCTAAAAGCAATGAATTCTTAACTCCAGCTTGTTTTTCTAAGGGTGATGCGAGTCTTTGTACTGGAGAGCGTAATTCCTCTCTTGGTGATAACTTTTGAATTAGGTTAATTTAGCAGTCTTGCGACTGCACATGTGCAAGCAGAGTGTACGGCATGTAAGCACAACTAAATATTTGTGATCAATCGTGGGCATTGGTCGACAGTGTCTCGTCAAATCTTTTTTGAGTGTCCATGGACCTGGTACAAAACCTTCTTATAAAGATAAAAAAAAATGTCCATGGACCTGGTCAATGACAGGGGGTCCATGGATCCGGTCGATGAAAATGGTCCATGGACCCGGTCCAAAGAGGGGGTCCATGGACCCCTGGTCCATGTTTTGTCCTCACCCAATATGAAGCATGCTCGCGCTATTAAATTTGATTGGGCGAATTTTCTAGCTATGTTATAATTCATTTTAATTGGCCTAACAATAGGTACAATTTCGTTTTCTCAATATCCAAACACGCCAAAAGCTAGTCTAGGTGGGAAGTGACTGTACAACTCACTGCAAACTCAAAATTTTTAATATTAAATTTACAAGAAAACGCAAATAACAAACAAACAAACAACGAGGCTAATATTCCTGCCATCTTGAGCGAACAAACTATTGCCAAAAGAAAATGTGTTCTTGCGGGATAACGCTAACCGGAAGGCTGGTTCACTGACTTACATGTATTTGGGACTCAAAGCGTTCAGTGAGTGTTGAATTTTAACCGATTTTTCTAGAATTTATGCCCGAGTTCATCCAAGCGGTGGATGATCTGTTGTTGCAGGAATCAGTGGTTGTCTTCACACTAGGCAGCTAAGTAAGACTTAAGAGCCGCTAAGTTTTACTTAACCAAAAATTCGTGTGTGAAGGCCTAAGTAAGATCTCACGTAACTTTGCTTTGCATCTCATTAAAGTCGCAAAGTTGATACGATTCAAGAAAGTTTCAAGCGACTTGAAAACCATCCTTATGGCCGACTTAGCTGACTTGCGGTTTTACGGTTTCTTGAGCTTTGAGAAAGGCGAGACATGTCAATCAATCTTAATTTTGTTGCGTGGGAAAATAACCTGAAGTAAAAAAGAATCGGTTGTGTGTGAAGATTTATTTTACTTGAAGTAATTAAAATTTACTTGTCTTGAAATATGTCTTAGCTTATTTAGGCTCTAGTGTAAAGACTTCCAGTGTTTGTCTAAGGCTTAGTTCACGTGGCACCCAGTCTGCGTGGCACCGGTCAAAAACTTGACCGGACACTTCGTTCACCGGGAACGGTGAGGGTAAGAGACGGAATGAGTTTGCGGAATGGCATGTGGCATGGCTTGTGGAATGGTATAATTATGTGGAATGTAATATATGCAGAATGACCCAAAGAAATAAATTAAACTGAAAAGAGCGTCCTTTTTTGGCGCCAATCAATTTGCAAACCCAGCCGCTGTTTTAATGTTGACATACGATGACAATCAAAAAGCCACGAAGGCTCATTGTCGATTAGCCTTTTCCGCACAGCCACAAAGATTCTTCTTGCCTTTATTAGTCGGGCTGCATGACAGCACCGATACTACAGCACGAAAGTCGGCCATTGAAGAACAGATGTTTTGGAAGGTCACACTCTTTTCTACTTAATTAATTTTTTCTGCAAAAGATGTTTGCACGATTAACTTTACAGTTTCCTTTTACCTATATTTGTATTTGCAACCGCGTGAGAACTGTTTCTTTTTCAGACGGTGGGTTACGTGATCGTGACATAATACGTGATCGTGACATATATTCGGAGATGAATTCATGAGATGAATTTGTCAAGTAAAAGAAAGCTTCACACTTAACCTATCTTTTTTACTTCAGGTTTACTTAAGGTGGCTCGACTGGATTTTTTGGGGGGGATACCTCCCAAGTTTGAGCATTAACTACGTCGGCATGAGTAAAGATATGGGAAAAATGTTACCACACCTGTATTATATAATGATGAAAATTTCTTATGATCTGGGTTTTATTGCAATCGGAGTCGCCATGGCAACGTAATGACGCCATTACGCTTTTTATTTATCTTTGTGTTTCTCTGTACCAGGAGTTTTTTGAAGAAATCGCTTAAGGGAGTATGTACCTGCCATAATTGCCTCCATTATGGCAAAGTTTCAACAAATTCTATGAGAGCGTTTTCGAAATATTTTGACACGCAGTTTTAACAATCATAAAAGCAGTGAAATAGCATGCTATCCACACAATTCGCTAATATTTTAAGAAACTGATAAGCTTTGGAAACGCGGCTTCATCCCATAGTTGTTTGATTCCATTGAAAACTGCATACCAAAAAAGAGGGGAATTGCTCTGAGCGATCGCGAGTAAGAAGAATTTTATTGACTTGCATTCAGATGCTTTTGTTACAGTTTTTGGACGTAATTTTGTCCATGCCTACAAATTTCGCATTTTCAAATACCCGCTCGATAAATTTTTTTATAAATTCGACAACCTGGAGATCAATTGTCAATAAATATTCTCTGCAAGTGTCAAGAACGTTGAAAACGGGGAAGGCCTTTAAATAGGGCCTCAAATATAACCAATTTTTCCCCCGATTTTGTGTTTACAAGTGAGCGTCCTCTTCATTCACTGGCGTTGTTTTCAAGTTTCATATGCACTCGCACAACTAGCAAAAGATATAAATTTGCATCAAAAAGAACTCTGGATTACTTCCCGAAGAAATATCCGGAATATGATAATAATTAGCTTGTGTCACCGATAGCAGTGAGAGCCGAAACCATGAACGTCACTGCTCATCGTGTAGGATGCAATACTTAATTATCTTACTCGGGTTATAACATCACAGAAACTCTTACAAAGTAATGCTCTGATTTTATAATGTATCACTAATCTCTTTACCCGGTAATTAGCATATTCCGGAGATATAATCGAGGGTCCTTTTTGATGCAAATTTATATCTTTTTGGTAAATGTGCACGTGTATATGAAACTTGAAAACAATGCCAGTGAATAATGAGGACTCTCACTTGTAAACACAAAATCTGGGGGAAAAATTGGTTATATTTGAGGCCCTATTTAAAAGCCTTCCCTGTTTTCAATGTTCTTGAAACTTGCAGGGAATATTTATTGCTAATTGATCTCCAGGTTGTCGAATTTATAAAAAAATTTATCGAGCGGTTTTTTGAAAAATGCGAAATCTGTAGGCATGGACAAAATTACGTCCAAAAACTGTAACAAAAGCAGCTGAATGCAAGTCAATAAAATTCTTCTTACTCGCGATCGCTCAGAGCAATTCCCCTCTTTTTTGGTATGCAGTTTTCAATGGAATCAAACGACTATAGGATGAAGCCGCGTTTCCAAAGCTTATCAGTTTCTTAAGATATTAGCGAATTGTGTGGATAGCATGCTATTTCACTGCTTTTATGATTGTTAAAACTGCGTGTCAAAATATTTCGAAAACGCTCTCATAGAATTTGTTGAAACTTTGCCATAATGGAGGCAATTATGGCAGGTACATACTCCCTTAAGCGATTTCTTCAAAAAAACTCCTGGTACAGATAAATAAAAAGCGTAATGGCGTCATTACGAAACACAAAGATAAATAAAAAGCGTAATGGTTTTCAAGTCTCTTGAAACTTTCGTCGTTTCAACTTTCCGACTTTAAGGTCTTGTTTTTTGCCATTTGGCAGAAAAAGAAAATCAGAAAGTGCTTTTTAATCCTTCTAAAATGAGCGACTAACCAGCCAAGATTGCAAATAAACCCTCATCATTTTAAGAAATTTTCATCATTATATAATACAAACTTTCAGTATGATGGATAATGATATTTTTTCCGATTTCCATATCATTTTATGTCAGTTTCTTTGCGTAAATCATGCCGACGACTTTTAGTTTGAAATGCTCAAACGTGGGACATCTGTATTTCCTCCCAAAAAGATCCAATAAAAAAGGAGTGAATCGAGCCACCTATTTTCTGGACGCAAAACATAATTAAGTTCGAATTTTGAAATTAATAAATAAAATCGGTTTTAATTTGGTTTTTAGCAAGTTGATTGAAACTTTCTTTGAATCGTTTTTTTTCAACCTTTCCGACTTTAATGAGATGCAAAGTAAAGTTACTTGAGATTTTACTTGGGCCTTCACACGTATTTTTTGGTTAAGTAAAACTTAGCAGCTCTTAAGTCTTACTTAACAGCCTAGTGTAAAGACAAAACGAGTTGAAAGGCGATGTTGTGCGTTTTACCACCCACGAATCAAACTTGTCTTGCAAGTTGCGTGAATACTGACTTCTGATTGGATAAAATTACACGGGAGTTTACTCGATACACGGGAGTTACGTCACTTGTAGCCTGCGAGTCAGCTCTCCTTTTGGCGAGCTAATCGAGCCGCGCGAGAAAGCGCGAGGCCTCGCGCGTGCTTCTCACGCGTCTATTTTTAACGATATCCCCAAATGGAGAGGTTGCTCTCAGGCTACGTCACTTTCTGCAAAACACGTTTGCCTTGGGCCGGTAAAACGCGCAACATGTAAAAGATTTCGTCGCAAAACGTAGAACTACTTTCTACTTTCTGCAACAAATTTTCGCAACCTGCAGCAACCTGATTTGTGGCAAGTAAACGTAGTAAAACGCGCAACTTCACCTCTCAACTGGTTATGCAGCAATGTTGCAGAACAAGTTGCTCGTTTTTGTTTCCCGTTCTACCGTACCTTAAGATTTTTTGGAAGAGTTTGAAAAGTTTTAACATGTGTATCTGTGTTTTATTACCTCAGAATGACCTTGCACAGTTCTCCAAAGCTATTAATCGCTTCACGCGAGAGGATCCAACGTTTAGAGTAAGATACGACGACGAAAGTAAGGAGGTGAGAGTACTAACACTTTAATCACCAGTATCCAGATACAAATTCTCCACACTAGTATCCTTACATTGCCTTGAAGAATGAGTTGAGGGAACTTGATATAAGAGCAAAACATTTCTCCTTTGGTTGTCAATTTAGTATTTCTCGTAACCTGTACTCTTGATGATCTGCTGATGTTGTTAGGAGAAAATTGATGTTGGTCAATCGTGGGATTTAAAGGTTTAAGCATCACAACCGGGATATTGCGCTGGCGACCAAATTTTCAAAACGAAACGCCAAAGGTATTAACAAAAAACGCACTTAATTTGAGTGTCAGTGTATTTAGTGCGAAGGTACTAATTGACGATACCATTTTTACGTCTACAACTCAAGACGGGGTCGCCATTTTACGTGGTCCTCCGAGACAAGGTCTAGCAGTTTGAAGGGCAAAGACAGAACCCTCATTTCGTAGGAATTTTCAAAGGGCTGCGTCGCGGCTCTCAAGTTTATTTTCTCAATTGTGCCAATGGGCCATTTCCGAGTTCCAAAAACCCTCACTTTCAAAATGAGGCTAGGTGCACAACCTTTGCTGTGAAAATGAGTTTTATTTGCATGAGATTGAAATATGATTGCCATATCAAAGGCTGAGCACCTACCCTCGTTTTGAAACAGAGGCCCGGGGGAACTCGGAAATGGCCAATTAAGCATCCTCATTCGCTATGGAATTTGATAAATCACTTGTGAATGACAAATCACCTCTTCGTGTCCTTCACGCATTACAATAAAATAAAACTGACCCGCGTATAAGAACCTAAGTATTTCCAAGCTAGGCCAAGATGGTTCTTATAAAAAAGATGGTGGTAACTGGAAAATTAGACCACTCACGTTCTTAGACAGGTAGATAAGGTGATGGCCATTGGCGGGTGTGGCCTATTTTGGGCCTATTTTTGTATTGCATGCATAATATGTTATAAAAATCCCTTTAATCCAAGCATGTTAAAGCCATTTATAAAGTTTATTCAAAGCTATGCAAGTTAAACAGAACAAAAGAACAAGGATATTTTGATCTAAATGCATGTCAATTGTCCCATTGCCAGGGTTTTATCTTCATTTTAGTAACTGGTAGAGCTTGTGCTATTAAATTTGAGTATTCCGTGTTTGACTGAATTTCTCAAAATAAGAACCTGTCTCAAAATTATTGTAGCCTACAACAGGTTCTTATGTAAAAGGGGTCTAAATGGACAATCTTAGCCTCACAGGTTCTTAAAATCTAGGTTCTTTATCGGCGGGTTTCACTGTATGTCAAAAGTTACAAACAACAAAAATGAACTTTGAAAAACTGTTAGGCTAGCATGTTTCCAAAAACCGCCATTGCAATCCGTTTCAATCTTCTTCAAGTTTGTCCATCTGTGCAACCTTTTGCATTTGCTGTGATATTTCTACCTTCGTTTCATGTTTTTAGCGCTTACTTTTATATTTCACTCAGTTTGCAACAGGTTCCCACTGTTTGAATTTGATAAATCTCATGACACAGCTCCTTTAACTCTTTAAGCCCCAAGATCCTCATACGAAGTCTCCAGACTTATCGCCATACATTTCTTTTAAGAATAGTTGATTGAATATTGGTCTCTCTTGGGAGCTAAAGGGTTAAGATCCTGAGTATTTGTTCGACCCAGGGGTTTCAAAATGTTTTGAATTAGGTGGCCAACTCTGGAAAAGTAGGCCGCTGTGAAAATCGAGGTTGTTTGTCACGACCTGATTGTTATGACAAGAGTAGCCGGCGGAACTCCGGCGGTGGCAGGCTTGTTTTGAAACTCCTGGCACGACCCCGGTGATCGAATCCGCAACCGCCCTCTATGCATTCCAGCGCTCTACCTGCTGAGCTTGTCCTGCCGCGATTACCTGCCAAGAGAACCTCTGCCGTTCAGTTTTGAAAAAGATGGGTCTCTGGCATTGAAACCGTCAGCAGTAAAAGTGAATATTTTTCTCTGGCTATTTGTTCAAAGAATTGTCTCAATTTATATGCATTTATTTCTTCTCTACAGACTATCATCTCAGGAATGGGAGAGCTTCACCTTGAGGTTTATACAGAGGTATGAAAGCGCATGGTCCGGAACGCCTTTCCCGCCTTTCTCGTGAACAAAGGCAGCCGACTCGAGGCTATGGTCGACAGAAAACATTGTTTTTTTTTTAATTTTTCCACTCGAGCCTCGACCTCTTGCCCACCCTCGACCTCGTGTCATTGTGACTGCTCACTGGAATGGACTCTAGAGTGCCGGATTAGGGAGTGCCGGATCAACGACCACGAAAACGGCAAAATAGTAATAGGTTTAGGGAACGACAACAACAACTCTGCACGCTTTTTGTATACTTTTTTGCCATCTTTGCTTAAGTTCCCTGTTATGTGTTGTTGTTATCTGTTTGACTTTTTAACACTGATGTTTAGCATATTTATTGACGTTTGGGTAAAATTGTTTTCTGCTCTGTTTTACACATCGCAGAGGATGCGTACCGAGTACAACTGCCCGGTCGTCGCAGGAAAACCCAAAGTTGCTTTTAGAGAAACCATAGGGAAGGAGGCTAGGTATAAATTAAATGTTACCCCAATGCGCCCTTTTTCAATTAATTGACTTACTACATTCGTCAGTGTCCTTTATGAGTGATGGGGAGCTTCGGCAAAGGCGTTTTTGGGCGACACGTGTCTACCGGAAATGAGGCTTTTTTGCTTTATTTAGCCTTCGAGCAAGCTCTCCGGGGGCACTCTGGCCCTCACCCCCGTACCCCGGGGACCCGAGGAGATTTTGCTCGCAGGCTAGCTTTTAGCATGCCCTGACGCTACAAAAGGTTCATCCTTTATTGTCTTTACTCTTGCGGGGACGATTTGCCCTAAAATTTGGGCAGGGCCACGGCTAAAGAATGCAAAAAGTCCACTTCTGGTTGACGTTTGTCGCTCAAACATCCTTTTGCTTAAGTTCCATTGCTACCTCTACCACTTTTAACATTACTTATTCATTCCACAGTACTGGGGCAAAAAAATTGGGCGTTAATCCGAGATTGTGTAACCACCTTCTGGCGACACTGCTTGTGTATTAAAATATGGACAATCTTCACTCAGTCAAGCAAAGTTAAAATTTGATCTTAAGCCACTGCTGTTACATGATAACCATCCTCTTTATTATCATGGACCTTATGTATGAATAAACTGTATTTTTAAGAGGAATTACTACGATTAGAAATTGAGCAAGACGATGCAAAAATAGAAAACGTTTTAACGTTGAAAACATATTTGTTTGCTTGTTTTCATTTTTGGGGGGTAGGGGGTGGGCGGTAGAGGGCAACTGGCTCCATTTCCAGTTGCAACGCTTCAGCCTTTGGCGACATGAGCAGCAAAGCGCACGACATAGTAAAAGATATATATCTGTTTGTGTAAACTCTCCCACGATGGTTATCTTTTACAATTTCGCACTCTTTGCTGCTAATGACGTCAACGACCGACTAATTGCCCCTGGAAACGGATTAGGTTGCCCGTGACAACAACACAGTTGAAGCTTAGGGACTGGAGAGAGGAGTTTCTACCTTTACTTTTTGTTTATCTTCAGGTTCGACTATCTTCATAAGAAACAGACCGGAGGAGCAGGCCAGTTTGGTCGAGTCATTGGTCGGATTGAAGTAAGTGTTACACTATATTGCATTTGCTACTCACAAACCATACTGCAGTGTGGAGAAGAAATATCGTGATTTCGTCGGTTTAGCGCTGACTCGCTCAAAGAGGCTGTCCACACTTGGCGCCAGGGAACCAGTGACTGGGTACCGGCACGAAATGTGTTGCGTTCAGCTTTTGAGTCGATATGTAACTGTTTCCAACTGTCCTCTATTTCGCCCTGTCAGACGCCATTTTGAAACACGAACTTAGCAGCGAGTACAACGCAGTGAACTGCCACAGAACCAACAAAAACAGTGTGCACACAGGGACCCGGTGCCCACTTTTGTGCCCGAGTACAAGGTGTCGACGTTGTAGACGGGCACTGATACAGTGCCTGAATTCTGGCGTGGGTAATTGAAGTTGGGTATGTTCACATTAGTGCCCAGCGAGTACCATACGCGGGCACCGTGCCCCGGCACCAAGTGTAAACGCTGCCTTAGGGACATACCGTAAAATTCGGAAAATAAGCCCGGGGCTTATATGTTTCAAAGGTCCTTTTTGAGGGGCTTATTTTTGGAGGGGCTTATATTCGGAGAGGCTTATGTAGGGAGGGAAATTTGCGTTTCAAAATCGATTGAGCTAGCTTGTAGTGGGAAGGAAATTTACCATTTTTGCTTTGTTTTACTTTGAATTCGAGGGCAATTTCCAAGAACAAGCCCCCCGGGGGGGCTTATATATTTGGAGGGGCGATTTAACGGAGGGTTTTTTGCATTACGAGTTTGGGGGGCTTATATTTGGAGGGGCTTATACATAGAGGGGCTTATTTTCGGAATTTTACGGTATTTGTATATTATTAGCTAAGGTACCTGGACACTCCCTTGTCTTATCAGGATCAAAACCACGTCTTTACTGTTGACAGATTCATTGAACTGCCTGCATAATAATTGTGACATAATAATTACCTTGTATTTGAGGCCTTGGAACTGCTAGTTTGGACAGGTTATTCTAAGTGTAATTCATTGTTCATTACAAGAAGGACTAGAAATCCCCTTGCCATTTATATTTAGAAGCGGACCATTTAACATTGGAGGGGTGGAGTGGTGGACAAGATTTTTTCCCAAGCTTTCTACTGTAGTCGTTTTTTTTTACCTCTTTACTTTTGTTGTTGGTGTTGTAAATGTAACGCCATTCTACTTTGCGGGATTTCTCTTTATTTCAGTTCTGTTTGCAAGATAGTTTCTCTGAAATCACCCAACCTTACCCAAATCCACCACTCAAAAGCTCAATGGTATGCCCCACACCGACCCAGTGCCGGAAGCATTTGACCTTCCTTCCTCTGATTGGCTAGAAAATAATTGCTGGCCAATCAGAATCAGAGAACTCAAATGCCTGCTGAACTGGTTCAACGAAGTAAAGTGCCTAGAGGCTCTCCCGTTATTCTTGTAAACTTTGCAATGGTTTCCCCTCTTAATATCCCGTCTGTCCCGATTAGCTGTTCCGTTTCTCCAAAGAGGGTTTTCATAGTTACTTAAACATCCCGTAAATGATCTAATTGACGCCCGCTCTCAAATAAACGCCAGTTGTCCAATAAACACCCCCTTCCACGATGGTATGTTTGTATCAGACGCCCCTCCCTAATAAACGCCCTCTGTATATTAGACGCCCGCCCACCACTCCCCATGACAATTTCTTCAAAATACGTACTGCAAATTTTGAGTTCATCTCCCGAACAGCGCGGTTTGGTAATACGAGTATAACCACTTCAATCTGTCAGGAAACTCGTGTTGGTAAAGGGTAGAAAGACAAGAAACGAAAAAAGCGGGAAAAATTGTCAGTAAATCACTGTGAACGGCAAACCTTTATTAACTCTTTTATCAAGCGACTACTTGTCCCAATATCCTGGGTGGCCTCTTACATGTGAAATATTTTCGTCTGTGTTTTTCTTCTGCGCACTTCTAGCCAAAAATAGCCATCTACTTCCTGGCTTTCTTATTCGGTTTTGCCTTTTCTTCGACAGCCTTCTTTTTCTTGGATTTTTTCTCCTTTTCGGATTCCTCGTTCTTCCTTTTCCTTTTCTCCGTTGGTACACCCTTCTCCCTAAAACGAAGCAATAAACAGAATAACAAAAGTACGCAGGAGAACTGGATGCTCGTTAATAAAAAGAGACCTTTTAAAGAAAGGCTATATGTAATGGGTGACATAAATAGCTTTTACGGAGACCTTTTTAAAACTTAAGTCTTGAAAGCGTTCGCACCTATCTTCATTGGAAGGAATGAAATGTAAATTTTTAGCGGCTAATTTTCGTCTTCCAGGAGATGATAGTACGAGTAAGTATCCGGGAGCTCCCCCAATTCTTGCTGAAAATCTTTCGATAACTTGCCCTGAAAATATTCCGTCTCCTAATATCCCAATCTCATCCCGTCCTATCCAGTCTCCTGGTTCTCCGAGGATGCACTTGTTTGTAAAGAGACGGCGTCCTGCGTATGACAGATCTCGGAAAAAAAAACTGTAACAAGCGTCGCACAGCTCATTCAAATACACGTGCGATTCCTCTGTAAGGCCCAAGCTTCCCCTATAGAGACACATTGTTTAACGTACGGTAGAATTCTGGAAGATGTATGCCGTGAAGTTGCGACGTAAGAAGCTAATCACTTCTCTGAATGTTCTTTTTTTTGTCGCAGCCCATGCCGGAAGCCGCCACCGATATCGAATTTCTAGATGCTACTGTTGGAATGAACATCCCCAAAAACTTTATTCCCGCCATAGAAAAGGTACTGATTTCTCGCCATTTTTTTTCCTCAAATCAGGCATTTAAATAATACAGGTTACAAGCGAAGATTTCTACTCTGCCAGGTATGCTAATGTTTGTTTGATCTTGTTTCTTGAATTTCAGGGTTTCCAAGAGATTTGCGAACGCGGTCTCATCACAGGACACAAATTAGCTGGAATTCGCTTTGTTCTCGAAGATGGTATGTCTCTAAGGCAGGAGCTCATAACCCAGAGCGAGCAACTCCCATACTAGGCCTATGTCACGGCGTTTTTACGGACCAGTTTTTTTAGACACATTTTACAACACTTTTTCCCCGTGAAAATAGAATCTCCACCATGTCTATGAGCGCATTCGAAGTATAAGATATCAAAATGGAAAACTAAACGTCATTAAAAGGAAAAAAATATCATTTTCAGGTCTGTAGGTTTTGCTGACTAGCTTGTGGACTTTTAAAGGTATTAAAAATTCGCGCCAAAACCGTTCTAAAAATAAACTGGTCCTTGAAAACGCCGTGACACGAGCGCATGGAAGTTGTTTCCTCCGGATTATGGGCTCCTGTCTAAGGCTGTGTTTACTCTATACCGGATAACTTTGCGTCGACACGAAAATGCGGCGCGATTTCTGCAGTAACGGAGCGAAGCTGCGCTGCGCTGATCGCTAACGTGGTGCGACACATATCGGAGAGGTTCTGTACCCCTTTTGGTGCAGTCGGACCATAGCGGAAGTGAATAAATAGGAGCGAGGATAGCCTGCGTAGCTAGCGGTATTAGCGGACGAGTGCTGTAGTATCCCGGGCAAAACAATTTCGCCAGCTACACAGACTAGAGCGAAGACTGGAAACGAGAGAGATAAAAATAAAATATGCAGAAGTTAGAACTAGGATTTAGGTAGCCTCCGACGCTGTAGTCTTAGGAATTTGCACGCGTTCCTGTCCCGCGTTGAGGAGGATTGCGTGACGAGCCCAAAGAAAGTCTGCGTGGGTGGCTAGGATTTAGGTCGCCAAACCCTCTCGGCCAACCGCTCCGTTATGTTGATGTTCGATGTGTGTGAACGACTTGTTCCAGTTCTGTGCCGATGCCGTTGCCGTTGCCGTTCATACCATCCGGTATATCTTTTCGTGTCGGCGCCAAAACCTATCCAGTATAGTGTGAACATTGCCTAACTCTCCCTCCCCCCCAGACTCACTCTCTATTTTCAAACTCGGCCTAGGGGCCCGTTTCTCGAAAGTCCCGGTAACTTTTCGGGCCCGAAATCAAATTTTCAAATCGATATATAAAGAATAAAGGCGCGGGTCCTGGCTAGCAAACTACTCCATACTGTTTCATTAACTGATAGTTTTATCATGTTAGATGCAAGACTATTGAAACCTCTATCTTGCATGTAAACCAAAACAGCTTTACGGGCCCTTTAATTATCGGGACTTTCGAGAAACGAGCCCCAGACCTTCCATATGACCAGCGCAAAACATACAGCTGTGTTGCAATCTGGTCATGAGCCACGGTAAAGCTCTATCCCCGTCTATGCAGTTATAATGATAATTAACTTGTGTCTTACTTGAATGTAATCAGGTGGTAAAACATCTCCGTTTCCCCTTCCTCATCTCCGTGATCACCATGTCCGTGTTCCTCGTGTCCGTGTGATTCGTGCTCGTGTTCGTGATGTCCGTGTCCCGTGACCTCCTCTCCTTCGTCGCACTCCTCTTCCGCGAATTCCTCCGGGTCGTACTTCCAAATTCTTGTTCCTATTTTGCGAAACGTTTACTGGAAAGTTAACTATTCGTCGCCGCTTAATCAGCTTTGAAAAAAAGGCAAAACTATTGTACTTGGAAAATACTTGCGTTCATCATGAAAAAGCGGGGCGTGATTTGGTGTCCCTGTGCACCCTCCCCAACCCCCTCCCCCCTCTCTAATGAACCCCAACGACCATAATCTGCTTTCAATCAAGCAAATTCAAGGGAGTTTCATTGAAATCAGCAACAAAGATAAAATACGTTAATTTTAAGAAATTCTTGTTACCAATGGCCTGGTTGTGTGAAGCACTATCCAGCAGATACGTTTTGGGGAAACCAAATGCGTTATCCATTTGGTAGACGTTCATCCGGTGGATAACACATAGTGTAGTTCCAGTAACTTAAGACCAGTCGGTTTTTGATTTTGCCATTTTAAACCTTTTGCCTCCAGTGGGAGTAAACCTTTTAACTGTGATAGAAGTCGAGCTTCCAATCGCTAAGTCCCGAACTCTCTCTTAGTCGATGTATAATTAATGATAACTAAACATTTGTATGAGATTTTGTTTAAAATGGGGTGTGCAGTTGTTACCGGTTAGATGGACTGGATAGAGTCTTTACCCCTTCACCCTCAGGGGAATAAATCTTTTAACTACTATTGAAATTTCGAAACAAAAGTACAAATTCATTGAATACTATTACGCTGTTTTTTTCCTTTTCTTTTTTCTTTGTTTTCTCAATTGTATGTGCTTGCTTATGTTTTCATGCCATGTTTAAAAGTTTGACAGAAAGAAAGGTTGTTACCTAAGTAACGAACATCGCTCTTATCTCCAAACAATGATTTGAGCATCTTCTCGTCCACGAAGTTCGACCCATGTTTGCACACCTCTACCATATGGCGTCCGTCAGGTTTCAGTAGCGCCTGCATTAGGCTTGTGTACTGTTTGAGTCGTCTGGCCCCCATATCATTGACTATAGGAATGGCAGACTGATCCCAGATGGCGTCGAACTGCCCTGAAACCTCCACGTTGTAATCAAAGATATCACACTGATACAGAGTAATATCCTTGCCCTTCGCTTCGTATACGTTCACTTTCTTCCTTGGCGTAAATTGTTCTGATCGGAGAGTGCATTCTAGCTCCGCGTTGCGGAAGAAAGCCTTGATGTAGCGAGCGTTGATTTCCACACCGGTGATCGCGTGACCCTGTTCAGCTAACCACAGCATATCGGGAGTCTTGCCACACATTGGCACGAAAATGCGAAGATTGCTTCGGCCGGCAGTCAACTGTTTGATATTTTTCATCATTATTGGGTCGACTTTTTTCAAGTAGTCAGGGTCTTCGGACTTCTTTGTCGGGTTTTTCTGAGCACTTTGTTGCTTTACTCGCTTCTTGGGCGCCATGTTGTTTTGAAAGCTTCCATCAGGTTGTTTCCAGTGTCCTTTCGGCTGCCCTTCGTCAGTTGCGTGACGGAAGTGACTTCTTGTTGTGTAGTTAAGGGCGTTTAAGTCACGACGACGTCTCTGAAGAAGTTTAAAATTCCTCCCACCTTTTCCAAAATTAATCCCTTTGTCAAATTTGTCAAATGTTGGTGATTCTTTTGGAATTGAATTCTCAAGTATTGCATCTAATTTGAAAACATTGTCTTGTGTTGACGTGCAAAGTTTTGTTTGCGCTCCATTAATGGATCCCTAATATGCTGTGAGATGTTCAAATGCAAACCTTAAGATAGAAGCAACATTCGTGAAAATCTTAACTACAGTTTTGGCTTTTTATTAAAGGTCAGAAAGGTTTGAAGCGACTCTAGACAACATACCTACTTATAAGTGTTTTTTTTTTTTGTATTTTTCCCTTTTTAAATTCTAATTCATACAAGAAATATAAAAGATCTATGATAGAAAATATTTATCATAAATTATAACCCTCTAAGATGTGGCCTTGGAGAGCGCCGTGTTCATTCCGTTGCCCCAAGCAACGCAAGTTGCACTCTTCAAAAACATTAAGTGAAAGTTGATTGCATCGTACTATTTGGAGTTTCAATATTCAGATTTCATTTTCTTTCTGTTACGCTAATGAGGCGATAAAGGAGGACGAATAAAACATCGATTGAATTAAATAGCTACGACTCAGAAGATATGGTAACATGATAAGAAAGAATATATGTTTTGTTTCAATTTTATTCTTTTTAAATTTTATTTTCCGTTGTTTTGGGGTTTGGTAGTGTATGATAAAGAGTTTGAAACAAAGGATTCACAAAGGCAAATGAAATTTAAACCAAGGATAAAACTTAACCACAACATATACATATATGTTTCTTCGCGTGTGCCATATATCAGTAAGTCAAAACGACATTTCGAAGATTAGAAGATTAGCGTAAAAAAACGTAATTAATCGAGTGGAGTGGTTATGAAGCCCGTTAGACTTTGTTTTTGTGGACTTTGCACATCGTTCAGTAACATTCCTATCGTTTTGATCTCATTAGCCATAAAAACCGTCGCACTAATTATTTTGTCACAATTTGTGCTTACAACAATAAAACAAAGGATGGGCACCGTCAGGAAGCTTCCAACATAACTTACAGCATCGTTGTTTCTATCTTTGATGTTTGCCCTCCTTCACAACCAGCCTCTGCTTCAAACAACGTAAAAACACAACGTTTCGACTGGTTTCGATGACCACCAGTCGTCATTGGCAAGCCGTGTGATTCAGTTTCAAGTTGCGTTAATAATCGTCTTATAAAGTGTTTGAACAAAGCCAGTTTTTTCTCATCTGAACTCAAAATGACCTTTTTTAATAAGACAGGTCAGACTTGCCTCCACAGATGGAGGATAATTGATGTGCTAAGTATGTAAAGAGACTCGACAAACGGAAGGATTTATTTTTTTCTGACGCTTAGCAGCATCGCTTTTGTCTTTTTCCTTTTTTTGGCGGTGAAAGTGAAGTTCCTTGGAGACTCTTGTAAAAAAGACCCGATGTCGTATAACTATCCCACTCATAAGGAACAACTGCTTTATACTGCCTGCCTGTTACTAGCCATCATTTTGCTCTCTAGTTTCTATCCAGTTTTAATTTAATTACTGATTACTGGAGTATGTGCTTACACAGATCTCGGCTTGTAATTCCTTTATTAATTGATGTAGCTGATAATCAAGGATTTTTCTTGATAAAGCACTCCCTGAGGTCACTCAACTTGAGAGGGGAGCGCTTAAGGGGTGTATGGGTAGCGGCGCGTGCCGCCGAGGCCTTCAAACACTGATCCTGTTTAACAAGTTATCTCTTCATTTCACTATCCTGTTTAATACAAGATACCATTCCTCGTTACCCGGATTCATTTCTTGTACTGAATAGAGTGGCTTTTTTGTTTTGGTTGGCACTTGACATTGAGACGGTGCACTGACAACGTTTAGACCCTGTTATAAGGCTTCCAGTCCAGTAACAACCTGTTCAAAACGGTTAATAGTGAAATTGTATGCCCTATTTAAAACTGAAGACCTCGAAATTAAACTATACCCAGTTGGGCGGTACATACCCGTTTAGGCCAAATAAGGGGGCGCCCATCCCCCTCCCTTAACCCCGGTTCGAGTTGCCCCTTCCTGTATTAATGTTAGTTACATGTTATGTCTTTCCCCAGGGGCTGCGCATGGTGTTGATTCAAGCGAACTCGTCTCCCTCCCTCTCCATGCCCCGGTGGGAGTTACTCCTTCCTGTATGAATGTTACTTACGAGTTGAGCGAAGTCACCTCCACCCCGCTCCCCCCAACCGCCGGGGAGAGTTACCCTTCCTGTATGAACGTTACTTGCGTTTTCCCAGGGGCTGCGCATGGTGTTGATTCAACGAACTCGTCGCCCACCCTTTCCATGCCCCGGTGGGAGTTGCTCATTCCTGTATGAATGTTACGTACGAGTTGTACGAGCTCACCTCCACCCCCCACCCCCCAGCCACCGGGGAGAGTTACCTTTCCTGTATGAATGTAACTTACGGATTGTCTATTTCCCAAGGGGCTTCGTCTTCCACCCCCAGCCCCCTGGGGGAGTTAGCCTCTCCTGTGTAAATGTTGCTTACACTGTGTCTTTCCCTAGGGGCTGCGCACGGTGTTGATTCAAGCGAACTCGCCTTCAGGTTGGCAGCCATTGGAGCCATGAGAGAAGGTAAGGAACAACATGTTAGGTCACAGGGTCACTCTCAATAGAAAATCGAAGGTGGCTGTGGTTTGATTTTGCTTCAGGCGTTTTGTGATCCATACAAGTGGAAAAAACGCTTAAAAAACACGAGACTCTCGAGCCGATAGTAACAAAATTACGAAAGTGTTCTTCAAGCCTTGTATCGATTGGCAGAGTGTAAAGAAAGTCAATTTTACAGCTTGCACTTTGGGCAAGTTGTACCTAGCATGTAATAGCCCAAGTGAGTTATTTTAACTAGCCCGAAAACAATTTTTGATGAACAGGATTGAATAAAGTTCTTCTTTCATTTGAATTCTTCCCACCCCCCCGCTAAAAAAAAGTCGTCGGGCATTAAAAACAGAATTCACCCGCCTTTGCTCATCTTTTTCCATCCGCTCTCATCCCCATCCCCCCCCCCCCCGCCCCCCCTCAACGCCAAATAGTATTTTTCACTCGTTTTGCTGCCCTCGTCGCTTACTGATACTCGTCTTCCAGTGCTAGACACGACCTGTTGACTTCGTCCCGCGTTTAGCGACGCTAACTAATGTCTAACTTTCTTTCATTAGCGCTCACTTATTCGCGTTGCCCCTCTTGGCGCCAGGTGGTGTCTGTTTTTCCTCACTGATTATGTAGGGCATGCTACCCTGCGCGGAGTGATGAATAGTTTCCATCATTTTACGATTATTGATTTTTGTACTCCTGCCCTCGTAGTGGCTGAATGATGCATGCTTCCTTGTGTTGGGCGCTAACTAATACGTGTTGCAGTGCGCAAGGCACCCTTCTTCTCCGTATTTTATGATCTAGATATATCTGGTTCGTAGCGGTTGTTGTTGTCTTTTCCTATACTGATTAGGTCAAAAGACCTTGATTTTACTTGACCATAAATGTGGTTTATCCTTTCTTTTCAGTTTTCACGCTGTCTTATTCTGTGTTGCTTATCAAAGTGTTGCATTGTTCTGTTAACGAACTATTGGAACAGCCCAGTGTTCATGGTCATTTTTTTATTTTATTTTTTCAGCGTTCCCTAAAGCCTCTCCTCTTATTTTGGAGCCTGTTATGTCAGTTGAAGTAAACATTCCTCAAGAATTCCAGGTAAGATCCAGTGCCACATCAGTTACGTATTTCACGTTTGAGCTGGAGGATGAAATGTGTCACGTTTAAAATAGAAGCTACATTTACTCTGGTTGTATCTTGATTGTCTAATACAGGGAGCGGTCATTAGTGGGCTAAACCGCAGACACGGCATGATCACGGGCACAGACGCAGCCGAAGGATACGTGACAATCTACGCTGAGGTAATGTTGATGTTTTAAGTCAAGGTGAACAAATATTGGAGCAAAAATTCAATACAAAATTTACGCTTATAACGATTTGTAAAAATGATCGCGCATATGAAGCTTATGTTATCGAACCTTTTTTAACCGAACAAGTGTTAGAAAGTCTAGGGCCAAGCCAAATGATGTGTTTACACTATATTTAAGTGACAGACATTGAAGTGTTAACTGATCCCTTCCAGCTTTAGCAGAACTTATTTTTTCGTGTCGCTTTTCAGGTTCCACTCAATGACATGTTCGGATATTCCACTGAGTTGCGGTCTCATACCCAGGTGATTAAGTTGTATTCATGTATAATACTGTGGGGCTGTGATTCTTTGAACGATTACAACCATAAGATCACTTTTGAAAATATATGTTGAATAGCGTACGGAACGTCAAGTTTATAAAAATGCAAAAACTCACAATTTTTATCACCGCTGTTTGTGTTTTATTTTTGATCAAACTACGTTGGCCCAAGAACAAAAGTCTCTATGATTACAACCATCGTCATAAGTATCATTATCATCATCAAATTCATTGTCAACATTATCATCATCATCGTCGTCGTCGCCGTCCTCATCATCATCGTCATTGTTATGACCTTGACCATCGTTATTATCATCATTTTAGTCGCCATCAGGAGCTCATAACCTGAGCGTCTGTCACCATCAGTACCATCATCATCTTCATCACCATCAATTTTATCATTATCGTCGTCATCACCACCATTAGAATGGTCAACATCGTCGTCATCATCAACATAATCATCATCATCACCAGGAGCCACATCTTGGGCTGCCGTCACCATCAGTACCACAATCCATCATCATATCATTATCATCATCAGTATCGCCATCTTCAACATCCGTATCATTTTCATCACCACAAGCACCATCACCATAGCCATTCGTAATCCGTGTACCTTTAATCGACATCATCAATGGCTCTAATCATCGTGCATCGTATTCAGCTTGTTTGTCCATACTTATTCATTCGACATTGACTCGATAAGTAAGCGCCCTTAAGTTGTTTTGAATTTCCGCGAAAGCTTCTTGCAGCTTCAAATCAAAGTCACTGTTCTTTGGTTTCCTTTTACAGGGCAAAGGAGAATTTGCTATGGAGTACAGTAAATACCTGGCCGCCTCGCAACAAGTGCAAGCAGAACTGATGGAGAAGTATGATTTAGAAAGACTCAAGAAAGCCAAGTCAAGATAACAGCAGGTTCACCCTTTCCCTCCCCCCTTCGGGGTCTGTGTTACTTTCCCTCTCATTTCGTCATTCTAAAGGGAAAATGCAGTCTTAGCCACGCAGTGAAAGTAGATACGCCAAGTCTTGTACCCATCTGTGGAATGAGAGCAGTTGCTTGTTAACACGAATTGCGCGAACAGGGAATTTTAAACCGTCTTTTGGGAGCTTTGGTCACGAAGGCAGTGAAAGCGGCGAATCAAGGCAACAATCCGATTCATGGTTTTGGAGAACCTGAACACATGACAGTACATTCTCTTTCTGTACCTATTTAAACTTGGAAAAAACACCCACGGAATAAGATGGAGTCATTGGAGTACTTCCAAGTTTGAAAGTGCTCTAAGTTCTGTTTGTTTGTTTGTTTTCTTAGTTTTGACATTTCTGTCAGCGCTGCCACTATCCGTGGGGCCAAAACAAGGACACAATTATATAAAAAAATAATTATTATATGATATTGTTCGGTGGTCTATTGTACCAATGCTGTTTCGCTTGTGGACTACTCTGTTAGGTAGAGAAAGGTGTAAAAAGAACTCTCGCACGTAGAATTGGATCTGGCGTAGGATAATTTCTTCACGATAGACTAATTTGACGTCACAGGAAAGGGATAGGGTTGTGCGGTCAGAAATAACAAGAATGCTGTCTTAGAAATTATCCGCTCCAATTTCCCTTTAGTTTGTTGTTGACCGCTCTCTCTTTTCCATCTAAACGCGTTCTATTGCGACAGCTATAAGTTGAAATACTTTTGGAAATCACAGTGGGATGTCCTATCCACAAATACACATACAGTCGACTCCCAATAACTCGCCGAACCTTCAAGGGAAATCGAAAAAAGTTCGAGTTAAGAAAATCAGATAACCGGAAGCAAGAAACAAACAGTTTTTACCGTACAGTGAATGTTACATTTACACTTGTAGAAATGTTAAGTGAAAATGAAAGATACTTCTATTTTACAAATTTTACACCTAACGTAACAAAATATAGCCCAAATATGTTTCGGACGCCAGTACACTGTTTTTTCCCGACTTAAGCGCTCAAAAACATTGTTCGAGTTATCGAGGGTAAAATTGTATAGAAATGATCTGAGGGAAGACCAAAATTACTTCGAGTTAGCGGGAAGTTCGAGTTACCGAGGGTAAAATTACAGTAAACGTATGAAGAAAAACGTAACAAAAACCAGGGAAATCGATTTTGGTTCGAGTTACGGGCGGTTCGAGTTATCGGGAGTCAACTGTATTATTCACAAAGCACAAAGCAGACATAAAGCCATACAAGGTAACATTATCCGTACTTTATTGAGGCATTTTGCTTTGTTAAGCCTATTTATAGATAGCAATTCTCAGTTGTTTTTCTCACACACAAGGTTATATGACGCTTGGGCTGCCTGTGACTGCCTGTGATCATACAGGCATTGGCCGCAAAACAGTCGCTGCTCTTAAAAAAAATAACTTTTTAAAGTCAACATTTTTTATGTTACGAATGTAGCGTTTAAGTCGCAGCTTAGCATTATAGCTACGCGATATCCTTTTTTTTTTTTTAATTTCTGTTTTTCTTTTGTAACCCAATCAATTGTGAAATATTTATTTTGCTCAAATTGCAGATAAAACAGTTGCAATTGTTTTCGCCAAAAAAAATAATAATTACAAGGGATAACTTTTAACTCGGAGCCAAGAAAGCTTCTTTTCATTCTGGAACAAATCCTTGGTTTCTAGAGCTCTACAATCCTAGAGTGTTTAATGGCCCCTAATGCCTGAATAAACAAAAAATAATCGTGAACATCACGAGCAAATTCTCTGTCTCTGAGCTAAGTAGTACTAAGTGCCTTCTCTGGGACTTACACCTGTCTGGGTTCTTTTTTCCTAGATTTTTGCCATGGAATTGTGACATTTTTTTTTATTTTGAATAGGCTCATGTTTGGTCTAAATTAGGCTTGGCAACGGCATACATGTCAAAAAATAGCTAAAACAGAGTATCAGATGAAGAGGTTTGATAAAGGAAAAGGATAGCCGCAAGCCTTCTATTGTCTCCTTCCTATTGCGTTAGATTTTCATTGTCACTGTTCTGTAGTCACTGAGTTGTAGTCGTGGAAAATGTTTCCAAAATGAAATCGATTTTAATTTATATATCCGCGACTGCATGCTAGACAGAGTGCATGCATGCTAAGATCTCGAAAAGTCGCCAAACTGGTCTGACGAGTATTATTAAAGAGGACCACTGCCCCAGTAAGTATTAGTGCACTCAGCAATGTCAGAACTTTCACTCTTTGCCAAAGCCGCTCGATCCACCAGAAGGAAAGATGGAAAGTATTGTTTGTCGTTCAGTTCAGTCTTCTTCTTTGGAACTATTTTGTCTGTTTCTTGGTTTGTTTCTTAGTCCAAAGAATAAGTAAAAAACTTCATGCGTATATTGGAGAGACAGTTATTTCCTGACGGCTTATTTTCTTGGCTTTCTCTCGCTTTTGTTTTCTCATCCACTCGCCATGGGCCGTGCTAAACGCATTTGATAGGGCCATGCACACCGCTTTAGCCGACTCCTCGTTCTTGAAAGAAAAGACATGGCATTGTAGCTCTCCATCGCAGTCAGCAATGAAGGAAAATATCGATTCGTCGCGCACGTCTGTCGAACAAAAGGCGATGTCGCACAGCGCGTAGTACGCCTCTTTCTCGCTTCCTTTCTCTGTAAGAGTAAGCCCACGGGAGACGTTCGTGGATATGAGAAGGGAAACTTTCCTCTTTTTGCCGCTGTCTTGTAAATTTTTGTGAAGTTTGTCGACACATCTCGCGCTGATTTCGTGTGCTCTTTCTGGCTGGAACGACGCGTCCACGTTTGTCACTCCAAGGTAGCGAGCCGTGAAGATGGGTTCTTTATCGTTTAGCTCGTAATAGCCTTTATATTTCTCCGACGAAAACTTTCTTTTAGGTCCAGAGTCCGAATTCGCCATTGTTTAACCGCAAGAACCGCCGTTTGTGCGACCTACTGCCCCAGCACCCAACCGAATGAAGAAAGCACAACTTGCTCGAATAATAAACGTTTCACGTTACTGTTGTTTTTGGACACGGATTTGGCATATGACATAATACAGGAGGATTAAATTTATTCGCTCGGAGAAATATATAATGTACGTACCTTTTATACGGGAGAATTTAAAGTAATACATAATCAGAATGGTTTTTCAAAATTGGGGTTTGCATTTAACAGTTTGGAATCTTCTTAGAATGTTTTGAGAGGTTTTTTCCTTTAAATAGTCAAAATAGTTTGGAAGGGCCTTAACCTATAATATAAGAAGCTTTGGCTGAGCACCCTCTGGCTGGGGCATCCCCCGGGGCGTCATATCTCCATAGCTACAATCCTTGTGGTCAGCGCCAAAGGATCGATGCCTTATGGTCCTAGGAGGGCATGACTTGGTGGCGGGGTGGGGTATTCCTTTCAGTATTACAGATGGGTTATCCGGTGAGGAGGCATTTAAACTATTTTAGCTCGTGGGTAAGCTTTACGAGTCACTCTGGCAGCGGGGCGAAGAGTCTTAGAAGAGGACTCCGCTCGCGCAAGACCTTCCTCTCGGTTAGCAATTTTAACGCGCGCTGGCGTTATAATTTGAACGCTGACGCCCTACTATCCCTGAGGAAATTGAGGTACTTCTCGACGTGTTCTTGTCTTCACATGACCTCTGGACTGTACGCCCCATCTCTAGTTCTCGCTGAGGCAAGAGTGTGAACATAGCTTAAGTCTCCTCCCCACCCCACTCAATAAAATGTGAAGCCGGGAAGCATTCCGATCCTATCTCATTTATATCGTAGGCTTCCCCCCTTTTTTCTAGGGAGGAGGAGAACAGATGAGTTGCTTGATTATTGATTAACCATTTAAACCGACTAGTTGATTATTATTCACCTACGGAAGATTTTTTTTCTCTGGGACTCGAAGAATTGCCGTGTAAATTATAGTGAGATCGGTGGCAGGTGCGCTTGGTTTTGCTTCTTACAATTTAACAGTGTACAGGTATTTCCAGAAATATTTCAGTAAAACCTAACATTCTTTAAGCGAACAGCCTTCTGCAGCTTGGACAAAATAAAACGGTGAAAAAAGACGGAAAACCACCCCTCAAATTTATTTAATACGCAATAAGTGATATGCTATACGTTGACTAGACGAGATTCTCTAAAATTGCGTTGAGGACTTGCCCCTTGATTTTTTTTTTCTCCGCGACATATATTGATATTTTTTAAATTACAAGTTTCGCTTTTTCACTTTGTTGTTCCGCCAGCTGTAGCCGTTTATACTTCCCTCTGAAGTCGATCGGAACAAATTTTCCATCCGGATTTTCTACCGTCTGGGTATTTATTTGTGATACCGTCGATTGAAACATTTGTCGTCGGAAATTTATATCTGGTAATATAACTGGAATATAGCGATGACATTATTATTGTTATATTTTCTTCTCTTTTTTTCTGTCACACCCTCTCGTTTAATATGTCAACGTGTCGGTTCAGTACAATTAAATGTCGTTTTGACTAAAGATAAATATATGATGAAGTTTTGAAAATAGTGTGTCACACTTATCGAAAGTTGCAAATTAGTTGCGTGACGTCGCACAAGCGATAATCAACGTGGTAAACACAATTTGCATCGATCGAATCGAAGCCCACATTACTGAATGCTAATACAGCTTCATTGCCCAAGTCATCCCATTGTTTCTCGTGATAATTTTACTTTTAAGGACGGCTGTTCGTTAACAAAGGGATTTTAAAACAGTTGAAACGATTTAATATGCGTGGATATTTGGAAGTTGCTTCAGCTGCAATTACAGATTCTTTTCAACTTGTAAGACTTGATTGGTTTTCAAGTACGAGTCCGCTTGTTATTGGTTTATTTTATCGTATTAATAGAACAGGAAGGAGGCGTACATTATAGTCCTGAAAATCCATGAAATCTCGGACACAATAACAGATAAAGAAGTTATTCGAAACAAGAAATCAAAGACTTTCGAGATTGCTCTGTTCTTGTACTACAATATGGCCGCTCACAGATCATCGACGTCCTGTAGGTTTGAAGTTTTGATCTTTGTTTATGGCCTTTTCTGTCTTGGAATTGGCAGCCAAGTTAGGCTCTTAACCACAGAAGATTTAAGCAATATAGGAGAATCTACGTCAAAAGACTTCATTGCGGTATTTTTCGATAAACCAGGTGAGAACCGTTGTTTGTATTTTATCAGGGTTCATTATGTTACCGATTAGCTTTCATAAAATTTTTTTTTATTTAACAATAATATTTATATTTCTAGAAATCAGAAAGTCTCACCCAAAGTTTAAGACGGTGTTTACTAGATCTTCAAACATTTTAGATTCATTTGGTTTTGAATTAGCAAAGGTAAGCTATTTAATTGTTTAAAATTATAGTTCAAATTATTTGCTCTAATTTCGCCGACGAACATGTGCTTAAACGCGCGACCCAGATAATTACAGTTTTAAATGTTGCAGGTAGATTGCTCGAAAAACGTTGGAGAGCCTGTCACGGAATGTTCTTCTAAAGAGCAAAAAGTATCTATTTTCAGGTAATAGCTTCATACAAAGACCCCGGTGAAAGCTTTTGGTACGTTTTATAATTTCCTAATTAAAAACATGTATTGACCGTCGCGTGAAGACATTTATAGTAAAGGTCCAGTATCTCTTCCAGTTCCGTAAACGCTTAGGCTAGGATCGGTTTTTTTTTTTTGCAATCCAACGAGTCACACGGAAGTGCAGACCTTATCACGATCTCAACTCGGCGGGGCTGATCTTGGGTCGTAGCCGTCAAGATTGTCTCGACAATAGTGATAAGATCAATAAAATTAGACATAATTTTACTTTGATTTCAATGTATCAGCTCATTACACGTGGTCATACATTTATTTGCATTTTTTCTTTTTTTTTAAGAAAAGGCCATTCTGTTGCTTCAGAAGGACTTGATTTGAGCTACGTGTTTGACGAAGATTCAATTGTTGCAAACTTTCTCCAGTAAGTAAATATTAATCACCTGTTGAAATATTCACCCAAAGCACAGTATTGTGTGAGAATTTTTCCACGTGGCTAGTTTTGATTTGGCATAATCACTCTTTGTTTTTTTCACTCCTGGGAAAAAGTTTCCCGTGTTCAACCACCCAGGGCAATGGAGTAATCTCAGTAGGATAATCAATTTATTTTAGATTTATTTTTGTACTTTCATCTTTATTGAAGCAGAAAAGGAGATAGAATGATAAAAAATCAAAAATGGGAAAGAAAAAAGGACCAAAATACTAGATACTGCTGGTATCTACCAAAAAAATACACATTTAAAAAAAAATGACATAATTACTCTTGTTACAAGCTTCCAGTGTTTGCTCTTTAAATTCATTCCATACAAGTCTTTGTTGTGCAAATTTCTTTTCTGTAACAAGCAGCAGATGTTCAGGTGTATTTTGCACACAAAACCCATGGGAAAGGGGCTCCTTTTTTGAATTTTTTTTTTTTAGGGATGTGCCACTTTTTAAATCCTAGTCTATTTGAAATACAAGATTGCCTAAATATGTTAACTAATGGAAGTAAGATGCAGGGGAAAGAATAATAAGTATTCTTTCCCCGGCAGAAGAAGAAGAGAAAGGGGGGAGGGGGAAATACTGGATACAGAGGCCCTGTTAGGAAAAATTCTGACAAACAACATGGCCATGAAACAGCAACATAAGACAGTAGAAATGGCGGCAAATGACACAAAGATAGGTTGAAACTGTGACAGCGACAGAGAAAAGCGAAAAAACGACAGGTTTTAAAATTCAGACGAGGGACATACATAACCCAAGAGGGCCTTGATACAGCCAGTATCTGACCAAAACAAAACAAGGAGAAAAACATTACATCTCTATTACTCTGGTTTTGATCTTGTGTTTACAGTTTAAATAATAATATTGGTTGTGCAAATTGTCTTTTCTATAGTAAGCAAGCAGATGTTTGGCTTATTGTTTGCCCCCAATACAGCTGTACCCTTGGGGGAGGGCCAGGGAACCCTGTTTAACTTTTGTTTGGCGATGTTAGTCCAGACCTTTCGTGCCCCATTGAAGTTATTCATTAGTTTGACTCCTCTACCCAGGAAATTCCACTTTACATGGAGATTCATATTTTTGTTCCAAAATGGCCTTCACTACCCTCTTCCTCCTTGCAATTTCTAATGACTACCTCATGGGATGGGTATGGATACATTTTTTTATGAAACTACACAATGAAAAATTTTTGTCATAAGTACTGTAGGGAGATTTGGTGGGGGGAGGGGGTGAAGAGCTCTCTTGTTCCATACCATGTTCAAAGCAAGATAGCAGGTATCCAGCATAATCTTTTTTCAAAACGTCTTTCATAGTACAGGTGACTTCTCTCACTTAACTTTCAACTATTTGCAGTCATTGATATTTTTGGCTGGAAGATTATGTTTTTTTTAATCATATTCATGAGTAGTTTTAATTTATCCTTTGGTCAAAATAGTGAATTGATATATTCCCTCTGTCTTGTAAGTCCTCTCACTCTCTACATGTTCATGTATTTTTTTCCCTGCCGTGTGACTCAGTTTTTCATTAGCTGACAAGTTCCAGTATGTATCTGATGACCAGTCCTTCGAAGAACTTCTCTCTGAAAGCCAAGGAAAACAGAATGTCTTACTCTTCTTTGTTAAGGGACTTGGAATGAAAGGTACCTTTAGGAGTTTCATAAATACAACAACAACAACAATTTATACCACATAGTTCAAGTACAACAGCAATTACACACTCCAGTTACGGGTATACAAAATGGGAAGAAAACTTTCCCACCTTTAATAACATATTTAAAGGCTAATCAAGGTGGGGGAAAAATGAAGACAAACTTATGGTAATAAATTAAGACAAAACTGATTACAGAAAACTGAGATAACAATATAATAAGGTTAAATAAGAAAATTAAATGAAAAAAATTTACATCCAAAATAAAGGATAAATGAATAAATAAAAGAAAAATCATTATTGTACTTTCCAAGGCTAAGATAAATTGCTAAACTAACTGAGCAGTTGAGAGACTTCAATATAGTCATTCTCAAGCTCTTAAGTTTCAAGAAGTATTTGTTTAATTTTGTTTCTGAACTTGTATTTACTAAGAGATTTAACAGAGTATAAGGAATAGAGTTCCAAATCGATGCACCAATCCCTGCAAAAGATTTTTTCATTCACTCAGTTTTTTTGAAGTTTTCACATAGAAGCATTCAATTGGACAACGATCTAGTTTTGGTGAATTGGCTAAGAGTTTTAGTTGGGATGGACTGCTCATGGTTTAAAAAATGAAAAGGACAAAGGAAGACATTGTGCTTGGACAAAAAAGGGAACTGTATCTATTTGTATGCTATTTGTATATTTCAATACTTAATTATGTCCCCTCCCCACCCCCACCCCTCAAAAGGCAAATGATCATCTCCATCACAAGGGGATAGGACGCACAACACCTTCCAGATGATGCATGCAGCATTTTGTCTTTTTTGGTCGGAGACAACTTGCCTCCTAAAACTTGATTGGTTCAGCCACATCGGCCCAATTTTAATAATGTTTTTTTTGTGTGTCATTTCCTTAAGCCTTTGGGACACTCACTTTGTGTGCGTTTTAGCCAACTTATTTATTTGTTTCTTTCTTTCCAGATGTTAATAAATGTTGTTTAGAAATTCTAGTATAATGAAAAGACAGTTGCTGGTTAAAGTTATATTAATGCACTTTTTTCGTGTTAATTTCTCACTCCAGAACATCGCCAATTTTTAGAAATGGTACATTCCTCTACCTCTAGCAACATAGTATTTGCCATGACAACAGATGACACCTTTCCATTGAAGTATGGGTAAGTACTCATTTCCTCCTGTTATTTGAACCTTAGGGAATATTGTCTCATTAGGGAAGCCTTTAATATAGGCTTTAATCTGCTGACTTAGTTTGCTTTTTTTAGACTTCCCACAAATCATGCAGCCCTGTCTCTCCTTCACTGTAAAGAGAAGACTGTCAGTGAAAGTGAATGTCGTTCCACACACTACAATGGTAGAATTGAGAAGATCTCTCTGCTAAAATTCCTGCAGAGTCAAATCCTTCCAAACTATGTAAGTAGATTGATTAAGATTGATTAATTAAGATTCATTGATTAAGTAGATTAGCCTGTAATAGCATTGACGATCCTTTAATTTGTCCACTACCAACTCAGGTTCTCCTATCTAGTGACAAAGAAACAGTGTATGATTCATTACCTGTGGCTGTTGACAAAGTCTATGTGTTCAGCGACAAGATTTCTGATTTAGAAACTGAGGAACTTAATGACATGGTCAAGGAGTTGCATGGTTCTATTGGCGTCATTCTGGTTGATGTGTAAGTTTTTGGGAACAAAGCTGTTCGTTCAGTTTCATGCTTTCTCTGATTAGTTTATATGCCATTAGTTATTGCCTCTGTTACATCAACGTCATTATTTAGCATCTAGCATTAAAGGTTGATGTGAAACATTTTGTACATTTATGAGAGTGAAATATAATGTTAGTAAGTACATGGAGACTGCCTTGCTGTTTATTCAAGGTGGCTGGGGTATTCGCGAAAATAATGTCACTGTCTTTCACTCTTGGTGGGTTGTGAATGCATGTAGCTTGATTTCCTTCTTTATTACTTGTATGCTCCTCCACAAGGTTTTAGGCGAAAAATAAGCCAAACCACCACCTTCCTTCAGTGGGGGAACAAGAACCAGTCAACTTGCCATAAATGACCACACCAAATGCCAAGTTTTGTTCTCTGCAGGAGGTTTGATTTACTGAGAGCTGTTTTGTTTAGGAAACAGCTTTTGGTATTACTTAGATAAGTGACCACGTACATGCACCATGAGAGGTGGTCACTTGAAATGAGATATAGGCTCAAACCTCGAGGTTCAGTCAATTAACAAATATTGGACTCGGTTATCACAAAATATTGTGATCTGTCGATAACATAACCGAGTTCAATAATTTTTTATCATTCAATCACCAAGTTTGTTTTTTAAATGAATATCCTCGGGAAGAAAAGCGATCTGCCATTTTCACGCAAGAGCAATCGCAAGAAAGGAAAAAAGCGTGGTTTCTTTTACGCATGTGTAGAATATTATTGGCAGCCAAACACAGTTGGAGGGCATTGCGAATGAGCAGACCATTATTTGTAGGCAGTTATTTGCAGAAAAGAAAGAAAAATTTGCTTCGAATGATAACAGTATTTATTCTGTTATTATTGTACACTAATAATGCTGCTAAATTTTATCACTCCCACTACAGAAAGGAGCATAAAGACATGCTGGCATCATTTGGTTTAACTGAAGACAGTAACTTTCCAACAGCAGCCTTTCTTCCAGTCAAAAGAAGTAACAGTAATAGCTTGGTAATTAATATTATTTACTTTAAAATCTTTACTTATTAAACTGCTAAAAAATACTTAACTTTTTGCCTTTTCAGATATGGTCCACACAATTAGAGAGGTTGAGCAAAGATGTTTCGAGCGACTCACATCAACCGAATGTAGACTTTGTGCCGTCTTGGGCCAAATTTTCGGGCAAATCGGCTCTAATAGAGTAAGACACTTGGTAATAGAAATTTGGTCCCGTGGAGACATATTAAAGGGGAAAAGACTCGCCTTAATTCTAGGTGATGTGCGTCGCTCAAAACTCTTTGCTTAAGTACCATAAATCCTCTATTAAGCGCCCCCTCTCAAGTTAACCCCTTCCCTTTAATAAGTCCCCCCCCTTCTCAGGGGAAGAAAGTTAAGCTCCCCCCCCCACCTCTCTATTAAGCCGCCCTCCCCTTCCCTAATTATTCTTCACTAATAAATGATAGACTGTATTAATCAATCACGACTGTTTAACTTTGTGGACTGATCCAGGATAGTTTATTTGCCAACTGAAAGGTCAGATTTGTTTTTGATCCTTGGCTGCATGACCTCCAACCTTATGTACTTGAGCTTGTCCACTTTATATTCTAAGTCTTTATGGAGAACTGATACCATAGTCTTCTAAATTAAATAGCTTCCCCTCCCCCCTCCTCTCAAATAAGCCCCCCTTCAAATAGGCTTGTAATAAATAAGCCCCCTAAGGGACTTAATAGAGGATTCACGGCAAGCCCCGTTTTAATGAAAAAATGGCTCTTAAGTTATTTAACCATTGAACCAAAAATTATAAACAAGTTGTCAATGGTCAAGAGGAAAGGATATACCCTACATACTGTAAATGATCGATTAAGCGCCCCTACTCGATAAAGCGCGGCTCTCGAATAAGCGCCACACCTTTACCGGAAATAATTTAATAAGCGCCGCTCTTGATTAAGTGCCATGATGCTCATTTGAATATTCACAAATTAATGCCACACCTTTGTTACGGCGCTTGATATTGCTTGAGAAATAAGACCTCGACCAACTCGTAAGTTCTAAAGTTTTAATGTAGTAAAACCCTTGAAGCCAGGTTCATATAACAGTTCGAGGTGTACATAATTTTACTAAATTGTGCATACCAAGTACGCGCCTCACTTAATTCTCTTGATTTTCCTCTCAGTGTTTCACCCGTAGTTGAAATAAGTGCCGCTCTAGTATAAGCACCGCTTCTATAACAGGGAAAATTAAACAAGCACTGCGGCGCTTAATCGATCATGTACGGTGCACATCAGTTACAGAAGAAAGCATAAATTTAATTGAGAAGTGGAACTTCAAGGGAATATTTATGGTCACAAAGCTAAATCAGTAGTTAAGTTTGAAAGTTAAAACTTTCCATCTTATGGCCCTCTATATACTGGCTGCATTTTAATTTACTAAGGATATCAATTTTTACTTACTGCTTACTGCTAAACTCGCTTGTCGTTTCTCTCTTCTATTGTCAGACATACATGGAGTTGTTTCCCGAAAATTCTGTGATGTTTACCATGAATAACCTCAAACATTTCATCAAGCCATTTTTGGAGAACCCTGTCGATGAATACAAAAGAATAGGTTTGTTTTTTGTTTTTTTGTTTTTTTTCGGTTCGTATACCACTCCGCACAGTGGTGTTACTTCTTTTCTTTTGTTTTTACTATTGTTTTCCGTACCTCATTAACTGTTATATATCTATATATATATATATATTATATATATCTATCATCTGTTATGTTCCTGTTCTGCATGCTCTGTAATTCTTCTGATAGCTCAATAATATAATAATAGCTCAATTGGATAAGCGCTGGTCTTCAAACTGCAACACACGTTTCTCCCTTCCACCGCCCTCTTGTGTCCGCGCCGGTCCTCCACAGAGAGCTAGAGGGTGTTTCTTGTTGTTAAGGAAACCATTGTGGTTCGCTTTTTTGTGATGTGGGTATTTGTCCCGTGTCTTTTCCATCTTTTGTATTACTTCGTGTGGTGATCTCTCTATTACGCCGTTTGGAGATCGCACCCTTCTGCAAACTACTCACCTACCCCTTCCTCAAGCCTAAGTGAGAAGTAAGTGTTAATGTTGGCTTAGGGGAGGGGTAGGTGGGCGGTTTCCCAGAATCGTATAATGATCCGAAATGGCCGGAACAGATTTCTTCCTCTTGTGTGGAAAGACATTTCTTTGTGCGTTTCTGTCTGGTTTAAGTGTGTTCACTTGGAGATTTTTGAGGTTGATGGACTTACCATTTTTCTTCAACATGTGGCTCCACTCGCGTTTGACCTTCAAGATGCACAGGAGCTTGGTAATAAAGGGCTTTAGATTAGTAGAACGACTACGAGTTTGGGCCGATTTAACTTAAAGTTTTTTCGCGTATTCTCAAAAAATAGAAATCCCGGAAAGCTTCATTTTACTTTTTTTTCATTAGAAAAGATAGCACTGTTACCTATATTGAAGGAGGTTAAGCCCTCTCCCGATAGCAAAATAATAAAACTTCTTCCATTTGATAACTTTTTCCCAGCAGTACGACATTCTCGCCAAAACTCCTAGTAGAATGACGACGGCTATCATGTTTTCCCGCCAAAATGACGCTGGTTCACGCGTGAACAGTACTCAGTATTGAGAAAATCTCGAAGTCGTAGTCGTTCTCTTCTAAGAAGGTAAAGCTCTCTCTTTCTTCTCCACAGCCGAAGCGTCTTCCCTGCAGAAGATTTCTTACAGAGAATACAATAATATTATGAGAAGCAGTGATGAATTTACCAACTACTTATTGGCTTCGGATTTCTTGCTTGCCGTGTTCTGCCCAGAAGGTATAGTAACTTTCGTATCCGCATTAAGATAAGTGAAGGGCGTTATTTCTGGGCTCTGCAGGCCTAGGTTTGGTCTAAAAATAGGAGGGGGTGAGTCCTCCCCCCCCCCTCCCCCACTTATTTTGCCAGTGATCCTCTAAGGTGCATATACGCGGGTAAGGGACGTTGTTAGGCTTAAGTGTCGCTGTAATGGTCTAGTGAGTGTCTCATCCAGAATGGGCAGGGGGGGGAGTAATAATTAATGTAACGCACAGGAACCGGGTACTGCTTAGCTTTCGTTTCCAGTGTGGCGCAGCGCTGAGAGCACTTGCCACCCATCAATGTGGCCCGGTTTCTTATCCTAGGGGCAACCCATACGTGAGCAGGGTTCGAAAAACGTTCCCGTCCGATAGTCCAGGACAAGTAGATTTTGTTGCTGGGCAAGGAACGTTTTAGTCTCCTTCGCAGCCGCTTTTAGGCTCATCACGCAACGTTCCTCCCCAGCGTTGCGTGACGAGCCTAAAAAACGCTGCGAAGGAGACTAGTAACATTTAAGCTAGTCAAGTTATCATCTAACAAAATCATTTACTAAAACTAGAAAGGGATGGCCCTGGTCTAGCAAAATATGCAACCTACTTGCCCAAAGGACAAGCTGGAATGAGTCTATTTCGATCCCTATGGGTTTGGATTACAGGTGGTTCTCGTCGATTTCTCGGAGTGGTTTTTCTCCGGTGGTGCTTTTAGAAGCCGAAGTCTTCACAATTTATTTTGAATTTTGTTTTTGCAGATCATGACGATTGCATGGATTTTTCAAAACATTTGCGGCGTATAGTTCGTACATTTGACAGAGCGGGCGAAAGTCGACTCTCCGTAGTGTATGTGTTAACATCACATCATAACAAGAGATTTGTGAGTAGTACTGTAGTTTGTTATATTCTCCTTAGACTGCGAGCAGTCTCTATTGTTCTTCAGGCTTAGCGAGGGGAGTGCACTCGCGCGCGAGCGGCGGGGCCGCGAGACGCGAGAAACGAGGGCGGCAGCCTCTCCTGTCTCGCGTCTTCAGTCACTTGTGTGGTCATTTTCGGGTCTCGCGCGTTCTGCTCGGCGGACTAAGAAAAAAGAGAGAGTGCTTCGTAGTCTTTATTCTGCTTCCCTACACTATTATTTAGAGTCCCCACGTAATGACAGAGGTAGTATTAACTCCTTCAATGAGTGACCCGCTCTCAAATTTGTACACGCTTCTCACCGAAGTTCAAGCATTCGCAGAATACAAAATATGGAGATAGGAGTTAAAAGGCCACACTGCCTTCTCGACTTCTACCTTAAGCTTAGGCTCGATTGCCCGAGCCGCTGTTTAGGAAATGAGCCCGTGCGCCTTTCTAGGGGAGGAACAGGACTGAACCCGAGAGAGAGAGGGAGCGGCAGAAATCGACCCTACCTCTAGCTTTGTCTCCTCCATTTTATACTGTTTCTATGATATAGCTTGGTTTTTATTTTCAGGAAGGACAATCGTATCCAGTAATTCATCTGCACTTGAACAAGTCCGTCCACACTTACGATGAATACGCTGGTAATCTGGGCTACGAAGAGCTGATGAATTTCATAGCCATGCAAACAAAGTAATTATTTAAAATCTCAATGCTTTCTTTTTTATCTCCTTTCTCTCGGTTTCCTTTCGTTAGGCTCTTATCGTTATGTATTAGTGATGCACCTCATAAACTGTTCAAGAAAGAGATATAGTATACCTCAAGTTGGGGTTACTTAATTTTCCACTTAAAAGGGCCTCATAGCCACTAGAAACACTGCAAAAATGTTCCATGAAAACAGCGGTTAAGCAGAAACAACTTTTCAACTATCGTTACTACGACGAACGGTGAGATAGTCTTTATGTGTAGTTCTATTTTTAAGGCTTTCGTATGACCCTACAATGGCTCAGAACACTGGCCTTTTCCGCGATCGTAGCGATTATATGGAAAGCTTGCTTCCACTCTTTGAACTAATAAAGGCGAACAACGAGGAAGTGGAAGCAAAGCGAACGGTGTACAAGCTGATTTTCTCTCTGCATCTTACTCGCTTTGTTTGTTTGTTTTTTGGGGGGTGAAGAACTGTCTTTTTTTTGCAAATATATTTTCGTTGTGTTGGGTATTCATATGCTACAACGAACAATTTTAAGGTCAAAAATGTTGTACCCCACCTCCCCCCCCCTTTCACCCCTCCGTACATTCAAACAACGGCCTCTTAACTCCCTTCCCGAGGTGGTCATTGTGTATGAGATGGTAAAAAGGTTCCACTGTACACGAGAAATAAAGTACTTTTTAATAGTGACCTTTGTTATGGGGTATTTTCTGTAAACATTAACTTCTCGTTCCTCGTCCTAACACACAAACTCTGCCGCTTATGCTGTATCATTTCTATCCTATTTTAAGCATAAAGATGCCGGTTTTCCTTCCTCCAAGTTTGTCGGATGAGGCGCGCATTGTACTGGTCAAAGATAATACAGACGGAGATGTTACTGAATATTTCGAAGACCAAGATGAGACAGCGCATGAGGTTTCCGATTCGGTTGAAGCAGACGATGGTGGTGGCGATGAATCACCAGGTGCGTGATATTCCTTTGTTTAATAACTAAGATAGGACGTGCGCTCTGATTGGCTGAGAGGAGTGTTTGCATGAGAGTATGTAAACATGGTTGTGGCGTCAACATGTTTTGCTTTTCTCGCGCTAATCACGCAAGCACGAATTTGAAAAAGTTTTCAAGTTCAAAAACTCGACAAGTTTACTTTACTTACCCATCCTTCGTCGGCTGAAACTTGGAAAATCGTTGCGAAGAAAGTGTGTCAATCTTTTTTCGCTTAAGCTGAGATTTTAAGCGAGAGAAGTCCCTTATACAAACCCTCGACTTCGTCTCGGGTTTGCATAACTGTCTCGAATTCTCCCAACCCCTCTTGTGTTTATATCAGGTTATGCAAACACGGAAAACGTTTTCTATTGCTTAAATAGTAAAGTAAAATTTCGTCTCGTGGATACCTACACAGTAAACAGTATCAGGATGACCATTCTCAATAGGCGGATTTATCGTGACGTCATTGCTTACATTTTTGCTCATTAGCATACAAGGTAAACCATAGCAGAAGTCATCGTATATACGAATTAGGTTACTTATAAGTGGAAAGAGCTGGTCAATTTGAGCAGTTTGTGCAACTTTCAGGTCTTTGCAGTCAATAACAAAGGAAATGGCAGCAATCAAAAACTGCGAAATTGCTGGGGGGGCAAAAACGTTAATGAGGTCATATGAGGTCTTTGTTAAAACTGGGATTTTTCAAAGAGAAACTATTCGGTAAATTGTGGTCAAATTTTCAGTGATAACTGAAATTTTTATGGTCTTTCAATATTCAGAGACTTTATTTTATTAGCTTCATCAGATAATAATGAGCATATTTTAATGAGGCAAAGATAACACTTGAATGGTCAGTCAAGCTGTGTGCATTAAGAAAGCCTGTTCTCCCAAACGTTTTGGCCAGGATTGTACATACGTGTACGAGAGTGTCAGTTCACTTAGGTTCCTCATCGTAAATGTAACTTCTTCATTTTTAACTTTCAGCTGAAGAAACGGAAGATGACGAGGTATCGGCGACCATTCTGAAGGCGAAGCCAACTCCCGTTCCAGAAGACCTTGTTCCCGCACTTACAGACAAAACATTTGATATCATCAAAGACAAAAGCGATCTGTTGGTTGTAGACTTCTTTCAACCATGTAAGCTGTCTTGAAACAAATATCAGAGCTGTAAAGTTATATGAGGAAAAACAACGCGTGTCTTATTGAGGGCTTGTCTTACGAAAGACGCGAACTTCCCATATAAATGAAATATTTTGTATGAAATAAGGTGCGACTTAGCTAAGACTCGGCTTTTCAAATAACAGCGCGTAACACCTGTTTTTATTTGGGGCGCGGCCTAGCTTAGACGAAAAACCTTCTGTTGTTTATTGACCTTCACGTCAGTCTTCGCATAATACGCGCAGTGCTGACGCGTGCGTAATTTTAACCCGCCGCGCGCCATGTTGGATTGCCGTTGCTACTGCTGTTATCATTATCATTGTCAATGTCATTGGCATTGTCATTATCTTTGTCATTATCACTGGCATTGTCGTTATCATTGGCATTATCATTATCATAACCATTGGCTTTGGCATTGGCATAAGCATTGTCATTGTCATTATCATTCTCATTGACATTAGCATTTGCATTGTCATTGTCGTTATCATTGCCATTATTAATGTTATTATCGTTATAATTATCATTATCATTATCATTGTCATTATCATTATCAGGAATTTTTCGCACGTACACCTGACCCTACCCCTGCTAGTTTGTGGCTAATGCATCTCATGTTTGATACTTTGCTGTAATTTCAGGGGATGCACGTTGCAAAGCTCTGATGCAGCCTTATGTTGAGGCGGCAACAAGTTTAGGTGAGTCCTCTCTCTGACTAACACGTATGGCATGCTGTAGTCATTTACACACGCGGCTTTCGCGCGAATTTTTTATTCCCTTTTTACCTGGGATTTGTAAAATAATGGCAAATTGATGGCGCTTGACGCTGCAAAATCGCCGTTTGCAACCTGCTGGAATCCTTATGCGACTTATGGGTGATTCCCAACGCGAGAGTACCGAAAACCCTGCCGTGCCTACTTTGAAAAAGATGTTTCCTTGGTTTGTGACACTTGCGAGTCGAAAAAATACTGATCTCTTCCTGTAGGAGTTGAAAGTATCATCCTCTGTTTACCTGTACAGATGTTCCACTACCCGAGGCTTGTGGGAGCCGAGGCCATTATTAAACAGGCCATTTCCGAGTTCCCCAGGGCCTCTTTATCAAAACGAGGTTAAGTGCTCAGCCTTTGATATGGAAATGATTTTTCATTCTCATGCAAATTAAACTCATTTTCACAAGAAAGGTTGTGCACTTGGCCTCATTTTGAAAGTGAGGGTTTTTGGAACTCGGAAGTGGCCTACCATGACTGGTAATGCAGTTAGTAATTCATTCCCACACCCAGTTATTGAGGGAAACGCAGAAGCTGAGTGTACTCACCTTGCATTGGAATGGGTATCCTGTGCGGTACTCGTTGAACGTACTTGCCAAACTGTTCTTTTTTAATGCAGGTGGATTAGATGTGGGTGATTTCGCAATCAAACTGGCCCGTGTGAACTGCTTTGACTGGAATGACGTTTGTGAAAAAAATAACATCACAATTTATCCAACAATTAAGATGTTCCGGTGAGTCTTACTTTAAAAATGAACTGAAATCTCTTAATCTAAAATCTATTCCTTACAGTGTGAAGACCTTCGGTGGCAGTTTTTGGCTGAAAAATGATTGAAAATAACAACAAACAAAAGTGACTTTCAGTTTTTGACTCGAATAACGGGGAGAGTCTGAGTATGACTAAGGTGGGGATGCTCATCGTTTCGCTTATGGGTGTATATGGAAATTTTCGTCTCATTTAGGGTGTTCAGAACGGATAGCAGATATTTTTTACCCATGCAGATATTGGTAAGCGGTGTTTGTAGAGAATGATAGAAGAACGGGATAGCTCTTACTCCGCAAAATTCAGGAGTGAGGACTGGAGTAGTTCACCAAACGCTCTCGGCCAACCGCTCCGGTACAAATGAGATGTGTGGGAGCGACTTGTTCCAGTTCTGTGCCGTGAGAGCGATTTTCGTATGTCCTTGAAAAATGGTTTCGGCAAGTGTTCGTCATTTGTCTTATCTGCCAATGGATGAAAAGATCAAAACATGGCTTCCTCGTTTTCCCGCCAAAGAAAACCCTAATATGGAGAACACATTGTTCGATTGGCCAATCGTGTTGCAGTATGACGTCAAAGTGAAGTATCGATTGATTTCTAGAAAGTTCTCGGGCATGAAGTTTTTTCATCCGAGCGTTCGCTTAACCAACCAAAAGCCACGCGCGTTTGTATCCGTTCGATAAACCAATCAAATTGCTCTATTTCCGTTCCTTTGTTGTTTCTGTTTTGTTCGCGCGTTTTCATTTCAAGTTCATACGAAAATCGCGGACACGATAAGCTATCCAAAATAGCTTAGACATTGCCTCAATTTTTCTTCTTTACTTTTTCCCGCAGCAAAGGTTCTGATGACATCATTTACAATGGGCCGTTAGACAGTGATCATCTAACCAAGGCAGTCTTGCTGTAAGCATAGCTATACTGTGAAGAATTGTTTACATGTATACCCAATCAGTTTAACCTTTTGTTGCCCTGAGGCGTATTCGGTTTTTGCGAAGTTTTTAATTAGCAATTAATGAATGAGGCTGAGTAGGATATGAAGAATTAAGCAGATCGAGGAGGGTGTTATCCACAGAGGCCGAAGGCCGAGGCGGATAACACCCTCCGAGATTCCTAGTTTAAAAACATAGCTAAAACATGCTTACCTGCATCGATTTATCTTCGACAGTGTACGTTTAGGTTTGTCCAGCCTCACAAATATTCTCCAAATATCAGATGTCCCCTCCGAGTTGTCTTGCTGTTTTTGCTATGTTTTTAGCCATTATTTCGCCTAGTTCCAGCTTTAGTTCTTACTCTTGAAACGAGTGAAGTGTCCGCCATTTTAGTTTTCACAACGAAAACAACTCAACCTCATCCCCAGGTCTTCTCGGTTAACGGTGCATTAACCTGTAGAAGGCTGAATTTTTGAGGTCATTTCCTCGTTAAACACAAAATTCTTCCAAATTTGGTCATCAGTAACTGGTTATGGTGAATTATGCGTGTGCTTTTAGCCAATCAGCATTGGGGAAATATTTTGAATGAATAATAATAAGTTTTAATTTCGGAAACATTTTTTCTGCGAAGGCGACGGATATATTGTTGAATTATATAAGTAAGCGGGAATTTTTAAGAAAATAAGAGAACTGCTCTTAGCTTTTTTTTTTTCTTTTTTTGAGTCTAAGAGTAAAGTCCTACTAAATCTTACCATTCAATTGAAAGCTACCAAGCAGTACTTTCCTGAGGTATTGTTTATTATGCAGTACAAGGTGATTTTAACTTGTGAGTCCGTAGGTGAAACCGTATGGTGTGACCATTCAAATGAAACCTCTTTAGCAGTACTTTCTTGTGGTTCTGTATTAGTTTCTTACTTTGTAGTTTTTTAAATGAAATCCTAATGTGGTATCAACAGTTTGAGCACAACGTTTGCTCAAAGCTCTGACTAATCGAGCTGCGCTTCTCGAAAGTATTACCTATTCTTATTTCAGCTTATGTGTCTCTTGCAGGCTTCAACCGGCTGTACCCTTGAAACTCAAAAACAAAGAAGAAGTCGATATGTTCTTCGATGGTAGACTTCCGAAGCTTGCTAAGGAGGCCACTGATATTGCAGTGCTAGGGATGTTCGGAGATGAGAAGCGTAAAGGTAAAGTGTGGTTCAGAAGAAATGGAATGAAATGTTGGTTTATAGCGTGCTTGAAAGTGCCTCGTGGTAGTTAGTTCCCGGTGATGAATTATACGGAAATAAGGAAGAAATGCGAAGCACCCCTCACTAGCACAAATCGCACAAACTGTTTTCATATCAGAGTGGAATTTCTGAAAGCGTGAGCCCACAACGCGTGGAGCGCGCAACTTCCATGCGCTCGTGTAACGGCGTGTCCGTGGACCAGTTCATTTTTAGAACGGTTTTGGCGCGAATTTTGAATATCTCCTAAATTCCACAAACCAATCAGCAAAACCTACAGACCTAAAAATGATATTTTTTGCCTTTTGATAACGTTTAGTTTTCCTTTTTGATATCTTATCCTTCGAATGTGTTCATAGACATGGTGGACGTTCTATTTTCGCGTGAAAAAGTTCCCTAAAATGTGTCTTTAAATATACTGGTCCGTAAAAACGTCGTGATATAGGCCTAGTATGGGAGGTTTTCGGTACGGGTTATAGGCTCCTGCTGAAAGCATTTACGTAAGCACGCCTCAGGTGTCGAAGGTCTGATTTTGAAGTTTGCGTTTGCTAGCAAAATATCATCGTACTAGGAGGTTCTGTTGAAATAAATAAATAAGTAAATACAGGCGTCTCCACTCAGTGAAAAGTTTTCCAGGGATTATACCATAACCCTCATCATACTCGAAGTCACAACACCTGTAAACTATGTAATTTACTGCCAGGTGTGTCCCGGTAGCTTGTTTGAACAGTTGCAATGCAAGAACTACACTGACTTTAATTTTTTTAATAGAACTAAAGCTTGGAATTAACATATTTATATACATGGGATTTGATGAAACCTGGGATTTACCCAGACTATCTTACAACGCCTGGATCCGCTCTGAGAGAAAGTCTGTAAAAAAAGCCTACAACAGTTTCATTTTTAATTTTGTGTGGTTAATCAAACCTTTGTTTTTATCTGCAGAGTTCTCAGCTTATAAGTCGGCCGCTTTGACTCTTCAGAGCAAGTTTTTGCTGGGTTATGTAACTGGTGAAACAGCCACAAACTTGTGAGTTTATTTTTTGTGTAGTTTACTTCTGTTTATGATGTTTTCTGGTGCTTGACCACACTTGTAAACGCGCAGGAATGTTTTTGGAACACTACGGAGAGGGTACGAGAAGTACTTACTTTCTCGTGTTCCTAAAAAGGCCCGCTTTTTCTGAACGACGGTTTTTTTTTAATGCCATTGCTGGTTTTTGTTAAAAAAGAAAAGCAATCCTTGATAAAAACGTGTTTACTAAAATGGGAAACAGCCAGCAGGGAAAGGAAAGAATGGAAATGGGAGCAAACCTATAATTACACCTTACTTATGTATTTCTATTACCCATTCATTTTTTTGTTCCCATTTTTCATTTCTCGCTGTCCGTTCCCCGTTCCCTTTTCTCCCTTCCCTGTCCCTCGTTTTAGCAACATCTACAGGCGGCCTGTAATGAAGCCTGCGTGGCACCTGATCGAAAAGTGGGAATAAAGGCACGCGAGAACGCGACACTCGCGTGTCGTAATTCCTCTTTTTCCTGTCAGTTGCATGCCCAATTAAATTACAGCTGGAGATCAAAGAAACTTCCTTATGATCGTCTCTGTTCTTGTAGGTTCCTTTCGTAAGGTCTTTCGATCAAATATTTCTTGACCACTGTGTTTTTTTCCCGCAGATCCGCCGAGTATGGCCTCAGAAACCCTGTCCTGATGATATTCAAGAGAAAGGACCCCTATCAGACAATTAGCATCTTTTCGGACCCATTTGCTGTACAGCCTATAGTCGATTTTGTGCGTCGATCGAGCATATCGTCTTTTGTAAGTATCTAGGCCGGGTTGTTCGGAGCTGAATTAAGGTAATCCAGCGTTAGTACAAAATTTGAATTCAGATGTGAAAGCTTACACAGCAAATTTCTTTTAATTCTTTTTGTCCACAAATTGACGATTGGGCTCTAAAAAGTATTGAGAATATTTTCCGAGAAAACGCTTTTGAAAAAAAGAAAAACGGAGAATCTCGGATAAAATATATATATATATATATATATATAATTTTTTTTTTAATTCAATATTTATCCAGGGACATCCAATTTAGCAGAGCTAGTTTAAATGGAGCCCTGACACAACACAAAAACGAAGACATGAAAACATTAAAGCTAGACAATTAATTAAGTTACACAGACAACATGTACAAATTTTACCTCAGGTTAGAGGGTCTCAGTGGGGTTAACTGTCAGCTGTCAAACGGTCTAAAATGTCTAAACCGTCAGCCGTCGAAAAAGATCTATTTTTTTACCGTCAACCGTCAAAAATGCAGAGTGATATTAATCGTAAAAAAAGTTATAGGTATCAATCAAATCTCACTATCTCATCTGATCTTCACGGACGTCTAGATCCTAAAGAATCTCTAAACTGGAAAACCAAGCTCACATGTTCTTAAACACACTCTCTGTAGACATAAGAAGACCTTACAACTTGCTTCTATCTGAAAATATTTCGAAGTTTTACAATTGAAAGGCCAAGACAACCTTCAAAACACACAGTTAATTCATACAGAAGTTTAATATTTACCTAAACTCTTGGACTAAATTTCCACTTTAATAACCGTCGAACGTCAAAAGCTTTAAAATTAATAATATAATAATAATTATAATAATATAATATAATATAATAAATATAATAATAACCTTCAACCGTCAAAGATACCAGCCCATTGAGACCCTCAAGTTAGTGCTTATCTGCCCTCGAACAACTGGGCCCCAGAGATACCTTGTACGAGAAACCTACGACTTTTTGCTGACGCATCCGAGTACTCGCCTTTTTAGAAACGAGATGCAAGCTGGGTTGAGTGAACTTTCGCAAAGACTTCTGGGACTGTTACTGGGGACAGGGAGAAACAAAATTGGCCAATAGCTTACTGGCGCGTCCCAGGTTAACGATCCCAGAAGTCTTTGCGAAAGCTAACTCGGCCCAGTTTTCTTCCGAAAAGGCCATTTCCGAGTTCCCCCGGCCCTCTGTATCAAAACGAGGTTAAGTGCTCAGCCTTTGACATGGAAATGATTTTTTATTCTCATGCAAATAAAACTCATTTTCACAAGAAAAGTTGTGCACTTGGCCTCACTTTGAAAGTGAGGGTTTTTGAAACTCGGAAGTGGCCCGTTGTACTAAATTCTACAAATAGTGACATCACTTTTTTGCTTTGTTTTGTGCTTGCAGGGCGAGCTAACACCGTTCAACCTTCCAATGTATTTGAACTACCAGCGTCCCCTGCTGATCGTGTTTCGAGCTGACAGCGAAGATACTTCCATCACTCCTGTCATCACCAAAATAGCACGTGACAATTCTCTTCCTTCAGTATTCCTCTGTTGGATGCCTGTGTAAGTAACCGACGGCGTTCGAAAATCACCCGAACATTTTTAAAGGCAAATGAAGTACGAGCATTTAAGAAAATCACTCTTAAAGGAGCGCTGCCTCGGTTGTTTGTAACCTCCTGCGCTAAAAAAAACAAAATTTGGAGGCCGCAAAGTATACATTTTGGGAGAATAGAAAAACACCAAAGAGGTAATACAAGTATGAAAGAATTAAGGATGATGTCAGATGGGGGTTGAACTTGAAAATGTTACCATAAGTTGAATTTTCTAGATGCGTTATCCGTGACGCAGCTTCTGTAAGTAAGCTGTGCTAACCGGGAAAAATATGTATATTTCTTGTTCACATATCTTCCCAAAATGGCAGAAATACTACTTTTCTTTAATATTTATGTAATTGACGCTTTTTGCCTCGATTGCACCTGCAGAATTCAAAGTTTATTTTACCTTGAAACGAACCATCGAGGGCCAGTTATCAAATTTCTGGTTTGCACGTGACGTCATGGTAGCCATGGTGGGGGTCAAGAACAAAAACATTTCTGTCCTCTGGGAGCTAAACCCTGTTTCCTTGTAAATTCTTTGAACTGATAATTTTTATTGTGTTGTCCACCTGACCACCTGCTGTGAGTTTGGGTTGCCTGTGGTTTTCTGAGTCTGTGAATGCCCAGTCCTTGTTCTAAGGTCATTTCATGGGTTTTTTCAGTTACTCCAGCAATGATGTGAATGCGGAAATCTTAGAGGCTTACACTGGTAGCACCGATACCTTGCCAGCATTGGTTATGGTAATCCATGAAAAGGTAGGAAACAAAGGTGTCTTCACACCGATATGTTACGCTAGCATGCTGTATTCAACTATAAAGACTCTATTTCTGTAGAGAATAAATAACGCGTTGAAACCTCCATAGGACAATAATTTAACAATTAACGAATGAGGCTGAGTATCTTATGAAGAATCCTCGATCTCCATAATTCTTCACATGATACGAAAGCCGAATTCAATAATTGTTTTATTATTCATTCAAAATAATTCCTAGTTTAAAGACATGGCTAAAACATGCTTACCTCCATCGATCCGTCGATGTTAAGTTCATCCTCGATAGCGCACGTTTAGGGTTGTTCAGCTCCGCAAATATTCTCCAAACAGCAGATGTCGCCGTTCGAGTTGTCTTATTTCTGTTCTTGCCATGTTTTTAGCTATTTTTCCCGCCTAGTTCTTACTCTTGAAACGAGTGAAATGTCCGCCATTTTTCAAGGTCACAACCAAAACAACTAAGCCTCGTCCCCAGGTCTTCTCAGTTAGCGGTGCATTAACCTGCACTGAAGAAGGCTGCATTTTTGACGTCATTTCCTCGCTAGACGCAAAATTCTTCCAAATTTGGTCATCACTATGGTGAATTAAACGTGTGCTTGTAGCCAATCAGAATCGGGAGAATATTCTGAATTAATAATAAAATACATTTACGTCAGCAATCCTGACAAAATAAATATGTCGTCCTCCTATTCCTTTTAGGGAGCCGTTTATCATTTCAAGGGAGAGGTCACCAAGGAAACAATATTGAACTGGGCGGAAAATATTCTCAGTGGAGCGGAGCCAGCTACAGGTGGGTGTTCCTTTCGTCACTTCGTAAGATAACCCATCTCCTTTATTTACACTTCCGTTTGACGTGCGTCGCTGAAAAACGCTCCCTAATCTGTTAACTTCCATAACGAAGTAAGTCGCGTAATAGGCAACATTACCAAAGTGGTGAACTATCAAGACATCAGTGACACAGCCCTTTGCTGTCCACTGTGCAACTGAGGTTTTATCGAATGATCCCATTGTTTTACTACTTTAGGGTCTTTGATGGAAAAAGAGTGGACACCTCTTTTGGAGGGCTACGACTTTCTTAAGTTTATTGACGAAGAAGAAGAAGAAAAAGAAAGAAAGAGGATCAAGAAAATGAAATTGGAGAGCGCTGTCGAGGAGGAAATATCTAAAGAAGAAGAAAGTGGAGAAGAGGAATCTTCGGAACCGACTGAACCCGAAGAGGTGTCGAGAGAGTTCGAAGACAAGCTGAAGCATGGTCGTCTTAGACGACCGGAAGTGAAAAAATTAGAACGAGATGAACTGTAAACCAAACGAATTTTAAAAATGACGTTATTGATAATAGGCCGTTTTTGAGCAACGCATGTCAAGCGCCGTAAGTGAGGCTTGTGCCTGGCCGTAACCAAATTTGTATTGCTAAGTGTTGTAATCACGCATCACGCAGAGACAATTTTCCCAAAATTTGGGCAAAACCACTGCTCAAGAATGGTCCACTTGCGGCTGACGTTGGTCACTGAAAAACGTTTTTGCTTATTTAAATGATAACATAAAAATTATCAGAAGGAGTTTTCGTGCAACGTAGACCAGACCCGTTAACTAATTATGAAAAAGGGAATAAGATATTCATACTAGAATTGCAGTTGCAAATGGCGCGAAAAAAAATCATCTCACACGGTATACCTTTTGTAATAAAGTTCAAATTCTTACTTTGGGTTGTCTCCGCTTTTAACTGTATTGAAATATATAAATGCATAAATGCGGTAACAGCAAACCTTGCTCATTCAAACTATTGTAAGCTTGGGGCCTGGTTCCTGATAGGCCGATAAGATTTAGTCCAGGATTAAAATTTTGGTCCGTTTTTGTATTTTACATTCCTATGCACTGCTTAGGGTGACATTTTGTGTTATCGTTACTGTAACTTGTAGTCAAGACTCAGCAATATTTTGTAACCTCGAGTTGCATGTTCTTAGACGAGAAAGCCCTGCTTTAAATTTGGCTTAATCCTGGGCGAAACTTTACCATCGTTCAAGGAACCGGGCACTGGCGTACTCTAGAAGGGTCATCCTCCCAGGCGAGCTTTTATATGGGGAAAAATTTGACTCCTTTGCCCGAGCCAAAAGCGCTCGCTCATACTCTGGGTGCCTCTCGTTGTCGCCAGTGGGCGAGCCAAAGTGTTTACACTTAATGGAAGTTGGACCGGATAGAAGAGTGACCCTACCATCACAGAAGAGATACCTCCCTCTGGCGGAACCAACTTTTGTTTCTCATGTAAAGGGCTCGCCGCGTTTAGTAAGAAAATGTGTGTTGACGCTCTCAGGGTAGGGGCGTGATTCTTCTACCCGGACAACTTTTCTCTATTTTAACGGGTCCTAAGTAACAACACTTGGCTTCTGTGATATCACACTAGCTAGAGATAAAAATACAACCTCAGGCCGTATGTTCACACTATGACTATGACCCTCTCCTCCGCAGTGGGCTCTTTGAGTTCTAGGGGGGCTGGGGCTACTGCTATTTTTGGGGGGATACCCCGTGGGAGCCTCTGAGAGAGAGAGATGACTACGACGCACCAATTTTTTTACCGGCAAATAGAAGTGAAAACCTTTATTTCAAAATTAAGCAAAAATCCTTTCAGCAGCTCTTTCAAAAGGATAAAGTTCACGACTCACACCACTGTCTATAGCCCCGTACAAACGGGCGCAACATTGCAGGCCAACAGCTCCCCACAATGTTGGACGTTACATGCTGCGCCCGTTTGCGCACCCTGTCGCATGTTGTTGGGAGTTGTTGCGCAAAGTTTGAAACCGGTCAAATTTCCCCGTCGGTGCAAACGGACGCAACATTGTTGGGGGTTGTCGCGTCCGTTTGCACGTAGCTTATAGTGTAACCTTTAGCTACCTGATCTGACTGCAGAAACACAGCAACAGGTGCTTTAAATGTGTTGCAATTCCGTTGTTTTACCAGGTTCTAATTGCTATCTGCGTCTTAATCAAACATTTATATAGACTTGCTCACGAGTCGTTTGTTTTTGTTTTGTTTTGTTTTTTATTGAAAGTCTACTCTGAGCTTAACTGTCCGTTAGATCTCGTCAAATCCAGATAAGGTATATCTCGGAAATGAAACAATATACATCAGTGATATCGCTTACAGGTCGGATGCTCTAGCAAAAAACCTGCCTGGGAAGAGAATTCATTCACCCCCATGGTCTTCCTGTGTTTGTAAAGCGCTGCACAGGTTGACCATGCGAGCTGTTCGAGGCAAACTTACACCCCTGACTTTCACTATGTATTAGATGGGGGTGTAGTAGTAGTAACTTTAATTGAAAAGCGTCAGTCGTTCTAGCGTTTACACACTAATTGTCTAATTGGAGACACTAAGCCACTCAAAACGCTACAAAAACGCAGAAGACGACACTAAACATGGTCAGTCATCTTTATTCATCTTTTTATTCATCTTTACATTGACATTTGGGATCAAAAGGTGCCCACTTCTGTGTTTTATGAAGCATTTATCCCGATCACTTGAATCAAGCCAAGGGCGGGCGTTATATTAAACACAGTAAATGTTGTAAATGTAAGAGATTACAAGTCACGCGTGACATCACGATGCCTTGAACAGTTCGGACATGATCCGCCTTTGGTGTCCGGCGGCGTGACAACTAAAATGGCAGAAGTAATACTGTATTGCTATAAAAATAACCGTCTTAACGCTTAGAATAGAAACCGATATCTGAGTTAATATGGAAAACATGTTCTGCTTAAGGCAAATATCAATACTGTACTGGTTCATTCGTAGAGGCAATGATCCTTGACCAAAGATCTGTGTCGCCAGCCATATATTTGAGATTCGTGCAAGAATTTTAGAATCTCCAAGAATGTCGTTTCCTCTCACTTCTTTGCGCCGCTGCCTGCTTTATTTTGCAAAAATTGAACACAAATAAAGCGAGGTTCATTGTAAAATCCCTTGGGGCGACCTGTCTATAATGCGTCACACCAGCTCAAACATCAGCCAATGAGAAGGCCGGATTAACGGGCTTGCCCGGGCATGTTCTGTCAAAACAAAGTTTCTTACAATGTGAAAGCATCGCGAGGGAACGCGTGGCGATTGAGAGATTTAACGCAGACTGTCTCGTTTCCTCAATCAAAACTCGAAAAATTCGCGACGCCACCGCGTTAAAGAAATGAGTTTTAAATCCCTTGTTGTGTTACTTGATGTTTTCTATGTTGTTTCGTTTGAGAGAAAACCAGGCTTAATTTATTGACATGAAATGGATGAAGTGGGGCACTGTGGCCGCTTTGTTATTGGATAATTGATCTTTGACCAATCAACCGTCAATTTATTTCGACGTGGCGGACCGGTGAAACTAACTTTTGTACACAGCGATGCGATGTAATCATGGGAATTCAAATGAAGTGTTTGGTAAGTATTGCATATTTTCTGTCTATAAGTTGCAAAAATAGCGTTTATAATATGCCTAAAAATGCAAAACCTGCTTTCTAAAATATAAAAGAGTCTCCACGCACGAGATACCTCAGGTAGCATGCTGTCGGCTGTGACAGCATGACTGCACTATCGCCGCGCCATTGCTTGTGTTCAGTATTTTAAGTAATTTTTTCCTTGTTTAATTCCGAGCCAAACAACAAAATCCCTTCACTTTCGTTAGAAAAAACTGGCCTGTGGTGGTAGATTCTAGAAACAGTGGATTATTTTCTTGTGGTTTTGCAGCGGAAATGTAGAAGATGTAAACACGCATTGCACTGATCTTTAGTTCCTCTGCTGTAAATAAACTTCAATCGTTAAGGCAAGTCTTAGCTTGCCCAATTCGTATCGTAAATGGACAAAATACATTAGTTCATCGTTCTCTAAGTGACAAATAAGTAGACTTTACCCACCTTCTCGATTCGAAATTTTTTTGTCTAAAAGTATTTACTTCGTCAGCAAATTCTTTGTCTTCTTTGCTGTTGTTTGGATTCAAAATGTTCAAATCCCGAGATTACCCCTTGTCTGCTTGATAACTCCGTTATCGGAGAACATAAGCTTGTACACTTCTACAACAACGTTTAAGGGTCCTAAATATTATTTATCGGTCTCTAGCTGTGCCATGTGAAGTGTTAAATGTCGTCAAGGATAAACAATTTGCTCTTTGCGTTCTTATAAACATTTCATATCTATGACACGAATAGAGGTTTTTATTGCTTGCTTTAGTGGGCAAATCTTCCGCTTTTAACAATATAAGAAGGAGTCTCTTTTCTACTATGGAAATTAGTTGAAGACTTAAAATTTGCGTTAAATCGTAAGAACGAACATGCCGAAGCACTGTTCGATCCAAGTCTGATGGTCACGAAAAACAAAACTCAATATCATAGAATCCTTGAGTATCATAAATAAGTTATTCACACTGTCCTTGAAGCTTCTTTATTAGAAAAATTATTAGTCTACAAACTCGTCTTTATTATTTGTTGCTCGCTGAAGAAGAATACGTCTCAAACCCCGCTTTTAAAGCCTCGTTTTTCTTCAACAATTGAGCATTCATAAGCATGTTTCACATCTTGTGTTTTTCATAAAACAGTTGTGGCCAACGTACATTAATCGATTCATAAATATTTGGATTTTCGGCTAATGGCTGCTAATGACTAAACAATGGCCCCGAAATAGTGTTCATAAATCTTTTTCAGTCTACTCTGTTTTAAGCAGCTGGGTTCACATAGTTAGCATGCTTTTCAGTCCTTGCTCTTTCACTGTGCGAAGTGCACATTGAAGGCCTTTCTCGACAGCTATTTCCTTCTCGAGTTTTTAACCAAAGATGCACCATTTCGGCCTGCAAAACGGAGAAACTATTGAGTAACTCAGCATTTCAAGCTGAAAAAATAATTTTAGGCTTATGACAAGTTTTATTTCCAAGTCAGAGGCTCTCGTGTGTAGTCATGAAGCTCTGTTATTAGTTTCGGAAAAGTTTGAGCACACTAACTGGTGTTGCGTTGTTCAGCTGCTTTCATATGCTGAATATGTCGGTAAAACCGACCAATAATAGAGGCTAAGCAATGAAAAATCCGGCCGTATCAACGACAACACTTCAGATTAGAAAGTTAAACTGAGACTGTTTTTTACGAGTGCAAGGAAAAACTGTGTTTGTTTCAGCGAGATAATCGTATAAACGAATAAGCTACCAGTCTCCAGCGGCGTATGGTAAGTAATGATCCTTTCACACACCGCTTACGTTTTGTTTTTGTAGATATTAAATCTATATGTTAAGGGCACGTTGTTAATCTCCAAGTAAAGTTGACCAAACTTCTCGGGCTAGTAACAGGTCCGCAGTTTTCGTCCCACGCTGTAAAGCGGTGATTGTTGATAGTTTTAGAGATACACCGAATGCAATCACACTCAAAATGGTGAAAAATTTTTAATACCACCTTGTCAATGCCAAGTCGCGAAATTCATCACTTAGTTTATTGTTGTTGTTTTTTCTTTTTCGTTACATTTTAAAAATCCCAATAAACTTTATGAAACACTGGCGGACTTACATTTTTAAGTTGATGTAAACTGATGTGCAAAGACTCTGGCCCCTCACCGCAACGAATATCAGGCAATTTTGTTTCCAAAAGACGTCCCATATTGCATGTACTGTACTTGTAAAGATCTACATTTATTGCTGTTAAGCCAGATTACAATAAGAGGTCCGAGGCTTTATAACCCAGGCCATTATATCGAGAAAGTTAAAGGACTGTTCTACAATTTCATGCCGCCTATCTCGCATGGTGCCGCAGCTCGTTTGCTTTCTGTGACACTTTTGAGATTAAAAAAAGTTAAAACTGTCTTCTTTTGATAGTCATTACTAGTGCAACAAGGCAATAAACCTTGAAGCGTCTAGTTCATTCAGCATTTGAAAGTTTGGTCGGCGTAAAAACTTGAGCAAAGTTAAAGGGCAACAAGGACTTGAGATGAATAAAGCTTTTCTGCCGAAGTTTGCCACCGCGATTAATCTTATAATCTTGTAGATATCGATACAAGATATAGCTCTTAATTTCTTTCCACCTTTTAGTGTCTATTTCAGCGTGTAGAAATCAATAATGTGTCGTTTTGCTAGTATTTTAATATATTTTTTTATATACAGGCCTTTTGCACTGTTAACTGATAAAAATGGTCGTGCGATTCACTCGTCATCTCCCAGTGAACAAAAGAACCTTTGTTTTTCATTCACACTCTTGCGAAGATTTAAGGAAAACTGCTAAAATTAATTTCTGTCGATTTGATACACTACGGTACCGTTAGCTGACTTTTGCTGAATCTGTGGTAATAAAACAAACGTACTAGATTTGTACTGGCAAGTTACCCTTGGCAACTAACATTTTCTTCTTCTAATGAAGTTAATGGGCCCATAGATTTATATTTAATCTTTTAATTTATTTATTCATTCATTCATCTTTTTATTTTTTCGCTTGAGGTAATTGAAACTTTATTTTGCCTGATAGGACGAGCACGTTTTTTTCTTCACTTGATAATTCCACTATTAACCTTTTTCAGGTCAAGTTTTCTTTGGAATGGAAATATTTTGAAAGGGTTTAGCCGGTCAAATCAATATTGACTGACCTAGAGCCAATTACTTCAACAGTTTGCCTTTTCACAACGAAACGTTTGAGTAAGATTTTTTCTTTAATTTTTTTTTTCCGAAAGCCACAACTCATAAGTGTAGTTAAATGAATTTTTTAAAAAAATTCATTTTTACGACAGTACAGCATAGTCCATCAAAGTTTATTATGTTTTTAGGTCAGCCTTCTGCAGCTTGGAGGCTAATAGAATTTTAATGTCGTGTAGACAGGAAAATGAAGTTAGAGCAAAATTCAGAAGTGATTTAATGAAGGGAAATTAGCATTTTTTTAATGTCAGTCATTAAATGGATAATGTGTTATATAACTGTGGATCAAAAGGCTCATTTGCTACAGCAATAAACATGCGTCACTGTTATGAAGCATGCTTATTCTTCAAACGCTAGCTAACGCTGAAATAAAAGAACTCTTTTTACCCGTTTCACGTCCAGAAGTAGCCAAAATTAGACAAAAATTCCAAATTTTATTTTGTAAAATGCCGAAAAACAAATCGCACCACGAGAAAGTTTCATGTGAATGGTCACACCATCGGGATCTTGTCTGTTATATAAGACTTTTTTTTTCATGATTCACTCAGAGAGTGAAGCCAACACTTTCAATAGTGTGATACATGTGGAATAAGGAAAACGCCCTCATGACAGGGTCACTTAGCCTGCGCCTGTATCAACATGCATGTAAGAAAAAAACTGGACTTTGGAACAGTAACAAGTGCGAATGGAGCCAACTTCGTAATCTCTCTTTTCACTCTTCCCCGCCTATCGTCTCCCGGCATTTTTTTTCCTTTTTTTCTTAGGTAGAGAAAGCCTTTTTGATATTGGCCTCACGTTATCAGTAGGAAATTCTGATTTAAGACTTGTCAGGTTATCAAAGATTTTTTTAAAAACAAATAAGGAATGCTGTCTGGTATGCTGTCTCATTGTGCCGTACAATTGCGTGGGCGACGGCGTCTGATTCCCAGACACAAAACTGAAAGTCGATAAAAGGTGTCATCTTCCAAAAGAAAGCATTGTTCAGAGGGACTTTCCCTTAGTTTCACATTTATTGTTTATTTGAAAAGTGATATTTTAGACTCCTTGTTTTTCGCAATAGAGTATTAAGTCTACTTGTTTTGACATGCAACTCTCAGACCTCATAATGACAGCAAGCAAGGCATGTCTTTAATTAAGAAGTGAAGAGTAGGAATCAGTGTTAAGCTAAAAGCATACATAATCACCACTGGCATAGGACCATCGAAGAATGAGAGAGCAACAAAATATACAGCGTAAAATAGTAAGTGGCCCATCAATGCCCTCGTGCCAGAGGTTTTTTTCAATCTTTCTTCCCGAACGAACTTGAACCGAGAAGCGACGACAATAAATTGGAGAAATGAAACCCCTTGGACCAGGGCACTTGTGTGTAAATGTTTACTTTCTGACTTTGTACAATATCCGTCGACTTTTAATCACGTTTGAGTCGTAAAGGCAGTGCATTTTGACCGATGATCAAGGCTTTAGCTTTATGAATGTAACAAGCACAAACAGTGGAAAGAAAACACTTGAAGCATCGATTATCGTTAACCTTTTTTGATAGCCGTGTTCGAACGCATCTGTTAAAGCAAATGCATTTAAAAATAGTACTCGCGGTTATGATGATCAGTTTCCAAAAATAACAAATTCAGTAATGACTTTAAAAGAGACGTCCTTTGGCGACAACACAAATAATAATTTGATTTCTGCATTTTCTTTTGAATGAATGAATAAATGAATAACTTTGTTCACGTGTCAAAATCTTCTAGCTGGCCACAAGTAGCCTACTAATCAGGGATTTTTGCCTGTTGTTGTTTTTTCTATACAATTTCTTAACTTGTACGCCGAATCTCCTAGCAAGTTTAGTTTCTTTAGGTGTTGCAGATGGCAAAAAAAATATGGACTTGGTTTCTTTTCAGCTCTAAACAAATGTCGCTATACAAAATAGTATTATTACTGGTTTTGTGTCTTTTTTTAACAAGTGATGGAGCTCCATGTCAAATTCTAACCAAAACCTCCCCACTTTCGGCCTTAATCACTTTTTGTTTCTGATTCAGTGTGTAGAGACTTCTAAATACGGGCCCTGCATAACTGTACAGGAATTTTATTTTACTGAGCCCTTAAACGGTACACAGGTTTGAAAGCTACTATGATCAGTTCTAACAGCCGATTCGGTTGAGCGGGATAGCAGTTTCTCCGTACATTGAACCACGTTCTCGCTTACTTTCAACAAGTTCAAACTTTATTGATTTTCGAAATCATAAAAAAAAAATCTGAAGAAAAGCGTGGCGATTCACAATGCAGTCATTATAAAGATTTGATACAGATGATGATAACTGAAGGGATTTACTATTTCTGTACGTCACAAGGACGGAGCAAGTAAACTGAACAAAATTAAGTCTCTATATAAATTTCCTATTTTTTGATTTTCGTTGAATTCAGGTTGTTTTATGCCGGCACTTTTCGGTTAATGGCCGTAAAACATTTTTCATAATCAACTTGAATAAAGGGTATATTTTGAAGTTGAGTTAGAACTTGAAAAGATGGAAAGTAATACATGAAGAGAAGAAAAACGTTGAGGAATGGTTGACGTTGCGATTCAAAATGTCGTTATATTTTGTTTTATTAGCGACAATGTGCCTGATGTGCTTGCCTCTTTGAATACAAATCATATTTCCAACATAGCGAAAAATAGACGATGATTGTCTACAACTTACATTGTACATGCATGAACTGAACAAGACTTAACTAGACACACATGGAGTATCAGACGTGCTTCAAGTCGACCTCTTGGCGAGCGGAGCGAGCCTTGTTTGTCCGCTAAGCGGCCGAACGCGAGCGACCAGACGAAGGACTTTTTTGAAAGTCTAATGGAGTATGAGTGCTATTACTAGTAACAGCTCGTCACTCGAAATCTATCACGCCACGTGTGCGATCTATGTCACTATTCCGCAGCCTTCAGAGTCATCTAGGATGACTACCGCACAGGTTGTCGAAGCTACCTAGTCTTATCTTGATAACGTCTAGCCATGAATAGGGCCTTGAAAACAGGGACCAATCTGCGCGATGCTGAGAAACGTATATTATGACAAACATTCTACAAATTAGTAAGGTTCCAGCCATGAACAGCTTTTGTTTATAACTTAAAGAATAGCGTGCTTTCATTTATGAATAAGGCTTTAAAGATACAAACGAGTATCGGGGCAGGCTACCTTAGCCTACCCCTCTTAGGGCGTCATGCATTTACCATCTGGTCTGGTAAATGTCTATCTATTAAGAGTTCACTTAATGTCACGAGCTCAAACGGTTTAATGTTTACGATCCCGAACCCTTCCATGGCAATTGAATACTGTATTCATTTGTTAATGTGGCTTGCAAACTAAATGCAATGCATGAGACTGCATTTCTGCATGGTTCAATTTGATCTGTTTAATACCCCTCGGGGATTTGCCATTTTTTATCTCTTGGTGGTCTATTGCCAGCTCCGGGCACGCGGAAGGAGAAATTTCCCCACTCCAGAGCTCCTGATCGACCTCATACATGTACGTTTTTTTGGGTACATCTTTTTGAGAAGAATAATGATTTCCGTGCAATAGCAAAATGAGACGTTTGCAGAAGTTTTATAAATGTTTTTAGAGTTTATTGACAGAAGGATAATAAGTGACATGTAAAATGTAGTTAAAACATGAACAATACATTTGAAAACGAAATCGAAGAAAAAACTCTTAAGTGCCTCCTTGTTAGAGCACTTCATAAGACCACTGGTTTGAATCTCGGTTTATCTATATATGTTAAAAACCTTGTATCTGTTTTCATGTACAGTCTATTTAAGTTGTCTTATTATTAAAGTGGTCTGAAGAAATATTTCTTTATTTCTTTTGCAAAATAAAATCCATTCGAGTACTCATCATACCCTCATTCGTGCCAAATTTTAAAACATACCTTCAAATACAGACTTTAATTTTGATAGGTAATTCCTCTCCATCCACTCTCCGACAAAATCCTGCGTTTTCTCTTGAAAATACGTAGTCTTGAGTTCCACAGCTTCGTGCAATCCGCGCGAGAAATATCACGTACTTCGCAAAAACAAGAGAAGTTACTTTTGATTTGCTCCAACTTTGTCCTTATGATGTAATTAAACTACTCTGTTATTTCTGTTGTTGTAGATTCTACTCGTTGCTGAAGCGCTTCTGCTAGTCTCTAGTTTCTGCCCAGAAACGTTTTACCAACATGGGAACATATGCTGTCGGCTTTGCTCTAAAGGCACGTATCTCAGCCATCCTTGTACAGAGGACCGTGGGAGTTCCTCTTGTGAGGCTTGCCCTGTAAGTTATAAACACATTTTTTTATTATTATTATGTAATTTTAGTCATTTTTCTTCTGGAACCCTCGTCACAAGGTTAAATAAAGTCCAACTAGAATTGGACTTATTTCTGGCAACTTCACTGAAAGCATAATCAGTACTCGGTCCCGTGAGGGGTACTGAAGAAAGGTTAATACTCAGGGAGGCTTCACCTCAAGGTCAAACCCCTTTGACAGAAAAGGCAGTCCTTTTGTATACCTTCTACTAACAAATGGTACCCCTTTCACATACCTGGCTTAGAAATTTAACCCTAACCCCTAACCCTAACCCTGTAAACGCACCGCCTTTTTCATATGAATCAATCACAAAACCAGAGCGTTTTCTTAGCTTCTTCAAAGTCCTAAAAGGTTGAAATCCCTAACCTTTCATATTTCTCAAGCCTGAAAAGTTACCACCTTTTCTGGCGGAGCCTCCCCGTATGGGCCATTATAGGGAGGGCCTTCCAGGGTACTCAATAGTAAGATGAAATGATGGACAGTCAAGGATTGAAGGAACAACACAATTATTTCATAGCAGACTGTAATTTTTGGTGGAGTATCATAAGGAGGCGTACCCTTATATCAGAAAACTAAAAAATTTCAAGACATTTTAGGGCGACTACGAGTACGAGATTTTCCCAATACTGAGTATTGCGCACGCGTGAGCCGTCGTCATTATGGCGGGAAAACATGATAGCCGTCGTCATTCTACTACGAGTTTTAGCGAGAATGTTGTGGCGGGAACAAGTTATCAAATTTTAGAAGTTTAATTATTTTGCCACCGGGAAAGGGCTAAACCTTCTCCAATAAAAATAACCGCACTAAGTTTTCACGTTAAAAATAGTACAAAGAAGCTTTCGGGTTGAATATTTTTCGAGAATACGCGGAAAAAAATTTAAGTTGAATCTCCTAGTCTCTAAAGCTCTCTATTGCTTCAATGTGTTTCACATTTATGTAGTCAGTGGCGTCTCACTAGAATCTTATGTCTCCGTACCCTGTTAGCAGATACATCATTTGGCTAAGATTGAAGATTGAAAGCACGCAATGACACTTTTTAAGCGAAGATATCATCGCTGTTGCCGTCCTCGGCGCTCTCTAATCACTTCAGAAACCCGGACAAGTCCTAGGGTAGAATGGTTTATTTGCTTTTCTTTACTTTAACAGGCCTCCACGTTCATGGACCATAACAATAACAACTCCCAATGTCAACCATGTAGTAAGTGTGAACCATCCCAAATTGAACTTGAGAAATGTGAAGCCAAGAAAAACACGAAGTGTGGCTGCCCACGCGGCAAATTCCACAATTCACATTACCTCTATTGTATGGACTGCAAAAAGTGTCTCGTGGGAGAGGGGGTGGTGAGACCCTGCTTACACGATAGTGATACGAAATGTGAACCATGCCCAAAGGTATGTATATATAATTAGTTAATACCAGAGGTACAATGTTTTATCAACTGAACATTTGACTGGGTATTTTATTACATATAGTTTCGTACTACACGATGGTGTAGCACTCTTCAGATAAAATAGCCTAATGATAGATCACAACAGTACGCTGATTATAACTGACATTTTAAAATGCAGTTACAGCAGATACAACGCTGTTTCTCTGGGTTCTATTATGTAACAGAAGAGGACTTGAAATTTTTTAACAGAAATTTCCTAAGCCTGTCTACACGAAGATACAAGATCGTTGCCTTTGTTAAGAGTGGGTAGAAGTGGCTTACAGATTATAAAATATTTCTCCCACAGACATAAATTACACCGTTTTGAAGAGGGGTTGTAGGCGATAGCCTGCTTCAAAATGTTCCAGGTGATCCGGGAGTTAATGTTACTGCCTTTAAGGTTCCATACATTTTTACTTAGCTCGGTGCTCATTCTTTTGTTAAATGATGCTTTATGGTTTGGGAAGCGGCTCTTAAAAGTGTTTTCAGCTGCACAAAATAGAATCCAAATGCCTAGTCAAATCTTCAGTTGATAAAACATTGTCTCTCTGGTATTCCGGCTCTAGTCCTTCTGTTGCGTACTCTGAAAGCACTTCTGCATCAGCTCAAATCAAGTCATTAGTTAATAACGGTGTCGAACAAACTGCACGTATATCTCACTGGCTTTCCAGTCGCTAGTTGCTTACTGGTGTAGGTATCACTTGTACAAGTAGCCTGCGTAGCAATCGTTTCCACGCGTGTTCGTCACGAAAGTTGGGACGAGAGCACTAGCCATCCATTTTGGAGATCATACGCAGCCTGGGGATCATTTGCTGTACTGTACAGTTGGCTCGGCTAGCCGGGCCCCCCTATTCGATTGTAGGGTTACCCAGCGAGGTCAACTCGGTTAAGGGGAGACAATCGGAGAATGGGCGAGCGTTGTTGGCGCGGGCAAAGGGGTCAACTTGGCTGAGAGGGTGACCCTCCTTCCCGGCACAACTTTTCCCATATCAGATAAACCGGACGAGAAAAAAACTCACATTTGCATAGGGTATTTTGAAAACGTCGAGGAAATGACCAACTTGTTTCTTACTCTAGGGCACATTCTCAGACCTAGAAAGTTTTGAAAAAAAATGCATCAAGTGTACGAAGTGCGAACCAGCAGGAATTATGATTGTCAAAGAAGAGTGTAACGCGTCTAGGGATACCATCTGCGAAAGAACAAACGTTACACTTCATTTAATTACGTCATCACAGAACTTTGCCTCTGGTAAGTACGAAGTTCAGTTAAACGTTCATCAACAGGCCACCTATTAAGCAGCCACCCTCTATTAAGTGGCCAGTAATCAAAGGCCCGAAATAATTGTAGAAAAGAATGGGCACTTAAACCGCTATTAAGAGGCCGCGGCCAGCTTTTGGCCGTCCCAAAGAGAGTTCTCCCCTTGTTGACACCTCTATTAAGTGGCCATCAAGCAGCTGATACACTTAGTTTAGCTTCGTTTCAAGAATATGATGAAGGAAATGCTGTCCGAGATAGAAGATGACGATCGATTGTGGACCAGTAATGCTACTCCCGTCGAGCGATTGTTTCAAAAGTGATGCTTCTGCAACATATTATGCTAATTGATGACGTACCTCTATTAAGCGGCCAAAGTTTATTAACCCATTCGCCCCTGAACCGCCCGTAACCGCCCCTGTGGATCCAGGTCCTTTCTACGCTTTGTGACGTCATCAGTTTTAACGGTCAAGGACAACTTTCTTCGCTAACTTGTGCAGAGTGAAGAGATCTTTCAAACCATACCAGAATGAGCACAATTCAGTCAAGGACACCGGAGAAAGAAGCAAAAAACCAGGTGACAAGGACCTGAAAATCTCCATGAAAATCTTGTTCCATTACCCACCTACCTTTCCTTTCACCTAATCCTAAGATCCTGAAAGCTTTCCTAAAAACTCTTCCCACCAAAATGAAGCCTACTAAATGCCCAGCAAGAGAAAAAAAAAATGAGGCAAGAAAAGCGAAAAGAAATTTTGCTTTCTGCGCATGCCCGAACTTCACAAGCTGATATTTTGCATCTGGATCAGAAGGCCGCCAAGTGTACGACCTGTAAACCGGTTTGTGGTAAGTTTTAGCTCTTTATAGCACGACAGTGACCAGAAAACCACTCGACTAGCTTCAAAAGGCGTTTTTCGGCAAAATCTCCAGGAGCGAATAGTTTAAGCGTTGACTTGCCAATACCCCGAGGGTGGCCGCTCAGTGGAGATTCAATTGTATTGTAGGCTAACTGACTTTGTCTTTAAAAATTTTATTCGAGGGTAACCGGGGTTTTTTGACTTTGCGGTTCTATGCATTGTTAACATTGATTACTCGTTATTCAGTATTTTGTTCTTCAAAATTGCCGTTTGTCCTTTTCATCGTCCTTGACAGTTTCTAGTTTGATTTTTGGACGCTTTGTTTTCGATGTTTGAAAGACTATCTGGCGAAAAATCACCCGCCCAATTTTGCTTGCTTCCCGGAAGAATTAAAATATTCAGAACCCTTCACTCGCAATTTTTGGGTATTCTGTCAGGATAATTGAATTCTTTCGGATTCCGTTTCTACCCAACGTTTAGGAATATTTTTTGGCCGTCCCTTCCCCTGGCATCCTCGTATTCTGCAGCCAAAGTTTTTGCAAAACCCTTCAAAACCCGCGCCAATTAGTTTTTTTCGCTATCTTTATGTTCCCTATCTAAAAACGACGCTTTTACTGACCTCCCTGTCAGTTTTTGACGTGCATTTACTGAATAGCAGAAAGATATCCTCAGAAAATGTAGTCCACAAACCTGATTTTCCTTTGAAATTTCTTTCAGCCACACTTCAGCAAGTTCATTCCGGTAGTACAAGGAATCCTCAGCAAGTTATAGTAAAGACTAGCTCGCAGTACAAATACATCATTGCCATCGTTTCTGTTGGCTTCATAATTTGTGTCGTTGTGGTAGCTTTTATTTGTTTTGTAAAACGAAGACGATCTGGTGATACCTGCGCGGATACCTCCCATACTCAAGGTAGGTTGAATATCTTCGGTATCCGGTCACCTCGCCACCAAACCATCTCGCCACCAACGAAAATCGCCTCCAAGAATAGGACTTTTAAACTTTAATGTCTTACAGTTCAACTACTCGAATGGGGGCACTTGGAAGAAGATCATCCAATCACAACGTTTTTTGAAAACAATAGATTTTCAGTTCCTTTCAAGTTCCGAAGTTCAGAACTAACAAAAGACGCTTTTCATTTTCTTGCCTTTTAATTCAATTAGTCCAGACATTCTAAGCTCAGTTAGAGTATCAACTTTTAAGAAAAAAGTGAAGAAACACCTTCTCACTTAACTAATCTCTTTCTTTCCCTCCATCCCCTTTTTAAGCTTTGTGTTTTGTCTTTATTTTTTTTTCCTTATCTCTTTTTTGTTTGTTTGATACCTTATTTTTTTCATATTATTGTTACTCTGCCTTCGCCGTTCGGTTGAATTAATATTGAGTTTATCTTTTGTAATTTAATAGGGAAAGCCCACGTTGTATGAGCCTCATGGTTTCTTTGGGCTTTCTTGCCATATTCCAACAGATTCCTGTCATTTATTACTATGTCCTAATAAGGTGGCGAAATAAAATAAAAATAAAAAACTATCTAATTTTTGCAAACGGACTAATAAAATTCAAGGTTCCGACTATGCAACTGTTGAAAACTTTTTAAACTTACGGTACCTTACCTTTCAGGAAACAGCCCTCAAATTTATAAATATCATTGGTCTGTTTGCAAAAAAAATTGAGAATCCTTTGTTTTCAAAAAACGTTGTGATTGGACAATCTTCTTCCACGTGCCCCGGTTCGAGTAGTCGCTCTGTAAGAAGTCCTAGGAAAACCCACCAAATGAAAAGGACTTTCATAAATAGACATTTTCTCTAAACCGTTACTTAATCATATTTCAAAGAAATGACTGGTACTTGTGAAATGTTTGGCATTTGGTATCTGGTATTTGTGCCAGTTTTTTAAGTGATTGCATGGAAGGTAAATGTCGAACATAAACCGAACATTACATGTCGGACATTATCCGAATTTGGAGTGTATTAAAATCATGAAAAGTTCGAAGTAAGGATCGTCAGTTAGGATCGAAAGATTTTTTTTACTTCCTCTTCAAGCAGTGATTGCTTGGCGAAGAAGTAAAAATCCTAGGTAAGTAATACTATGTAATCAAACTGAGTCTACTATTTTTAGTTATTCGTTTGTGGCGAGTCCAGTTCTTGGTGGTGAGATGACTTTAAATACTCGTCGATAGCCAGTATTTTACAGGAACGAAGTAAAACACAATCTAGCTAATTTCAACCATTAGAAAATATTGTTGAAGAAGATTGATAGCAACTGGGCAGCAATAGGGGTCGACCTATAATCTGTACTTAAGGCGAGGCCTTTCACTAAACACCGTAACTGATCTAATAGGCTCCCGTGACGTCTATTTAAGTTTAGGAGCCCGAACGGGGGCGTATGATTGGTAAGAGGCGTTTAAAAGATGAGGACGTTTATTCTAGTAACCGACTTTAACAAACGCCACAAAACTAACGTGCTTACGGCGAATATATCACTGCAATTTATAAATACGGTCAAACTCTCGCCTTGAGGACAACCCGCTATAGCGAACACCCCGAAAAAACGGACAGTAACTAAATCCCCGGCAAAAACAAATTACAGACGTTTGACTGAAATAAACTCCCGCTATTATGGACTCTCGTTAAGAGGACACTAACTCGAGGTCACCATTTTGTAGAAGTCTGTGAGCGTGAATACCATTTTCCGGTTCCAGCGACCGCGGGGTCAGAAACTCCGGCGCAATTACGTTCATCCCAAGGACTACGAGGAAGAAGAAATCATCACTCAAGAAACAGCATTCACAGGAAAGAATCAGAATCGCCGCAGGATGAAAATAACGGCAAGAGTAAGTAAAGCTATCGTGGTCCCTCTTTATGCATGAAACGTCCTCATGGTTATAACAGGGGCACCCAACGACGGTTTCCTCCTAAATACATTGAAAACACTTTTTAGTCTATCTAGAGTACTTTAGATCTCTAGAAATGATATTCTAAGCTGCGCTATAAAATTTGTATCTGTTCGGTCATCCTAGGGGAACGTGAGTGTTCTCAAAATTACAAGGGCTTCAGTATTATTTTCCTGAAAATTTTAGGCGCAATTTAACGTATCACGAAGGTGACAATTTTTCTGATTCCTCCCTCCATCTAAGTTTTGAATCCGAAAATTTTAGGCTTCCTATTTGCTACGAAAAATAGTCTAAACTGGGGAGTGAAATGTGAAAAATCAAGCTTCAGAAAATCGTGGGGAATTTATTAAATAAGCTTGAAAAACTGTGCATGAATGGAATGGTCATCTAGAAATTTTTAGCCGTCCTCAAGTAATAGAAAATTCTAGGCAATATTTGGTTCTCCGAACAGATATTTTACCGAAAACAGTCGTTGGGTGCCCCTGTTAAGACGATCGAACACTATGGGCGCTTTCCATTGAGCCCGAAATTCCGGAAATTTCGGTTAGAACTCAAATGAAACGGATCATTTCGGTTCGGTCCAACCGGAATATTTGAGACCACCTTTGACCGATCCGGTATTTTCGGTCGGTCGGACCGAAATGTCCCTTTCCATTTGACAAAATTGGTGTCTTTGCGCACGTTAACTCGGACCAGTCTCCTCGCTTTTAAATTGGCGAATTAAGGAATGTGGAAGCCGTGCAGGAGAAATAAGAAGTTAGGGTAGATTCAGAAAATTGGTTGATACCTCTGGTAAAACTTTACATACGCCACTTCTAACGTCTTTCTATGATTTGTTACTGCCTTGCAGACAAGATGCTCGTCCGAGATTTACCCGGACATATTTTTATAGAACTAGGAAGACTACTAAATCCAAAGTCTTTTAACAACTGGGCAAAATTGGCTGGACTTCTTGGGTTTACAAGCACTCACGTTCAAAACTTTGGGTTAGAACCAGAGGAGGCGACCCAAAATTTATTGAACGAGTGGGGGCAGCAGGAAGGATCGACGGTCGATGTTCTCATTGACATTTTCAAGGAAATGAAGCGGGACGACTGTCTTCAAGTGCTGAAGGAATGGAACAGTAGCAGTTAAGGTGCGGTGGAACGGGTAACAAAAACGTGCAGCTTGTTTTGCAAAAGCTTTGTTTTGCCTTTTACCAGCCACATTCAAACCTGTTGCAGGTTGCGAAAAGTTGTTGCAGAAAGTAGGGAGTGGTTCCACCTTGTGCCACAAAATTTCTGCCCATGTGCACGTTTTACCGGTCCAAGGCAAACTTGTTTTGCAGCAGGTTACGTAACTCCCGCGTATGGCGTGACTCGAGCGTAATTTTATCCAATAAGAAGTCAGTATTCGCGCAACATGCAGCAACATTTACTTGTTTCAAGACAGGCTTGAACGGGGGTGTTAAAAAGTGCAACATCGCTTTTGAACACGTTCTGCGGCAATTTTGCAAGAAAAAGTTCCACGTTTTTGTTGCCCGTTTTACCGTAGCTTTAAAGGTTTGTTCGAGGTCTCTATGCCAAAAGACCGAAATGTACGAGTACATGAAAGCCGTGATGACCAAACACTGGTCAGTGGTGTGTACGTTCTTGATACTGCATTGGCCTAAGATTAATCAGGGGCAAGTTCTTTGCAATTTGTTTGAGCGTTCGGTAGGCAAAGTGCCCCCTGATTCATGTTCTTATGTGTTCAGATGAAACTTCAAGGGTGAGAAGAATGAAGGGATTTTTTCTCAAACGCGTTTGACGTGACACTCGGTTGAGAAGTGCCCTTCCCAGCGCGAAGAACAGCATGTTCTACAGCGTGTATATAACAGCATGTTCTACAATGCTTTTAGTATTCCTAAGATGCAGTCAATGATTAATTGGTTTAGAAATAATAGGAACTGATGATCAAAAGTTAACAATTACGGTACTTTTTATTCTTTTTAAATGCTTAAATATTAAAAAGCTGCCAAGTGTTTTAGTTCGGCTATTGAAACGAAACGTTTAGGTCTATGGCCAACTTTAGCCTAAGCAAACTTACAGTACTAAAATCCCCTTTGAAAACTGATCGGGAAGTAACAATCCGAGTTTGATTTATACCTTCTAAAGCCATGATTCAGATCTACACTTATTCATCTCTTACTTACAGTACTTCAGGCAGCGAGTTTAGAACCTTTCCAAGGTTTTGGAGGACCTCTCTGTTAAACGTTAGAACTACATTGGCAATTTGTTAATTGAGGTTATTCGCAGGGTCCGTTCGTACGATCGCAAACGTAGGCAGATATTTGTGACTAATCTCTTCGATCGCAAATTAATGGACCATTGAAGTTCTGCATTCAGTCTCATATAAGCATCCACCAGTTTTCTGGATTTATCCAAGCAATGAAAGACACAACGTGGGATTTTCAGAGTTTATTCAATTTATTGTTACTCCGAAATACGGTCAATCGCACGTACGCGTCAATAGAAAATCAGCAATAAGCCAATTTACAGTTGTACGTTGAACAACCCAGCCTATGAGTGGAAGCGAGGCTGGCGGTGACTTTCGTTTTGGTAGAAACCACGTTATGCATAAGAATATGACTAAAATATGAAAAGCAGTAAGGCTTTCTTTTTGCGCTGCTCCCGAAACCGGAAGCCGCGCATGCCATGAAAAGTCCTTGTCACCCATGGTATCCTTTCTGACCCCGCGGCTGTAAAACGTAGCGAATGGTTTACGGCAAGAGAGATCCTCTCTTGTTTACAGTCGACTCTCTTTTGACGGACTTCTTGATAAGACGCACACCTTGGTGAAACGGACGGCTAGGGTTGGTCCCTTTATTTGACTCTCTGTTAGACGGACATCACCCTTGAAACTACACTTAAGGGCTTCTGTCTTAGAGAGAGCTGACTGTGTTAGTTGGCACAATCTTCAATGTCGATTTTGGTTAGTTTATGGTGCCACTACTGCAGCTAACATGTAACGCAAATTCTTTACCGAGCCTAAGCGCTCATGGCTTCCATTCTTTCATGGATTGGTGAGAGCATTCAAATGTTATTTTAAATTACTGCAACCAGTAACAGTTTAGTTAAAAAATAATTGTTTTAAAAAGACATTTTCGGTTAATTCTATTGAGGATGTAAGTGAGTAACTTCACATTAAAGATAGTAGCTTATATATTATAATAATTGCTTGCTGAAAATCGACACTTCGTTGCGAAGACTATCACCAAAAAAGTCGTTTCTTCGGAGTATTCCTCTCTAATTTAGAAGATCTTCTCTTTCATTTGATAGGGACAAGGTCTAGACTAAGTCGAAATTTGGCGGTCTGTTCGAAAAGCCTTATATTTAGTCACACTCAATAATTCATTCGCAGAAATTTCGATAGACATTTGTGTCAAAAGGTTTGAGGCTGACCTGAGACATGTCTGGTTTTAGAAACCCCTCGCACATAGTCAAGTTAGGATTCAGAAAAGAGTTGTGAGGAAAGCTTGAGGATGCACGATGAGTTGAGAAATATTTTCAAATAGAGAACCTGTCAGAGATGTTCCGTGTAAGCTTACGATTTGTGATAATGGGCACAAAATAATGGAGGTGAGATTCTAGGTATCTTTCACAATCTGCGAAGAGTGGATCGGCCTGGATTTCGTCTATAATAGATTGCAATATTGTGGAGCGAGCACAATTGTATATTTGTGACTCATTCATACTGTAAATAGTAAGCTTACGCGGAACATTCCTGATCAGTTCCTGGAGTCAATATCGAGGGAGATCCGTGGATCAAATCCTATGTTGTTACCACGCAACGAAGGTCATAAGTAGTGTTTTTACATGATATGATTAGTTTTTCTGTATTTTCAGGGGCGTAACTACCGGTGCTAGAGTATGCGCGCAAGTACCAATAACATTTCGAAGATAGCTAAAAGACAAAAAAGAAAAGAAAGCAAGGGCAAAAGATAAATGAAGGTTGACCGTTAACCTCGTCCCAAGGTTGTTCTTGTTTTCCAATATGGTGGCGGCAGGAAAGATGACCCTGGGACACAGCAGATCACGTGACCTAAATCTACGGAGATGGAGATGGAGATTATATTCAAAATGGCGGCCAAGAAGAAGCCGTGAGATGATCTGGGAACAAGACTGACAAAGGCAAAGTAAAAGCAAAATAGAGTGTGAAGGAAATTTTTATCAAACAAAATAACAGCATAAAAGCACAAATACCAGCAGCTCTTTTTTCTTGCCGCTGCCATATTGGAAAACAAGAAGACACTGTGGACGAGGTTGGGATAACCGGTGCAATTGCCCGGCTACGTCATTTGCCTTTAACATCTTCAAGATTGGTTTGTTTCAGTTCCCTGATGTTGCCACCCGCGAAAGCCGTATTAACTCAGGGGCGGATCTAGGGGGAGGGTGCAGGGGGTGCGCACCCCCCCTCCCCGAGATGACCTGCGGTTTTCTAATACAACTGGTATTCTGCCAAAAAAAAAAACTATGTGGTTTATTGGTGTTGAAGTAGAGCAGGAGACGAGTGCACCCCCTCCCAAAAAAAATCCTGGAGCCGCCCCTGTAACTGCTGCCTGAAGAGCCAATCCAAAGTCGAAGAAAGGTGATAACCTCACCATATTGAAGAAAAAAAATGGAAACGTAACGTTCGGGGAGACAGGGTAGGGTTGATTTTGAAATTTGCGCGTACCTCGTGAAAGTTTCTAGCGACGCCCCTGATTTTAGGGAAAAGATGAAATTTAGGATTTTTCTGAAATTTTCGTATCTGTAAGTAATTGAAAGGGGTCTGTGGAATGAATATGTATAAGCCTGAGGCACTTTAAGAAAACGGAGGTTCTAGAGCTACATATTAAGCAGTAAATTTATCAGACTCAGTATTTGTTAACTTATTATAAAATTAAGGTTCATATTGAAAGTCGACTTTAAAAGGAAATATTGTAAGATAATTTATTATTTTGTTAAAGAAAATCTTTGAAGACTATCAAGAGAGGACGTTTATAAGCACCCTACGTTGCTTCAGGTTTGCATTATTTTTGTACAGAAATAGTACATTTCTAAAGATGATCGGACGTAAGCTCTTCTCAAAATAGAGCTGTTTTCAAAAGATTTTGTTGTTATCACCATGGCTAATTTGCAGGGCAGAGAAAGCCAGTGAACAGCTAGCGTGCATTGCAGGTGTTTTCTGGTGACTACAAGCAAGAAAATCCGCGCGCGTCACTCGCCTGAAAAAATAAAACGCCTGCATTGCAAGTTAGTTATTCTAGTTAAAGGCATGCTTGCGTTGCAGACGTAATCTTATTCTGGTTAGTAACGTCTGCGCGACAAAGCCCATGTCTTTGTTCTGGGCCTCAAACGGACTCAACGAATTAGCGGAATTTCCCTTCAACCTGATTGGCAAATTGACAATGGCATTTTTCACAGGCCATTTGTGGCGTGTACTCAGAGTACACTGTACTCGCTTGGGTCCCAGAGCAAGGATTTGACGCTGTTTTCCAGATGGACTTAGCCAGAAGTAGGCGTACTGTACTCAGAAACGAAAAATTGGCCATTTTGAGCTCAAGCGGGAGACTGGTGGGTGTTGTTTCCTGTTGCACTATGGGATTGTTTTGTGGACCCGGGGGGAGGGGGGGCTAGCAGCGAGTTCTGGAACCGAGTTCAATGAGCACTTCTTTTGTTGGCTTCAACGAGGTCGCAAAGGAAACTGGGCCAATTTTGTCCCCAGAAACAGTCCCACAGTGCAATTCGACACAAAGTCGACCCAGTGTCAGGAGAAAGCCCCAGATAACCAAAGCTGAAGAACACTGGTAAATAATATCTCCGCTATTAATTAAAAACCGTTGTCTATATAAAAATAGTTAACACTATCTATTTTTCCTTAATCTGCAGTGCACACAAATTTCTTACTCGTAGAATTGACTCTACATATTTTAACGCGTTCCAGTTCGTTTCGAATAAAAGTGATGCAGTTGCTTGAGATTCATTTCTAATGAGAGTAATTCCTTGATCTTTTAGTGCTCTTTGTTCACGTGATTGGTTGAATCAAATTTCCCACGCGGCAAGACCAATCAGAAGCACTACCCAGATCTGGGTAGTGATACGTCATCAGTATGGAATTTCTGCGCTCGTTTCTCAGACGTCATTTGGCGGGGAAACCAGTGGTGGCGTCGCGAAATATCGGCTGTTTTCGCGAGGTAGATTGTTGATCGAGCTCGATGAACATGTCGAGCTCGAAGAACTTGTATTGAGCTCGGTTTCCCCAGATAACGGATATGATCCGTTTACATAATGTTATAATTTCCACTATCCGTAAGAGCAGGAACGGCAATGTTTAATCAAGGCGTGAAGCCTGAGAATTTTCGAAACATGTATTGTAAGTGTTTAAACAGCTTCGTGAACTGTCCCCAGAGTATTTCATCTCTATAGCCTTACAAAATAATGTATTTCTCAGTTTAACAAGTGTTTAGTGAGAAATGTCAAACAAAAGAGGCCAAAATAGCAACGATGTGTCAAGTATACTTATGTAAATACACACGAAACTGAAGAACACCGTTTTAGCGTTTACTCTGATCACTATCCAAAAGACATTTCCAAGCTAATAGCCTGACAAGAAGAAAGATTGCTCGAGGAGAGGGTCACTGTGTAAATGGTAGCTGTAACGTCACAAAATGGGCACTGAAAATTTTACGGAGTGGCAAACTGGTAAGAACTGTTTGTGAGTTATTCCTTTCTTGATTAAGAAGTCGTATCTTGAATTGCTTTTTCTGTTTTCTCTGCTAGAATACTTCGAATTTCATTTTAGAATAAGCTTTGACCAGTCGACGGTTCTTTGCCCATTTTAGGCAGCCAGCTTTATTAGCTTCTGTTTATATTTTGTAGATTTGTGGTGAATTTTTAAACTTTTTCATTGCCAGTTTGCAAATTAGCTAGGATGACCGCCGTTTTTATTGTAAATGTCAATCCTTATTAGCACTCCATTGTTTCAGTCATGCAGCCTCGAATTTCCTCTGAGGCTGAATTCCAATTCTTCCCCTGACTTTTCAATTAGACGAATTTTACCAGTCTTAAAACGGTCCTTGCATGTGACCAAATGAATTGCACACGTAAAAATTACAGAAATCCACCTTTAGGCTATGTTGACAAAATACCGGGTAGTTTGTCATGCCGACACGAATAGCTATCCCGCGGCATAGTATGAACACCTACCCGATATGTAGCCCTCCACTTTAGAGATCAGCGCGGCGTAAATTCGCTCCGTTACAGAAATCGCGCCGAAATCACCGTTCGTAGGTGTGCCGGCGCAAAAGCTATATTGTGCAGTGTGAACACAACCTTAGACAAGAAACTTTGTTCCGGTCATGATACCTCTCTCCACCCGGATGTATAAATGGGTACCAAAAGACATTCTGCTTGGGGTAATCCTGCTTTGGGCCTGCACCCCGTCGATATAGGAGGAAGTAGTGCTAGGGTTCTTAATGTAACGAGAAGTTCAAAAAAGCAATACGTTTAATAAGCACTCAACAACAACTCTACACATGCAGCATAGACTACGAGTAGTCCCCCATTTTTCCTTAGGGATAGTAGAGCGAGCGAAACGCGAGCGTGCGTGAAAATCACCCCACACGAGAAAAGGCGATTCTCTCTCTCCCCGCCGCGTGTCGCCTTTTCTCGCGTGGGGTGATTTTCGCGCGCGCTCGCGTTTCGCTCGCATTACTCTCCCTAAGGAAAAATGGGGAACTACCCGTAGTCTACATGCAGCACATCTTTTTCAACATTTCCTTGCCGTTGTGCGACTACGGCGGGAAAAATGCAAGATTTCACGCTTTATGGAGACGTAAACGAGCGCCGAGACGGCGAAATTTTCCTTCTTTTCATTTTCTGAACTTGGTTATGGTTCTTCGGAATTCTCCTCCAATAGAGTTCGCCGGTTCTTACGAAGTAACTTTGTTCAATAATCGCGATAAAGATCGAAAGAACGCGAATTCACTTTGAAAGCGACGTTTTTGCGTTGGATCTTATGGTCCCTAATAATGCGCTATTAGAGGTGCTTCGTGTTACTGAAAACGGGATAAGAGTCCAGCAGTATGCATGGGCTTCATCATTGGATGGAGGTAGAACCTGCACTATACCATTCTTTTTTGGGGGTCGAAATTAACTGGATGGACAGGGTTGTAAGAAACAGACCCACTATCTTTGCAGCAGACCTATCAGTTTCATGAGCATAAAGCTAAGCTTTGAAGACCCTGTCCAGAGGGACACCAATAGAGTTATTTTATCTCGTACTCCCGATAAAAACCCGAATCCCGCATTGGGTTATAGGCTTGACCCGATCCCGAAACTCGATCGGGGTTGTGATGAATTTTCAGGCCGCCAGACCAACCATGATATCTGCTATGTTAGCTATTCCAGTACATAATTTCATGGGCGGATTCAGGGGTGGTATGAGGGGACCGCAGCCCCCAGTTTTTCTGTGAAATTTTGTAATATTTTTAATGAAGTCTTAGTTTTAATTAGCCTGAATTTCGTCCGATTACTTCGAGTCGTTATTACTCCCTCAGTAACGTCTGAATCGACCGGCCGTTAACGCCGTCCAGTGACGTCACTACTCTTTGACCTTTGTTTTAATTCATGCAAAAAGTAAAACACGATTTTCAAGAGGCAAACTGAGAAATATCATTTGAAAATGCCTGCATGATACAGAACTGCTTCTTTAATTTTTTTCGATCGTAATTCATGTTTAACGTTCAAGTTATCAACTGCATGCAGTACAACTCTGAAGCGATTGAGAGGAGAAAACGACTCGAAGCAATCGGATGAATTTCAGGCTAAGTTTTAATGATCAGTATCTATATAGCTGGCTGGCAAGTGCCAATCCCTCCCCCCCCCCCCGCCCCCCCTCGCCATTTTTTATTTCTTTTCGGAATCCCTCCATAATCCGCCCCTACAGGTTTGCTTATATTACTTACGTTCCTGCCATACTATCTGAAAGCCTAGCACATGCCACTACAGGTCTAGCGACCTAAGTAGCTAAAATGAAGACATGTTTGCTCCTGCTGTCCGTAGGAGTTATTAATCCATTCCCAACTGTAATTCACGTCCTATCGTTTACCAACGTGGTTGAAAACAGACCAACACGGTCGAAAATTTCAAGTGCAGCATAACCAATAAATGTTTGACGATAGAACTTAAGAGATGGACTATAAACCAAAACAGGAACTCTGTTGTAGGTAAAATCCAAGGTTGGCCTTAATTCCAGTCATACTTACTCAGTGATTTAGATCCACGTCGGTCTTCGGACACAGTCCGAGACAATTTTTATTTGTCCGAACAAATTTAACTAAATTATGACAAATGTCCGAAATGAAAATAAAATATGAAATACTAAATGTGTCTTGTAGTAGCTAGTTACGTTAGAGATGGGTACAATTTGCAACCACCGCCCTGTTGGCGGTGACGAAAAGCCAAAAGGAGCGCTTGTTATAACGCAAGAATATCCTGTGACGATTTTCCTTTGTTATGAAAGTCGCACGTTTGAACATATTTGTTTTGTGTGCTGTGTTTGTAATTTTAACATTCACTCCATGTTTAATAGGTATATAAAGTGGAAAACAAAATATCTTCACATCGGCATATATTCTGGAAACACAGACTTCAAACTTGAAAGAGTATGTTTATTCAACTTTAATGCGGTCTTGTCTTGGAAATGCTATTAGACCTTTTACTCGTGAAAGTATATTTTAGGGATTTTGAAAGGTTCTAATTTTCATCTATTCTGTCATAAGACAGTGATAAGAAGACAAAATAATGTCCGACAAAAACTAAAAATGTCCTAAGAAAATTCAGCCCTTTAGGACATTTGTCCTAAACACTTTTTCATGGATCTGAATCACTGCTTTCATCAAGAATCGACTTTCATGTTTACCCGGAATACGTAAAATAGACGCATGCACAAACCCAAGAGACGATACCACACAAACACATGACAAATGCATGTGGACTAACCTTGAACCATTCAGAGAAACAGCAACAAAACTTTCAACTTAATCAGAAATATCTTTACAAAGAAAGATAAAATAGTGATACAGGCAAACTAGGTACGTACGTAACCTAAAAGAGGAAAAAGTAGAAATTTACCTGTGAAAATAGAAAGGGTTTTTATTTACTTTTTTATTATTATTATCCTTTTTTTACCGAATATGAGTTCTTTTCCACAGCATTTCCCGAATCTTGCATCATAAAATCGCTAAATCCCGTATCTTGTCTCAGGTCATCCCAAATCTCGCTCCGCCACCGTTCATTGTGTTGTTACGTAACGCTCCTCCGCTACCCTCTAGGTGTCAGACTCTTTTATGCTGCGGTTTCCGGTTTCGGTTAAGTCTTTATACTAGTGGCTTCGTGCTTCTTCCGGAGATGTGTTGTCCTGCAGCCGACACCGAAGTATCCTGCTGCACGAAGAAAAAAACCCTGTTGCCCTGGCACTACTCCCCAAAAACGTCTGCTGACCAGGCCACATTCCTTTCACCACATTTGAATAACCGATCAAACGTCTGGTTCCATTTCTGGAAGTGACTCGAGTTGAACTGACTCAATTCCTCCAATCACGGCCATGTCTTTAAGGG